TCTGGAAACCCCGGGAGTTTCGCCCGACTACACACGTGCTCCTTCCACATTGTTCACTGACTTGTATTACAATGAATGCGCTCCAGGAATGCAATAACTCACGTTCGTTAATGCCCGAATACTTATCTTCAATTAGAGAACTTCCTAACTTCGTAAGCATCTTTTTTACCTATCCGAGGGAATATTTAGTAGTGAATGAGAGAGGAGTTATTGTCGGCGCCATTTCGAAGCTTTTCGAATTACCAGCTTACATGGTTTTTTTGAATATTTTTTTTTCTGACAAACCATTCGAATGAAATAATTTATAATTGTTACATTATACAGTGTGTCCACGGATGGGGTTGCCTATAGGAGAAAAATTTTTATTATTCATTCTACGACAAAAAGTCATTGTTTATAAAAATTTTTGCTTCTTTTAAAAATGAGAATAACACTGAAAAATCTCAGATTGGATCTACAGGGTGTTGTTAAATTAAGAAAACATGAAAATACCTCAAGAGAGAAGTACCATTTTTTTTTATTTTACACAAACTTTTTATAAAAGAAAGTTGTTTATAATCTAAAATAAAGCCTAAAATTGTATTTTTTATTAGAAAATTTGTGTTTAGGCTTTACTTTGGATTAAAAGCATTTTTTTGTAAATAATAATGTAAGATAATAAATAAATTCTTTCTTTCTTGAAATTTTTTCCTGTTTCTTAATTTACTAACACCCTATACATTTTATCTAATGTTTTGATATGTGAATCTCATTTTCTCGACAAGTTAATTTTTTTATAAAGAATGGCTTTTCGTCGTAAAATTAATAATAACCATTTTTCTTATCTGGTCAACTTTATCTAGGGACACACAAAATTGGAATTTTAATTTGAAAATTTGTATTCAGGCTTTATTTTAGATTATAAACAACTTTCTTTCATAAAAATTTTGTGTAAAATAAAAAATAATGGTACTTCTCTCTTGAGGTATTTTCATGTTTTCTTAATTTGGCAACACCCTGTAGATCCAATCTAAGATTTTTCAGTGTTATTCTCATTTTTAAAAGAAGAAAATTTTTTTATAAACAATGACTTTTTGTCGTAAAATGAATAATAAAAATTTTTCTCCTATAGGCAACCCTATCCGTGGACACACTGTATTTATTGATATTTTAAGAAACTTCGTGAATTTTTTCAAACTAATATACAGGGTGTTTCATAAGTTGATACTTTTTTTAACTACGTATAGATTTTTTAATTCAAAGCAACTTTTTCAAGTAAATTTTTTGAATATTCTGGAAAATAAGAGAGAATGTTTTTTTTATTTTTTATTTGTTAAAAGTTAGTTAATACAGCCCTGTTCATTAAAAGTTAAAGAAGCTCCTCAAAATTGTCACCATTTTGATTGGAAACGCTTTGGAAATACTCTCCATAAACAATCAGAATGTCCACCAATTAATTATTTGTATAAAAATGAACCATTTTCAATTCAACAATCGAAAAATTAATTTTTTCTCATTAATTATTTATTATTTTTTTGACACATGTATGGTAATGGCAGGTACGTATTGGAAAATATTCCAAATTTAAAGAAATTTTAAAAATTTCCATCTTATTTATTTTCCAGAAAATATTAAAAAAATTACTAGAAAAAGTTGCTTAGAATTAGAAGATCTACATCACGCAGTTAAAAAAAAGAGTCAACTTATGAGACCCCCTGTATATTTTATATGATGAGATAACACGTTTCAAAAAATAACGACTCCTGGTGTATTGCTTATTCGAAATTAAAATACTCAATCATCATTTCTATTGTGAGACTTGAGGCTCTACATGGAACTAGAATTAAGTCAAAATTCCAAGTTTTTCGCACTTTTTGGAGATTGCAAAATCATTTAAGCTTATAAAAAAACTAACAAAATAATCTCCATTATTCTATTTCAACTTATAGCTTATAATCTTGCATATAGTTGATTCAACAAATAAAATTCGTGACGTCATCATCGAATTATCGTGTAAATCTAGTGGGATGGTCTACGTGGAGTTAGAAGGGCTTTGTAAAAATAATTACGAATGCTAAGAACGGAGCATTTAACTCGATTCGAGCGGATTTAGCAAGTTGTTGCATGACGTTCGCGAAGTTCTGGGAGTCCCGGTCAGACGCTATTGTGGCTGCGATGCAGCCGTAGAGGATAATTCGTTCGGAAAATGCAATTTTCGCGAATTTATTCACTCGCGGGATCTTGCACAAAAGCCATTGTTGTAATTGTTTCTGCGGGAGTCGACGCTGATTAAATTTAAGTGCGCCACTCTCCTGCTGCGATTCAACGTACCTGAATTTTTTACGACCGGCGGAATTGCGATTTTTTTTTCCTTCTCTCGTCTCGCGTTCCCGGTCTAATTTTCGGTTCGCAACGCTTGCATTACAAATGGCAGGATGTCACGGTGTAATATACGTTTTCGTCTTCTAATGCAGGCTATCGTTCATACGCGACAAAAAAATGTGCATAAAGAACGCAAGGATTACAGGCCGGTGGCATTGTTGAAAAGCGCGGCAGAAGATTTGAACGCCATTTTGTGATATACCTACGTCAAAATGGCGTTTGAATCTTTAACTCTCTACACCTTGCTCCATTTCCGATTCTAATATGGTCATTTCTATGAGTGGAACAAAGAAAGATTATTAAAATGACAGTTGTCAGAGTGAAAAGTTGTAATGACACAATGTCACTTATGTCACTTTCTTTTTTTTTGTAAGTGTCAAATGAAAGTTGTCTTTATCGCACTCATGACCTATATAACCAATATCGCAATCAAAAATGGAGCAACCTGTATACAGTATGTACGAACTGATCCGCTGCAAGCATATAATGAGAATAATGAGATAGCTAATTTAACTTTTGCTATGTAAGGAATAAAGAGAACATACGAAATAGTCACGCCCGCTATCCCCGCTATTCGCTAGTGGACGAAGCGAAGCGAATTGACGAATTCTAATATCGGCCGGCAACCGATAAACAAGTTTCTGTTCTTTACTATCTTATAGTATTGATTGAGATTCTAATTCTAACGCTTGCAGCGGAAGAATTCGTACACTCTGTATACCATCTCGTTAGGCAATGATGTCATTTTTAGTAATTTCCACGCAGTTCAACATTTCCCTAGTGCGAATGTTATTTCTCCCATTTGACTAGGGGAATTTAACGACGTGTAGTTGAAAGTCCAAGGCGATGTTGTCATGCATTAGTCTCGAAATTTCGTGGTTTTTAGTTGACAGCTGACACGCTTCAACTACAATTTGCTTGAATTTCGTTACGATTTTTTTAGGCCATTTTGCGTTGATTTCTTGTTTTTTACGTGCGTTTAGTTTTTCGTGCATATGTTGCAACGTTACCGACATTAATCGTGACATCTATTTTATTTTAATTCCATCTTTTAACGATAATAAAGTAACTTATAAGAGCTAAATAGGAACCCTATTAAAACAAACGGATGGTTTTGAAAAGATGAGCTTTTATGTCCTAAAATTTCTTATTTTCATACATGCAAGAAAAAAATTAATAGCTGAAATAACTTTTTTAGAAGCTATATGATTTTTTTGAAATGACAATCTTTTAACTGACTTTTCTCGGTGTAGTTTGTAAACAATGTAAGTAAACATAACCTTAAATTAAATATATCTGTCACGTAAAGGATTTAAATTACAACTCGGCAACGTTGCAACAGGCTGGCTCATGACGTCATTGCCTAACGAGATGGAATATGGTATAGATTGAATATTATATTATTTTCATAGATATATAAGTAAAACAGATGAAACTGTTTACAAAATTTTAGGGTACCAACAATAGGTCACAGTCTAAGAGAAAATAGAGGTAAAACATTGCATGTTGACTCGCCATTTTTTTTAAATTTCCTTCTGCTATATTTTTTATTTTTATATCCTTATTATGTAAGGTAGACTGGAGCAAATGTAAAAATGGGGTAAATGTAATATTTTTACCTATTATGTTAATGTTTTTATTATTTTTATAGTTCTTTTGTGCATTAGACAGGGTTTGTTTCTTATTTTTTCTTTATTATTTTGTAGCTCTGTTTTTTTTAAATAAATAAATAAACAGCATATAAAATTTTAGAGGATCCAAATATTTTTTACAATTGTCCCATGTGTTTTTCTCTATAATTGTATTGCACTTTAGAACCGTTTGTTACATTTACCCCGTACCATGGGTAAAAAAAAGATGTAAAATCGTTTTCTTCCTTTCTCAAAAAAAACTTTTTAATACCTCGATTCTTTAGTTTAGGAAGTTGTGAATTTAATGTGGTATCAGCATTTCTAATAAGAGAAAAAATAAATCCACATTTTAGGATTTAATTTGAACTATTCAAATTTTACAACCAATTTGCCCCAGTCTACCTTAATCGTCTTAATACTAAAAACTAATGTTATTTACATTCTTCAAAATACACCCACAACATATAATAAATTGCAAGTTTAAGAAATATAGTTTCAAAATATGACAAATTATATATTTCAAAATTCCTGCAGTAATAGATAAACTCATACAAATTTGGCAACGGTGTATTTTGGCTCGCAGTAAAATTTGTAGACGATTTCGACTAAATTTTCCCTTTAAATTAAATTAAAGATCTCGTTTTCCCAGCGAATAGTAGCAAATAGAGGGAAACCGGGAAGCAGTTGTCACTGTTTTTTCATACAATATCAACAAAACTTTCATACATAATATTAAATAATGGTATATTTTTACCATAACAATTCTTAACATAATTAAATTCTTATTTAAAATATATTTGCCTACGCTCAAAGGCGCCTGATTGGATCCGCCATGTTACCTCTATTTTTCTATCTTACTTTTTCCGCCTCGTTTACTTAAAAAGCGATAACTAACAGATAACTAAGAGATAATTTTCAATGTTGTCGTCAAAAATTCTTGAATTTATGAATGACTGTTTGGGGTTGTGATTATTTTAGGTGCTTTTAAAGGAGTATTTTTTGTTTCAGAAGAGTGCAGATACGGCAAGGGCGCATGGTCGGAATGCGATCCGAAAACGAATCAACGATCTCGCACGCTCAGCTTGAAGAAGGGCAATCAAACGAGTTGCGAGCCCACTAAAACGATTCAAAAGAAGTGCAAAAAAGGTAAGAAACCCGCATTTTCCACCGCTTACAATCGACTGTCTAAAAGGCGATTCGAAAATGATTGATGCGTGTATACACTCGCAGACGAAAATAATGAAGTTTTCCTGGTGGCGTGTTATGCAATATTTTTGTCTACGAGTGTATTTTTTCTCGCGTTATAACTTCGAAAGTTTAGTTAGGAAAAAAAGTCCAATATATTCTGGATATATTTCGAAGCACCCGCATCACTAGGAAGTAATAATGCGCCTATAAAGCGCCGGCGAAAATGCGAAAAGGTGGCCTTATTAGGAAAAGTAACTTACGAAAAGGTAGAAGAAAATTGTGGCTGGCGTCGCAGCCGAATGAAATATGTACGATACGAAAATTGCTTTTAGCCAAAATAAAGCATCCGAGTGGCTGTGGAAGCCGAAATTGGGAAAATTAGGTATATTGTAGTGCGGTTATATTAAATTCATAAACCATGTTAACGGAAGTAAAGCGAGAAAAATGGCGAATTTAATACACAAAGTGGTCTAGTCTAATAACCGGGTGAAATATTGCCTCGTAGAAAAATAAAGGGATAACGGCGAGAGAAGGCTTTTACTAAATATTAGGTGCTTTTTACACGCACCAATTCTTCTAATATTTATGCAAGGATCCTCTTAAAGTATTCGCTTTTAACATCCATTTCGGAACTAACAAAATGAGGTGAGATCTCAATTATTTATCTACCGGTTAAAAACATTGCTAAAGATTAATTGCCGAATATAATTCCACCCCTTTCGAGTTTTCCTTTGGAAAACGGCGCAAGATAAGCAGAAGGATAAATTCAGTGTCACTTCAGTTGAAACGTAGATTATGTAGAGAAATGGACTATGCTTTTTCATGATCATTTATTATTTTCTGGACTAACTCGTCGTGTTCATTTCTGCCGGCCCATAAATCAAAAGTTGATTAGAAGGTTTTTTTTGATGATGTTGGCAAAAAATTGAGAGAAATGTTCCCTTCGAAATTCGAATGCTCCTCTACTAGAAATTGAAACAGTTTTTGGAGTTATCTATACTAAATGACGGGTCAATTCTGTTTGTAAATAGCAATATGATCTGTCATTAGTAAAGATATCATGTTATAAACCTTGCTATTTGAAAAATGTCATTTTTATACTTGATATTTGTCATTTTTCATTACTATATGAGCTAAGAGTTTACATTTTTTGCAACTACAAGATATAAATTATCCCTTTGATTTGCTAAATGAAACGTTAAATTTATAAAACTTAAATAAGGCTACAGCAACATTGCTAAACTAATCGAAACAATAAAAAAATTTTTGGCAATATTCTTATAACTTAAATATACAGTGCATTTCAGTGGGTATCACAAATTTACACAATTTACATGTATGGGATGATGAAAATCCGCATTGGATAACTTTAATCGGTAACTTTACTTCAGAGCGCTTTACTTGATTTAATAGAGCACTTACCATTTAAAACCCACTGAAACATACAGTGCATTTCTTTAATGTCCCCCCCCCTTAATTTTTTGAACAGATCAACTTAGAAAATTGAAATGTGGGATAATGAAACTAATGCATGATTACTATATTTTGGAGTAAAATTGACAGATGAAAATTTCAAGATGGCGACTGGGCGCCATCTTGGGAAATAAATTTAAATGGAAAGGGGGGTCTTGTGATACATCATTTTGAAGCTCCTGACAAATACTCTACAACCCTGGAATATAAAGTCAATATCTGCACCCATTACAAAATGGCGGACATTTAATAATTACCTGAATACATCGACGTTTAACGCCATAATTTGAGGAAATAAGCTGAGTTCAGTTCAAAAAATGCTCGAAATGGTTTCCTTTAACTTCTTGATATAAGAACAGCCTATCCGAACATTTTCGAACATAGTAACGTCGATATTTCTACAAATATCTGTAATTATTTCTCGTATATCCAATATTGAAGCAGGTTCAGTTTCGTACACTTTTTGCTTCAAATAGCCCCATAAAAAAGTCTAAAGGTGTTAAATCTGGCCAGCGGGCTGGCCATTCCGTAGGACCTCGACGACCAATCCAACGACCAGGGAAAATAGCATCCAAATAGTTTATTACTTGTCTGGAGTAATGTGGTGGTGCTCCATCTTCCAATGGACGAAAATTGGCCATTTTAGAGTTAGTTCACGTGGTACCTAACTATAATGAGAATTAAACAACCGAAAAACTAAATGAAAATATTTTCAACTCTAGGAAAATCGAAAACTAAACAGAATATTTTGAACACTATTTACACAATATTAAAGACATTAAAGAAATGCACTGTATAACATAGTTATCATAGCAAGATTCATAACAAGATCCAAACAGAATCGACCTGATTATGAATGAAGATGGAGGTAATGAGTTGGCAACACTGGCTTGGTTTTTAATTGCGTGAAGTCCCGTCTACTTCTAGTGATAATACTCAACTAAAACCGTATTTAATATCACGCGATAAGCCTGGAATAGGTATCGAAACGAGGGCTTTTAAAAATTACCGCCACTCAGAGCTAATTAACTTCGCCCGGACGTCGTGGAACTTTCGTAATTTAACTTTTTCGCTCTAAATTTGACGTGCAAAAGCGGCTTCTTGCACACAACGAGAAACTCCCGTCGAGCGCAGGGATAATTTTATGTGCAGTTCACATTACCTCTACCGTCGTACATTTAGACTGTTTTATTACACCTTCATACTTACATACTTTGCGATTGCAACCCGGAAATCGATGAACGAGGGTGTGACTGAACCCTGTACCGTACCGGGTTGTTTAAAATACGACAGACGCCCGTCGAGCAAATTAAATTTGCGTAAATTTTTGACTCCCTATAGTCTGTAAAAGTCGACTCGCCCTGTAAGCGAAATTTCCCCGTTCGATGCAAATCGGGAGAAGGAGGAAATTATGCTTCAATTGAATTTTTACGATCAATCAACCGGAATGTTTTCTGCTCGTCGCGTCTCGTCTTATTTATCGAATTTTTCGTCGGGAAGTTGGATAAAAATTTCCGAAAATTCCTTTCGTTTTATTATGTACACGCAAGAGGAATTTTAAGGGCGCCAGTTCAGGGTATTTTTAAATGGGAAAACATATAGGTTCAGTAATTCTACTGATAGATTCAAATTTAGCTTCATCGATTGATTGGAATATTTCTTATACCTAATATAGAGACTCCAACCAATGATATCTCCTATTTTTAATCTCTACTACTTCATTAAACATTTAAGAAAATTGCAATAAAAACTGCCATTTATTTGCAATGTTATTTAAATGACAAAACGTAATTCTAGTAAGACTCAAGTTTCCTTGAACGGATGTGTTAATAATTTTAGTAGGATGAAGAATATTTATTACAGAACGATGTCTCCTAGTTTATATTGATCCACAGGTTGTATTAAATTGAAAAAAAACTAAAGTATTTTAGCAAATGATGATGATAGATTTCTGTAAATTATGGTGTCGCCTGACATAAATGTCAAATCACAGAACAATTTTATAAATTTGACTAGCGACAGCGGTGCCAAAAGTTCCCGTTTTTCAGATATTTTTGGATAATTTGCAATTTTTTAAGGGCAGGTAATATGGAATAAGGTATTTCCAGTGCACCGGGATACTTTTAGTCTTCTTTAATGAGTATTTTTAAAACACTACTTTCATCTTTTCAAATTGCAGGGAAAAGAATTGAATTTAAAAAACTCTGAAAAGGATTTCTTATTATATTTTCTTGTACGTTTGATTTTATGTCAAGTGTAATCAAACACGAAACATCTACTAGTGAGTTAAACTAATTTCATCCCATCTATTGTGGAAAAATTTTACCTAAAATAATTCTATATTACCCTACGAATTATGAATTTGAGGGCGTACCTTGACGGCCTTAATCACAAATGAGGCGGATTTGAATAAAATTTTGCATGAAAAATATTGTCAGAAACCTAAATGCTCTTATACTTTTGTAATACGAAGCAGATCCTTTTATATCTGTAATTTTTTTTAATAAAGTAAGATAATTCAGACATTTGAATAAAATAAATCCAGAGGAACGAAGAAAAGTTCCCATATAATAAGAGCTCAAAGAAACTCGGTTAAAAAGTAAGAAGATGAGAACAAAGTCGAGAAATCAAATGACCTTTTCTGGCTGTAGACTTGTAGGTAAATGCATTTTGCATGTTATTGATCGAAAAGTTCTCTCTCCGGTAAAGTATGAAATCCCCTAATATAAATTTAATGAGCCATAAAGTAAGTTTACTCCCGAGTCGACAAGATGAATTCGCCGCCTCGGGAACCGAAACTGAATTTTTATTTAAAAACATACCGGCAGTGAAAAATCGGCTAATTCCTTTTAAATTGCGCCAACGGATAGGATGGAATCTCGCGCTGATTTATAGCGCTTATTAATTAAAATCGTCCTTTTTCAAGCTTGCAGATACGAAAAAGGTACTTGGAGCGAATGCAACGTCCAAAGCCAGATGACGAGGAACGACAAATTGAAGCCCAACAGCGACACTTCTTGCGAATTGACCAGACAAATATCGAAAAAATGCAAAGCAAAAAACGCCAAACCGACAAAAGATAAGAAAGGTGAGTTATGGACATAATAAAAAATATATAACTAAGGATTATTAATATATTTGCAGCTCCTCGTCGCAACAGGCAGTAAAGAAAATTTAGCGAATTAGGATTAAAATAATAAGTCGAATAACTTACCCTACTCCTTCATCTAGCGATTTCATCCAAAAATATTCAAATCAAACTCATCCAACTATAAATATATATCATTAATCGTTAAATAGTTTCTATTGTAATATGTATAAATCATAATTTCTGTATACAGGGTGTCTCTTAAGTCTTATAACTGCGTATAGATCTTTTAAGTCTAAGCAACTTTTTCAAGTAATTTTTTTAGTATTCTAAAAAATAAAAAAGATGGAAATTTTTGAAAATTTCTTTAAATTTCGAATATTTTCCAATACGTACCTGCCATTACCATGCAGGTGTCAAAAAATAATAAATAATTAATGACAAAAATTTAATTTTTCGATTGCTGAATTGAAAATGGCTCATCTTTATGGAAATAATAAATTGGTGGACATGCCAATTATTTATGGATAGTTTCCAAATCGTTTCCAATCAAAATGGTGACAATTTTGAGCGGTTCCTTTAACTTTTAACGAACAGGGCCGTATTAATAATTAAAAATTGAAAAAACATGCTCTCTTATTTTCCAGAATATTACAAAATTCTACTTGAAAAAGTTGCTTAAAATTAAAAGACCTGTAAGCAGTTAAAAAAAAGAACTCATGAGACACCCTGTATGTATACCCATATATTACAATGTTTCAGTCGTTGCGAGCAAAAGTTGCCGGAATTATGCCGTCGAATTGGGATTTTAATTCGTTAAAATTGGCTGCTCCGAATTACTCGAATTTACTTTTACCCTGCTTAAAAGTTAACGCGAGACAAGACGAACTTATAAATAAATCATGCCGGGGAACTGGACACAGGTCCTCATTAATATGCCGGCTTGTTATGCACGAAGACACGACCGTACGCACCGCATAAATTCGTTCCATTTCCGATTCCGAACGCGGCCAGAGAGCAACGAATAAGAATAATTCCGGGCAAATAAACCATTGTTCGTAATGACAAACGGATAAAGCAGATCCATTTTCGTAAGCGTGTAGGCCTAAGGTCCTCACTGCCATGCATCGTAGTTTAAATCCATCATCATCATCATCATCCCCCGACCCTCGTCCGAGTCTTTATTAAGTAATACATTTCGTGAACCCGATTTTAATGGAGATATCATGCGTAATTTTATGGCATTGTTAACGAACCGTTACAGACTGTTATTTTGTAAGACAACGAGAATTGTTTTAATGTGTTCACAATTTTATTGCTAATTATCTTGTGTGATGCATATACTAAGTTGTAAAAACAATTCCAGCTATACTAATGGCTGTAATTATGCATAGTGATGTCACTGAGTGTAGCCAATCATTGTGCTCTGTTTTAAGATCAACCAATAAGAGCCCTCGGTGAATAGTGGCGTCACAGCTAAGAATTTTAGCCATTTACTATAGGTAGAGTTTATTAAACATGTATCAGCTTTACAAAGAATTTCCACGGTCTATTTAAACACATCGAATTTGAATTTTACGTCTCCATTAAATGGCGAATTTAAGAATGTATAGATGTTTGTTGTAGAAAAAAAAATACATTTACTGGTAAATCATTAAAATATACGTAGGCAGTGTGTGTTATAATCTATATTGTTTTAACTTAGAATACCTACTTGCGTTTTAATATTTTTTACTTGATAATTTAAGGATATAATATTATATGTGGCTGTAAACTTAATACTATATCAATGTATTTGACACAATTCTATTAAAAAATAAAATGTTTAAAAGATATGTAGTTTTTTTCTTACTTTAGTTTGGAGCTTATGATAGAACATATTAAAAGATGCAAGTTACCTGAAATCTGCTTTAGTAGACCATCAAATTATTACATCACAAATAAAATTTAAAATAATTTTTTATATTTCTACTTCTTTCATTATGGCATCCTCTTATGTAACCTGTTGTCAGTTGCAGGAAATTTCATATTACAGTTTCCTTCCTTACCATCTTCTTTTTATTTATTTTAAATGTCACTAGTGTCAGTTGCTAGTGTCAAAATTTAATAGGTTATGTCATGAAAATGTTCAAATTTATTCGAATGTGCGACTTAGAATTAAGTTGTTTTTAAATAGAAAAAAAAAGTAACAAAATAAAATGACTTTAATCGATCCGGATTCTAAGGAAGAATCCGCTAAAACCAACGACAAACAACAAACTTCCGAAGCTAGTCAGTGGGGTTACGATTTGTATCCAGATAGACGACACCAACAAAAAACCGCCGGTTTTTTTACCGGAAAAGGCAGGGAAAACATCGAGAAAATCAAATGCGAACGAAGCGTTTACCAGTGCATCAAAGAGAGCCCTTTAATTAAACTGATGATGGGAGCTCTGAGGGCCTCCGGTTGCCCCATCGACATTCGCAGGCACATTTCCTGCGAGGAATGCGCCCCTACAGTTAGCGGAGGATACGATCCCATAATGAATCAGGTAAACTACATCACTTACTACATATTAGAATCATCCAAAACGCACCATTTCAGATTGTAATTTGCCAAAACACGGTAACAAAAACGAGCCTAATCCACGCCGTTTTAACCCACGAGTTCGTTCACATGTTCGACTTCTGCAAGAACGATTTGGATTTCAAGAACCTGGACCATTTGGCTTGCACTGAAGTCAGAGCGGCCAATTTGGCCCATTGCAGTTTTGTGTCAGCCATGTTAAGTGGAGACGCTTCGCCGATTAACATCAAGCAGGCGCATCAGTTCTGCGTTAAAAATAAAGCCCTGAGCTCCATCTTGGCGGCGAGGAATGTAACTGAAAGTGAAGCTATAGCTGCGATTAACAGAGTGTTTACCAAGTGTTATGCGGATTTGGAACCGATCGGGAGGAGGATAAGAAGGAATTCGAATGATATGAGTATGGCTTACGAGGAAGGTGTTTATTATGGTTACGGATAGTTTTTTTAAGCTATTTATTTAGTGTATTTTGTAAATGTTAAATAAATCTATTAATAGCAAAAATGTTTATGATGAACGTAAAAGGAATTAATGCATTTAAACGTAAACAAAACTGCATCATTTTAAAGAAAAACGTCTTAAACAGGAAACTATATTTAAAATAAAAATATACAGTTAAGCTACAATATACATATTTATATAAAATTAGCAAAAAAGCCCTAATACGTCGATTATTAGGTTAAATAAAACAAACAAAAATCAAAATTAGATAAATGCTAAAAATGACAATACCATAATCATTTAATTCATATTTTAAATACAAATTCTTTGGCAATGTATTTAGACTAGACGAAAATTCGAGATTGGATTTATAATGTGTAATTAGAAAAATACGCAGTTAACAAATAATAATTCCATTATATCATTCGTCAATTAATTTATCATTAAATAACATCAATATAGATCCATTATTTAGAGGCACTGACAAAAATGGAATGGCTCAACAAAATAATTGATCACATTTTTTTTACTTATTCATCTACCAACAGCCACCTAATTTAATCATTGAAAATAGAAATTTTCACAAAAAAAAATTCATAACATTTTTATTACGTTACCGTTTGCACGAAAATTGCTTTATGATACTTAATAGATAACACACTATTGTATGATCAAATTTCAACGAGTTAATAATATAGAAAGCCACAATAATTATTTTAATTAGTACAAAAATAAGCAACAAGTCGGTTAATTACAAGAGTAAATTAGTTGAAAATAGAAATCGAATTATTCATCAAGATATTTAAACCATATAATCGAGAATTGAACGCATAGAGACACGAAAAATGTCTTGAATAATAATAACTCCCAAAGGAAAAAATACCCAAAAAATTCAGAATAAAATAATTAATAAAACAGTGCAACAATTCAATATAAGAAGATAGAAACTCGTGTAAACACCCCAGGAAAAAATTATGTAAAAAATGGATCGACAATACCATTAGTAAAAATTCCTGATTAGACTTTGTATTCTAATGTTTGCATGTACAGGGTGTTTACTACATATATTCTGGGGAAATATCCCATTTCTACCGAGGGAAGGCTAGAATAGAAAAAATAATAGAACAAAATTTTACCTTATCCAATACGATTATTATCTCTTATTACAGGAGGCATGGAAATGTTTTACAACCACAATTTCCACAATCTCGAAGCGCAAAATATGCATAGTGAAAACGTTTATATAAAACGCAATTTTAACTCTACATTATATCGACTTTTAAACGGACATTTAAAAAAATATCTCATCGATTACAACCTAGTTAACTGCGCATTTCCCGGACAAAACTTTGTGGAAAATTCGCCTAGCCCCTCAGCTTTGATTTTTATTTAAACGATATTAAATAGAAATGAACGTCCAACCTGTTTGACACGCGCATCCCTCTCGAAAAGGATCCCGAGATTTTTTACTCTATAGATTTTTGCTTAAAAAGACCTCCAATTGCACAGATGAATTTTTAGTGTGTAATTTGTTGCCCGTCCCGGCGCTTTTTCCGTCATAGACTCCTAACGTCCTTATTCCAGTTCTCTCCTACACACATGCAATTAACAAAAAATTAGTCCAAAAACATAAAAAAAAATCATCGGTGTGTAGCAAATTAAGGACAATACAATACAGTAATAACCGCTTGAATAAAAACACTAACAATTTAGCAATGAATTTACATCCTCCAATAATAATTAAACAATTATTAAAGTTATTACCAATTCTACTAACTACATTACATCCCTATATACATCCCTACAACCAAATTTAGTGTTATTACTTAAACGGATTTTACTGTAAAGGAAACGCACTGTGTTAAAATATGGCAATGAAACGAAAAGTGTGCGTGTATTTCCAGAATTCATCCTTAATTAATGAACCAAAAATGTAACTGGTAGTCCCAAAAATTAAACTACACAAAAATCGTTAAATAAAACAAGCATTAAAATAAATCGGCGCATGCAGGATAAGCGACAAGCGATAAATAAATTTACCAATTCAAAGTACCTCTTTATAACAGGTGCATCTAGCGTAATGGTAGTACTGATATAAGCCTTTCGAAGCCACTCGGTATATTTTTTTTTTCATCAAAAAAATAGAAGTATATTTTAATTGTGGAAATTTTGTGTGATTTAATAAGTTTTATTTAAGAAATTTGATCCGAAACACAATAAATCCCGCAATTAAAAGACCCCCAAGAGAAAGTGATTAGTAAGGGAAATCGAGGAAAACGGTGAAAATAGATGTAAACAAACCTTGGGAACACTGACTGTTGATTGGGATAGAAAATAATGTGCACAACAGTAAAAATACACCTAGAAATGAAATTTAAATTTAAATAATCGTTTATTTGTATATAGATATATATTTTTGTAATTTTATTATCAGCTATATATTTCTGATTTTTAATTGATTCTCTTTTATTCGTAACATTTCGTCTGCATGATACCAACATAAAATTGTTAAATATTATAATAGGATTATTAGATTCCTATATTTAAATGAGAACAGATTTTTTTATAATCGACTTTTTTATATTCTTTCACAGCCCCTAAACTCTAAAAGGAATAAAATTGGGGTTTCTCCAATACACCCTAACGACTTCCAAATTTTTAAAAATACTCCATAATTTTCATTAGTCTTTTTACTATTGCTATTTTAAATACTACATGTGAAATCTAACCAAATACGTGGCGTTACATTAATTAAGTACATTTTTTTAAGTAATTATGGAATATTTTATCCATTAAGTACTCGTTAAAATCGTTGGGAAAATGTAACCGAAACACCCCAGCTAACTCTCATTATTCAAAGATTTATAAATTGTCAACAACTATCGCCTAAAATATATGCAAATATTCAAGGGAATTTAGATTCTTAAATTTTCAATAATTCGTTAAAGGATTCTAATTAATATTGGAAAATAAATGTTTACAATAAAAATTTACAGTAGTGTAAACAATTTTTCCCTCTTCTAAACAGCTAACATTAGTACTAGCGTTACAATTCGTACTCAATTTTAATTATCTCTTACAAGCCAAACTTCTTATTCTAGTAACACTAGCACAAACGTTAAAACAAAAATCTACAAAAAAATATATCACAAAATAATTTAATCAGTTCTCTCGAATGTCTACCGGGTCAGTTTGATAAATATGCGAAACAGGTTTTGTGAACGACAAAAAACAATTTACGTTTAGGAGGGGAGACACTTCAATATACGATATTCAAAATGGGGAATAGACTAAAATACATTACAGTTAATTACGAGGCAATTAATTACTTAATTTTTTGTCAATGCGATGAAATCATCGCATTAATATATCGTCAAATTAGAATACATTATTGCAAAGAAAATTATAAAGCGATTTTTAACGATATTCCCTATGGAATATTAAAAAAATATTCGTATTTGATGAACTAAATCGCTATATAAATTTTCACGATAGAATAAACTGTTGAATGCAGACAGTATAGGAAGAAAAAACATGAACGAAATACTTATCTAACTCGGGTATTTTCGGCAAACAAAAAAAATCAAATAAAACAGATAGAAAGTACAAAAATAGTATCAAAAAAAGGCAGTAAAACACACGTATATGTAAATAGGTGTAAAATAAAGCCCATATTTTAAGCAATTTCGATAGAAATATATTGATAAAATTGCTTAAAAATATTTGAAGATTAACGAAATTACCAGCGCCAAGTCCAAATACCAAATTGTTCCAAAAAAAGACTAAGAGAAGTTGCACTGAAAGCTGTCGTTTGTCGAAATATTGATGCTCACACAATTTAAAAACAAATCAAAAAGGATAAAAAAAACCCAACTCACAACCATATATCACTGTACTAACTAATTTGGATACTTTCTAATTGTTACATAAAACCGTAAGCACCAATACTCCAAACTATCCCTTTACCAAAAAAAAATAATACATTACAAAATAAACCACCAACAAACTGTAAAAAATAATAAATAAAAAACAAAAAAAAAAAACTCGAGCATGCCTAGCCAACCGCAAACCTTCGTATCAAAAAAAAGGTAAAGTTGTATTTTACACCCGCACTCTGCGCAACACCTTCTGCGCACTACGTCACCAAGATTTTTTTCAAGCCATTTTGAACCATATCGACAGCGGTATTGCCGAGTAATGATTGTTTTATTTGATTTAAGGATAAGTTAAAAAAAATATGTTTATCCGATTGAATTAAATTGAGTTCTTCTAATTACAATATACAGGGTTGGGCAAAAGTCCGGAATAAAATTATTATCTGTTGAACCAGTAATTTAAACAAAAAACGCTGAAACTCGTGAATTGATTTTATATTGAACGGATTTGTTGCCAATAAAATGATTTTTTTTTCTTCAACCCCTTAGTTGCAATCCTACTCAACTTTGTTTATTTAAATGCAAAGGTATGTCGTGTGTAGGGTCATTGAAAAGCCCGCGAAAAATGGAACCTGAAACATACTTTTTTTTTTCTCATGTGGTTATTGAGAAATGAGCAAATAATTCTTTTAAAAACAAATATGTTACAAATACCTTTTTAGTGCTATCGACGTGTGAATTAAGGTAGCAGATGTTGGTTGTCCTCAACCCTCTACTTAACAGGCTCCAAGGCAATGGTAAAACCTAATATCGGTAGCCTATCTTTAATTCTGAATGAATTTTTATTAAAAACTGGCGAGCCTGGGCAGGCAGCACACCTAATTTTATTGATTTTCCGTTTATAACTGATAACGCAACTTAGCATCAACATTCGTTGAAATTTATGTTTTAAGAAAAAACTAAAACATAAAATGGGTTTAATTCTAAGCCATTGTTGATCAGTGAACTTCAAAAAGGAAAAAAGATGTTGCATTTTTGTACAAGTTTTTTTTTACCTAAGGTTCGCCTGTTTTTATTAAAAAGTCATTCAGAATTAAAGATATGCTATCGATATTACGTTTTACCAATGCCCGGGGAGCCTGTCAAGTAGATGGTGGAGGACATTTTCAACATTGCTACGTCGATAGCACTAAAAAGGTATTTGTAACTTAATTGTTTTTAAAAGAAATTTTTGCCCATTTCCAAATAACAACATGAGAAAAAATAAAAAAAGGTATGTTTTAGATTCCATTTTTTACAGGCTTTTCAATGACCCTACACACGACATACCTTTGCATTTGAAAAAAAAAACTTAGGTAGGGTTGCAACTAAGGGGTTGAAGAAAAAAAAATCATTTTATTGGCACCAAATCCGTCCAATATAAAATCAATTCACGAGTTTCAGCGTTTTTTTGTTTAAATTACTGGTTCAAAAGATAATAATTTTATTTCGGACTTTTGCCCAACTCTGTATTAATTATCATTCATTTAATGAATTTAAGTGTGGTTTAATTTGGCAAATAACAACTCGAGTTCTCACCTACAAATGCTTTAAAAAGCGGTTAAACGAACCTAAAAGGAGGTAAATCCAACCAAAACAGCGCAAAATAAAATAAAATGCGCTATTTTAATTTACACTAATACGACACAAACACCAAATATTAAATAAACCAACTTGACACAAAATCATAACCTAAAACTCGATAATAATGAAGAATGTAAACATTCAGCATTTGGCAACCGCGCGCTTGAAATCAGTCAAAAACCCACCCGATTATGTAGTGCGCAGAAGGTGTTGCGCAGTGTACAGGTATAAAATACAACTTCACCAAAAAAAAAACCTTCGAAACAAATTAAAATAATAATAATATCATAAACACGAAGCTACGCGCGCCCCCCCTTCAACCCGCGTCAACGTCTCCATTGAGCAAATTTCGATTGTAGATAGCTTGTCTGTAACTGTACCTATTGACGGTCGGCGACGGTCTATCGGGCACCGGCGGCGCCACGACGGCGCCGTCGGCGTCGTCCAGCAGGCACACGTTGGGTGACCCCGTCGCCCCTCCGACGCCGCTCTCGTCCGCCTCCCCGATGCTGTTCTCCGCCAAACTGGCCACCGACATGCGCGAACGCAACATCAAACTGTAGGTTTTGTACTTCTGCAACTGCAACAACAAACGCATTGTATAATCCATAGACAAAATAAAAGAGACTGTTTAAAACATAGGACCAAGTCCACGGTTTGTAGAATAATACGGTTACCTCACTTTGCTGGCAAAAGTGGGGGGGAATACGTCACCAGTATGCTAGAGTTTACTTGAGCCTACTAATCGTTACGAGTTTTCGTAGTTTTCTTCGTAGTTTTCTTTTTTTGTTGATGTTAATTGTGGTTTCTATTGAAGTTTTTTGAGTTTTCGTGTTTTCTTTTTATTGTGTTTAACTTCTTAGTAGTATATCAGACTATTTACAGACTATTTTCAATAATTAATTTGTTCTAAACATTATATATTTCTTTCATCGCGGAGAGTCAAGTAAATACAGGGTGTTTCATTGGGAAAGAACAATATTTTAACCCTGTATAGAGGTCACCCAGGGGATTACAAAAAACCCATATACTATGGATCTTCCGCCCTTTATAACCGAGTTATAACCGGGTGTTTTTTGAATTTGGCCCATTTCTTTCGACACCTATAACTTTTGAATCACTCAGTATATTTTTTTGATATTTGGCATAGATATTATATACCTTTAGTACAATTCATTGCCACATTAAAAAATTACAAAATCCAGGTCCGGATTTCGAAAAATTAATAAAATTTGACCGGCCCTAAAACAACACCCTATACATCATATTTTTAAAAATTTAATTTCAAATTCAGAAAGAGCATAAAAAACTGAATGTATTCATCAACTTTTTATTTTCCCGCATGCCGTTTTTCTACTAAAATTTAAACGTTAAAATGAACATTATGAGATTTTTTGTCCATGTAAATTGTAATTGAAGGGATTTTAATTATTTTTTCTTTAATAAAACCAGATTTACTTAACACTTGCATGAAAATTCTTGAAATAGACCTATTGAACTTGAATTACCATTTACATAAACCAACAAAAATTACAATTAGAGATCCGCACTTAATAAAATTAAAATCGTTTATTCATATTTATTCGTTTCATCTCATATCGTTTATTTATTATATATCTCGTTTATTTATATGTTTATAATGTTTATTTATATTTACTTTGATATAAATATATTTTGTCGTAATACTTTGTTTTATTTAAGAATTTAAGGCCCGAAATAACTATAATAATATGTACCGTTTAATAGGTATACAAATAAACCATTTATCATTTAATTCAAAAAATACCCGTCTCCTTTTAAATTTTAATATATTTATGGAAAATATACTTTTATTAGTTATTATTCCTGTCCATTGTCTCAATTTTTATAATATTTTACCCTGTAAATATTATTAAAAACATTAATTTCATTACACTTGAGATGCTCGGAATTTGCCACTCGAATTCTTGTGACGTCACGAGATACCGTGCGTGATTGGCTAAAAAGTTACGAGACAACCGTATTATTCTACAAACCGTGGACCAAGTCGACAACAGGCCTTAGATCGGAGACCAGCCGTTAGAGGCGCTGCTATCGAAAAATGAAATATATTTCGATTGTTTTGATTAGCTAATTTTACATGAGATTCGCATGGAAACGATCGCGGGTTCAGCCGTCCAGCCGGTCGTTTTTTAAGTGAGTTTCGTGAGTGATGTAAAAGACGCCATTTCCATTATAGTGCTTAACCTAAATTGTGAGTATTTATAATTTATATTTTTATATGTTTGCAAATTTAAAATGTCAACGCCAATTCGAAGGAAGGTTCGTAAATGTGCATTGTTATTTTCCTAAATTAGATGCTGCTCATATTTTTTTTCTGTTTTAGTTAGCTCTACAAGAATTGGAAGCTGAAGGCCCTGGGAACTGAGGGATCTGACAGGGAAAGTTGTTCTTATTTTCTAATTTGCAATATAGCAATATAGCAATATTATAAAAATAAAATTGAATGTATAACCCATTTTGAATTTTGAAATATAGAAGAAATCTACTCGATATATCATTAGTTCGTGAGACCAGCCACTAGGAACAGCACCATTTACACGTTGCCAATTTTTAGTAAGAGATCGAACTCTCTCATCTTTCTTTCTCTATGGTATAATCGCTAAAGGACATTCGCGCTCGCTAGGCAATGACGTCACAAGCCAACCTGTTGCAACGTTGCCGGGTTGAAATGACAATCATGATGTGACAGATATATTTAATTTAACGTTATGTTTACTTTCATTGTTTAGAAATTAAAAAGAGGAAATGCATTAGGCTGCAATCTGATTGACGGGAGAGGTGTTTATTTGCAACGCTTCAAAACCCTATAAAACAGAAATATACATTTAAAAAAACTATTCGTAAGTTTAACATAACCTATAAATTTCAATGTGCTGAACTATCGAAAATATCGATCTGTATTTATTAATCCCCGTTCCCTCTCAAAATAGGTCGAAAAAAACCGAAAATCTCGGGAGAAACTGTCGATAACTGTACATAAACTGCACTAAAAACTATCTAGAACGAACGAAAAACACAAAACCTACTCGTAAACTTGAAAAAATACAGGAAAATCGCGCAAAAACAACAAATCGTAGTCATAACCTGTCAAAGTGTCAACTACAAAGTGCAATCTACACTAAATATTGCAAATGTTGAGACTAAATGCATGACAACATCGCCTTCGACTTTCAACTAGGCGTCGTTAAATTCCCCTAGTCAAATGGGAGAATTAACATTGACACTAGGGAAATGTTGAACTGCGTGGAAATTAATGACGTCGTCTAAAAGAGACATCATTGCCTAGCGAGCGCGAATGTTCTTTAAAGAGCTTTCGGCATGTCGGAACAGTCGAATGTGACACAAAACACGTATTTCGGTCTGTTAGAACTGTCAAACGTTAGGCAAAAACATGTTTTTATGTAGGCCAGAACCACGGCCTTATATTTCTAAGGTCTGGACATAACAGCTTGTGCTTATGCATTAGAGAATGTGTCCCGTTATTTGAGGACTTTTTGAGCTTCACTTTTTCGCCGCGCCGTGGCGAACGATCGGAGGCCCAACTTATTTTAGCCAATCAGCGTCGCGCTTCATATAAATCGCGGTTGTGTGAAACGACAGTTCAAGCTGTCAAAACTTCAAAAATTATTTTTTGACATTTTGAGGAGAAAATGGAGAAATACATTAACCGAAGATACGTGAGGCATGATGTTAACAACAAAATCATCGCTGATTTAAGTATCTATTTTTAGTATGAATATAACCTTTTTAATGCTAATTCTATATAATCGCCTCCTAGCGGCCGTTTTAGGAACCCTGTTTTATCCTCATATAAGGGACACTTTTTCGACCTATGTTTCCAGACCTTAGAAATATAGGACCGTGCTCAGAACAGTCAAATGTGATACAAAACACGTTTTTCGGTCTGTCAGAACTGTCAAATGTAATGCAAAACACCTTTTTAGTGTGTCAGAACTGTCAAATGTTACGCGAAACATGTTTTTCAGTCTCTCAGAACAGTCAAAAGTGAATAAAAACACGTTTTTCAGACTGTGAGAATAGTCAAATGTGCCACAAAACACATTTTTTAAGTCTCTCAGAACCAAATGTGATACAAAACACGTTTTTCAGACTGTGAGAAATAGTCAAATATGATATAAAAGACGCTATTTAGTCCATCAGATCAGTCAAATGTTATAAAAAACACGTTTTTTAGTCAGATACACAGGGTGTCTCGCTATTCTAATATCCATATCATTCGAACTCAAGAGATATTACTAATTGACCATCGTCTATTGACCGTTCAATGCTTACTTCGTAGGTTAAATACGCCTCTTTCTCTTTGTAATTCTGTATCATTTGAGATTTCGATCCTTTTTCTGGCGGAAATTTTCGATGCTCGTCCAACGTAGCTCCCAGTCTCATAACTCTCTCCTCGTGATCCGCTAACTGTTCTCTCTGCAAACGAAACAGGCCACATTAGAGATCCTTACGCAACGTTATTGTTGTAGTATTTTTAAATAATGACAGTTATTCAAGTTAGGCCCGACTGTAAGTGCATAGTTCAACTGTGGTTCTGCGTTGAACTTAGTTTACAAGTTACCCCAGTTCCTTTACTACTCTTGAAGGATATTCAAATATGCATATTTGTGAAAAATTACAAGGTTATAAAATTACAAATAAAAAGGAGGTTTTTTTATATTGGGTCAGAATGGCTTAACTTAGCTTCGTGAAAAGTTGTACAGAATATCTTTGTTTGATTTACCTAATTTTGAATCGAAACTAAATTTATCGGCTTATTTTTCATAATTTTAGACTTTGTAATTTTCTGTAAACCCCACATTTTTGGAAACAAATTTCATTGGCATTTATACAATTTTTCAATCACAAAAGTTTGGAACATTTGTAGTCAGTTATTAATAATAAAAATAATTTCATTAATTTATAAAAACTTAAATATGGCATTTATTATGATTAGTAAATAGATTTTTGATAAAAGTATCTCAATCTGTTAAAAAAAGGTGCTATGTTAAAACGCGCTTAAAAATGTTCCAAACTGTAGTTCACAAAACTCTCAACAAAAACCTAGTGGAAACAGTTCTGAGCAGTGTTGTTAAGTAATTAATTACAAGTAATTGAAAAAGTAATTGAATTACTTTTATTGTAATTGAGGCGGTAATTAATTACAAGCTCTTCAATTGTAATTCATTTGTAATTCAATTACTCCTTTCGTTACAATTACATTTAACAATTACATTTCAATTACATTGGACACAAAAGTACTTATTTAATATTTTCAATACGTGGAAAGTTTAATTCCGATTGAAAATCCCTAAATAATTATTTAAAAATGACATCAAAGCAAAGTAATTGTGAGTGTAATTGTAATTACATTCGCAAATTTTGTAATTGTAATTGCAATTAATTACAAATTGTCAAAAGTAATTGTAATTAATTACATATTATAAAGTAATTTTAACTTCACTGGTTCTGAACACTAACATTTTGGACACTCTCAGAGAGTCAAAATTCGCGAGTTTCCTCTCGAATGGGCAAAGATCTGAGAGTTACTCTCGAGAGTTGCTCTCAGGAAAACTCTCAAATGGACAGGTAGCATTAACGAGTAAGGTAAACTCACCAAATTCAATTTCGTATGGCTGCAGGGTAGCAAAGGCCTTTGGAATTTCTTTTGGGAACCGACAGCAGCTTCTAGAGGCGGCGCGGAGAAACTGGCGCACACCAAATTAATAGTATCTATCCAAGATTGCAATTCCTTCGAGTCACTAGATACAATTCAAGCATCGATTAGTTCAAATTTCAATATACAGGATGGCACATTAGTATGGAAAAGCTCAATATATCTGTTATTGTAGAAGATATCAAAAAAACGTCATTACAAAAGTTGTAGATCTTTTTAAACTGCACATTTTAAAATTAGTTACATTCATACAGAGTGTCCCGTTTTTCCGTAGTAGATCAAATTTATACTTTTTTAAATGGAACACCCCGTTTTTTATTTAAAAATTGAATTTAGCTCGTTTTCAGCTTTCCAAAAATATAATTTTGTATAACATTATACTGAGTGGTTTAAAAGTTATGACCTATTTTAAACGAAAATCGTACTAAGTTTACCACTCTGTAGAAACTAAATGGATTGAATTGAAAATAAATTTCACGTTTTACAACATTGCAAATATCCTGAAAATTTACAAAATGAGTATTTTTTGTCAATTTTAATCATACTGCTTACAGGGTGGATCCAAATGCAAAAATAACATTTTCTCTGTTAATTTAAATGGATCACCCTATATTTTATACCGTTAACAGGAAGTATTTTTGAAGTATTTTCATTCTTAATAACCATTCCCTATACCTAAAGTTAACACTTTTCGAGATAATTCAATTAAAAAAATTAGAACTTAAAATTGAAGAAAAAAAAAGCTTTCTTTTTTATATTAACCGAAGTTCTGTTAAAAATTGTCTATACCTAATAAACCTTCCCTGTACCTAAATTTGATATTTTTCGAGATATTTCAATATTCTTTAATTGGACTCACCTATCACCAGATACTAATCGCTAATAGTGTAGGTACTAATAACTTTATTGTGTCTATTGCGACTTATAACAATTACTAATACCATTTATTAATATAATAATTTGGTCCATTTTGTTCATTTAGCGGAAGCCGTACGATTGAGACAATCTAAACATTTTTCAAAGGATTTTTTGTTAGGTTGTATTCCTCCAGGATATCTCTCATGGCAAACCAACAAATTCTCTAAACTTTCTCCCAATACCCAAATCATAACCATCAATAATTGTTCAATAGAAAAATTCATTTTGTATTCTAATTTTTTATAAATTGTGGAGGCAATACCGACAAATCATACCAGATAGTATTTAATTGGCGTTTCTTACTTCTTTCTGTAACGTGTACTTCGATCAAAAAGAAACCTTAATTTTTTTTCTTCAGTATTCCTTTCTAGTTTTTTTTTAATTGGAATATCTCGAAAAGTGTTAACTTTAGGTATAGGGAATGGTTATTAAGAATGAAAATACTTCAAAAATACTTCCTGTTAACGATATAAAATATAGAGTGATCCATTTAAATTAACAGAGAAAATGTTACTTTTGCATTTGGATCCACCCTGTAAGCAGTATGATTCAAATTGACAAAAAATATTCATTTTGTACCTTTTTAGGATATTTGCAATGTTGTAAAACCTGAAATTTATTTTCAATTCAATCCATTTAGTTTCTACAGAGTGGTAAACTTAGTACGATTTTCGTGGAAAATTGGTCATAACTTTTAAACCACTCAGTATAATGTTATACAAAATTATATTTTTGGAAAGCTGAAAACGAGCTAAATTCAATTTTTAAATAAAAAACGGGGTGTTCCATTTAAAAAAGTATAAGTTTGATCTACTACGGAAAAACGGGACACTCTGTATGAATGTAACTAATTTTAAAATGTGCAGTTTAAAAAGATTTACAACTTTTGTAATGACGTTTTTTAGATACCTTCTACAATAACAGATATATTGAGCTTTTCCATACTAATGTGCCACCCTGTATAAAAACATGCAAATCTACCTAGTTTGGAACAAATACTCGGCCTGATCGGCCGTCTGCAGCCGAAAAACGTACTGCTTCTTGGTGTAATCGGACGCCTTGGTGGCCAATGCGTGGTGTATGCGAATCGCGTTGTGCAGATTGTCGCCCATTTGGTTCTTCCTGAAGCCGTTCTCGTCCTTGTGGAGATAGAGCACCAAGTCGCGCAGCGTGCAATAAAACATCTTCCAGCTGCGCTTGTGAAACGGAGCTAGAAAATAGCAGCAAAGGCCTTCGAAACAGCTATTTTGTATTGCAACATGCTTTTAAAACGATTGGGCGAGTCGCAAAATAATTGACAACATTTTTTGCAACTCTCGAGATTCTTAAGGAGGTTGGGGCGTTACAGTGCGGGACGCGATGTAGGATGGGCCTAGTTAAATGCATACACCATTGGAAAATTATTCGCGCATAATAGGGAAATCAATGTTAAATTCTTAGCCGGCTGAAATCCAGTCTACCAGTGTACATTTTAATAGAACGTGGCGATCAATTCTAATAAATTTAATTGTTTTACTGGACTTCACACAGCGCTTTGGTTCGGTTAGATTAAAAATCAAATAATTTCGACGGTTTCGACACTTCGACAGTATCAAAACGGGTTCGGATGGGTGAACGTCGAGTCGATTAAAAAGAAATAAGAATTTTTAAACGATAATTTATTTAAAAATTATCACTGATATTAAAATAGAATTATGTAGATATGTCTTTTTGTCACAATGGCTTGAAAAAGAAAGTAAATTCTAAGAAAATAATAAAAAGGAAACTCCAAAAATTAACTTAAAGATTATTTTAAAACAGAAAATAAAAGAACTCTAAAAAATAGTCCACCGCTTTCTGCTAAACAATAGCCAAACCTGTCATACAGATGTCATCCCATATTACTGAACTGAGGTATAATTCTAGCAGAAAATTGAATTATTATTTCCCTTATTTCAACAAAATTAGTTGCTCTTTCAAAACTGTACCTACCGATACACGCATTTTTTGAAATATCCCCAAAAAAAACTATTAAATGTAGTTTCTAAATAATTTTGTACCTCATACCTAACACAAATAACTTTGTACCTCTACAAATCGCGGCGTGCGGTCCAGTAGAACAATTAAATTTATTAGAATTCATCGCGAAGTTCTATTGAAATGTATACTGGTAGACTGGATTTCAGCCGGCTAAGAATTTAACATTGATTTCCCTATTATGCGAAATTAAATTTCCAACGGTGTATAACAAGACAAGCAGTGCCAACTTCAAAAAGACAAATAAAGTATAACGTTTTCTTCATTTTTGAGTACATTCTAATGACGAATGTATGATTTTTAAACGTTTTGTACGATTTCATATCCGTAATAGCAATGAGAAACTGTTTGTTGCATGCAACATGTAGTTTCGATTTGAATAAAATAACACGTTTAAGTTTGGCAACGTCGCCAATGGTTTTGAATGAAATTAGGTTCGATTCTAACCTATCAGCTGTCAACAATGTTCTCGACGATAAAGTTTGCCGATATAAAGGCATAAATATGAGTATAAATAAATTCGAGAATCGCAAAAAAATGTGGGAATCGTGCATGCTTCTTAAAACGCGTAAAATCGCGAATAAAATACAAGAAACAGATAACAGCGGACAGCTGAGTTTGCAGCGTTGCCGCATTAAAGTGACAGAGAGACCGATTTTGGCCATTTTTAGTCAACAACGATATATTTTGCATCATTGCAACAAATCCAGCGAGTGAATCGAGTTCAAATTTTACCTGTGTCTTCAGAAAATATTGCATTTGGTTATGCAATTTTTTTCTTAAGCATTTATTCGTCTAGTTTTTTTTTAAACCATCCTAAAGTTTCCGCCCATAAGAGCTCATGTAATTTCAGACGATTTTACTATTTATTTTCTCCTATTCTGTCGAGAGAAATTCCTTCAATTTTACTGGGGTGGTTTTAAATGCTGTTTTTTACAAAATACATTTTTTTTTTAGAATTTTTTATTCGTCAAGAACGTAACGCCCCAACCTCCTTAAGATGAAAGCGAATGGATGTTTGAGAATTAATAAGAAATGAATAATAAATAAAAATAATAACAAAATAACTAAAATTTGTGAATTTTAAAAGCAATTTTTTTAAATAAATATACCATTAAACGTACCAATTTGATCCAATTTTATTATAATCACTATTTTACCTATCATATTAAGCTTGATTATTCGTGTTGCAAAAACCAATGCAATACAAATTTTAATAACCAAAACCAAAAAATAATTACTACAAAATATTGAAACCAATCTATTACAATTGTTTGAAGAAACACGAATTCTCAAGCACACTGTACAGAGTATGAAGCGCTCTATATTAACGATTATAAAGCAGTAAGTAGTGTGTACCTGCACAAATAAAATTAGTAATATCTAATTACAATCAACTACAATGTAAATTATTTATACACTAATTAATTTCCTCTAAAAAAAATCGATATTATATACAGAAAACTGTACTCACTTCTTTTAGCGTTCGTTTCGTAGCAACACTTCCTCATCACGTAACCTTTCTTGAACTCTACTGCATTAGCAGTGGTGGGAACGTCAAGGAACGGATTACATCCCAAATTCACGTTTTCGTTATTTCTCGATTGCGCTTGCATGTTGTTCCTTTCTTCGACTTCTTCATCCCTAAAAAAAAACATACATGTTGAATCCAACGAAATCTCACTAGTAATTATTGCATCGCTGAATTGAAAGCAACGAGGTAGCTGCCGAGTATTCTCGACAATATCACGTGAATGTTTTCACACAAATAGTGTACGAATATTTTTACATGGGTATATCTGTGTGGATTTGAAATTTCCAATGGAATTACTGAAATGACTTTGCGCAATTGTGGTTGTATCAAGTTCTGTCGCTATTTGTTATATTGTTTTTTGATAAACTTAAATATGAAAGAAGCAGCTCTTCTTAATTTAGGACTGTTAGAAGAGGCCGAGATATTGGCCATATTTATAAAAATTAAGCATTTACTTTGAAGTTAAAGGTAGAAGCAAAAAGTAAGAGAAAAGGGTTTTAAAACCTTGCTTCAAAGTGGAATGCTGGAGATCCTTTCACCACTTTAAGTGATAAACAATTTATAGCGTTATTCAGGCTTTACAAAGAAGTACTATCAAATCTTTTCCAGAACTTGAAGGCCTTTGATCTTGAAGGCATTTGATCCGACTTTGATCCGAGATCAGTTGATCCGAATTTAATACTTTAATGACCTTACAACAGGGGAAAAACTACAGAGCATCCCATGATCTAGGTGGTTAAGGGGGAACAACAACAATTATCGCATCTAATTCTGCATTGTTATCAATATCAATTAAATAATTTATGTAGTAATTGGCACTTACAGAGCCCATTCGAGGGGGCAATTCTTAATTGCATGATACAGTTGCTTCAAAACGTCTCTCGGGAAGTTTTCGCATTCGTTTAAACCCGCTAAATTCTCTATAAATTCGTTACACGTCATTTTCCTTCCTATATTTTGGCCATGTATATCCGTATTGAGCAACATAATGGCACATGTTAATGTATGAACGGCATCTAAAAAAAATAATGAAATACATACGGATTTGATTCAATTATAAAATCTGATGGTAAATACCCTGGGAATTGAATGAACCGGGGTTGCAGTCTAAATATCTCTTGGAAAAATGAACGAGTACGCGCTCCCTCTCTTGTGTCTCGCCCGTGAGGGAGAATTGCTTAAGGAACTTTCTCAATGCTATGTCTAGGTTGTCTTTTTGAAAATCGAAGTACTTCAAATATTCCTCAGCTACAGCTCGACTGAAATCGTTACTGAAAAAAATTATTATTAATCCACGTTAGTATCAAGTAGACTGTTTGACAGAAATTAAATTTCCATTGTTGCCAACAGATTTTAGGTTACTATAAACACGCCTCCTTGATGAAAAAAAAAAACGCAATCGCAACGAGATCTCATTGGTCACATTGCACTCGATATGTCTTTGTCTAACGCATACATTTCGTGTATAGACCTATTCAGTTTTACCTGTGCTGCGCGCGCATACTGTGGATCATAGACCTATTAACTATGGACGCGGTTTAGACAAAGAGGTAGTGTTGTCGATGAATGAGAGAGATGCAGCTAGTTTGGGCATATGGCAATGAGAGATTGGACAATGCATTAGCCAATAGTAAGAAAGAAAAAGACCACGTGAGTTACGTTTTCAGAAATGCAAGGTAGCTGGGGTAGAGGAGGGTAGTTTATGGTAGAATAGGGTTGAGGAGTGCAGCGGAGGGTGTTGGGATTTATTATTTTTTTGCCGAGCAAAATGCATTCTTCAGCTGAGCCTAAATTCCCACGCATTTGCAAATACAGTTCTTATTTTGTATTGTTAATTGGAACATCCTACCTATTAGCCAGTACAGATTTCGCAATTTAAGACCTAGCTGCTTTCTCTTGTAAAAAATATGTTTCTTCCAGGTCATTCTTCTGTTCAAGTGGATACCAAGATAAAAACAATATTTAAATATTAAGCGTATAAATAATTTAACAGATTAATAGCCTTTTTTCACGCACCCTGTATATATTTTATATTTTTTTTGGTCCCGCCTAATTTTAGCCCAAACTAGCTCCATCTCTCACGGACCTCTCTCTCTATCATTGGGAACGCTGAATAACCTCAAAATAACGATTGTGCCGCGTCCATACTTCATAGGTCTATGCTGTGGATAATTAACTTGACATCTAAACGAACAAACGAACGCACCTCAGGTACAATACGGTTCTGACAACTAGACAACGACATACTTCAGACGTCATTTGTCATTATCCAATAATCCGTCGGATTTAATTTGCATTGGACAAATGGACTCGATTCAAATTTGTTTTTACTGCCCAGAAAGGGGATTAGGCTTAATAATTACTTGCAGGTCAAGTCTAAGAAAGAGTAAGAGGGTTAGTACAAAGTTTCTCAAAATGCCTTTTGATCGGTTTTCCATTATATATTTCAAAGAAATAATCCCATTGACCTATATAAAATATATAACCTTTATAAATAAATATACTAAATAATACACAAAAATACTGTTAAACAATAAAACACACTGAACATAAACAAACATCAAACGGAAAAAAGAAACAAAATAGGGTTAAGATTGAAGATGGTCTCTTCTTTTTTATATTTAAAACAGTTTTCAGCTAAGAATCATTCAATAGGTCTGTCAATCAGCATTGAAATAGGCCAAATATCTCATCTCTCTTGCACTTACGTTTGCGCAGATTTTAAATGGTTCCACAGTTTGCGCGTGAAACATATTTGCTTCTTCTATTATCTAATGTTGATCTAATAACTCCATCACTCTCTTTCGTAAACTGAATAGGTCTATTGCCACATTTAAATAATGACAGTTAACGTGTCATTTGTATAGAAGAAAAACTTACTTTTTGCTAAGATGCCTGGAGACGTCGGATTTCTTGAAACCGTCCAAACTGTAAAGCCGCTTCGCCAACCGAATAGCAGAAGGCATATCGACCGCTTTAGGCGAATAATGGAAGCTGTGAAGGCTTTCCACGTCGCTTTCGTCTTCGGACGACAAAGGAGACGATTTGTTGTTCGACACATCCCGATAACCATCGTCGAAATCGTGAAAACCATCGCCCGATATCTACAATAATGCAGGTAAAATAAATCAGTTACATTCAAATAATTAATTACCATGACTAATTAAATTAGTTATATACACAGTGCGTCCCCCTAAGTTTGGTTAACACTAGGTTTGTTCCAGCAGCATGTTTTGTGTTGTTTCGAACATTGTGAGCATGCGCAATGTGTTATTTGGTGTTCTGAGTAAATGTTTGCTGTTCCGGCAGAATTCGTTTTTTTTTTGTTTGGATCATGTTTGAGATCTGCCAAACTGTTCTCGTTTGAAGTGAGAACAATTAAGAGCAATTCGAAAATAAGTATGGTTGTATTAGTTTGTTGTTGGTCATAAATAAACTGCTCCACAAAAGTTAAGGAAGTTCGGAAATTTTGCGATTATTTTAAAAGTTACAGAATTTTTGATCACCAAATTTTCAAATATGTGAAATTAAATGTTTTCTCTCATATCTGAGTGGATTTTTTGCCCCTACCTCTACAACTCATACTAAATTTAGCGATCAAAAAACCTGCAACTTTTAAATTAATCTCAATATTTGTAAACTTCCTTAACTTTTGTGGAGCAGTATAGTATGATTAAAGAACCCATCCTAATTTTATATTAAACGCAATTATAATTGGGAAATATTTACGCTCTACTAGGGGTAGGTATGCAAAAAGTAGGTATACATTAATGAGATTATCGAATTGTCCAAACGAGAAAAGCGATTAAGGGGCTTCCTTAACTTTTGTGGAGCAGTATATTTGTTTAGTTACAATTTAGTTTGAAAATATGAAAATTATTGACTTATTTGGAGCTATGGGCGAAAGTAGTTATGATTAGTTATGATGAATTATCAGAAGACAATTTTGAAGAATTGTTGGAAGAAACGCAGAGGCCGAAAAATAAAAATTATATCGAGGAAACCGTTCTTCAATATTCGGAAAACGAATTCAAAGAACATTTCCGTATTACAGGATACCCAACAACTGCTCTAGATGTTCCAGCAAGAAATGTTCCAATGTTTTAATGAACTTGTATACATCAGCGCATGCGCAATACAATACTGATACAAACATAATTTGAACATGCTGATGGAACAAACCTACTAACCACAAATGCGAACAATTACTTAAATTACAATGTTGCCAAAACGATAGAGAAATCATAAAGACTTCATATACAGGTAAAAGCAACAAATGCGACTTCCATTAGTCTCGTATAAAGGAAAAAGAGAGAAATATTGTGGTAATGCAACTTTCTCACTCTAACCCACTGTTACTTTAATAATAGCTTTAATAATTCAACTCATAGATTTGACCGAATCGCAAACACTTTTTCCATTTACGTGTAGAAACTGGGTAAAGTTGTATTTTACACCCGCACTCTGCGCAACACCTTCTGCGCACTACGTCACCAAGATTTTTTCAAGCTATTTTGAAGCATATCGACCGCAGTGTTGCCGAGTAAAGATTGTTTTATTTGATTTAAATCAAATAATAAAATCAAAGTATTAAATTATATGTTTATCCGATTGCGTTCTTTTAATTAAAATATATTAATTATCATTCATTATTTAATTTAGGTAAATGAATTAATAAAATTAAGTTTGGTTTAATTTGGCAAATAACTCGAGTTCTCACCTACAAACGCTTTAAATGGCGGGTAATGTTGTATATTACACCCGTACTTTGCGCAACACCTTCTGCGCATTAAGTCACCAAGCCTTTTCCAAGCAATTTTTGACCATATCGACAGCGGTGTTGCCGAGTAATGACGTGTTTTATTTCATTTACGGATAAGTTAAAAAAGTTTAACAAGTTTAACAAATTCGTTAAAAGGCAGTTAAACGAACCTAAAAGGAGGTAAATCCAACCATAACGGCGCTAAATAAAATAAAAGGCGCTATTTTTATTTAAACTAATATGGCACAAAGACCAAAGTTTAAATAAACGAACTTGACACAAAATTATCACCTAAAACTCGATAATAATGAAGAATGTAAACATCAGTGATGTTAAAATTACTTTATAATATGTAATTAATTACAATTACAATTACTTTTGGCAAATTGTAATTAATTTCAATTACAATTACAAAATTTGCGAATGTAATTACAATTACAATTAAAGTTACAATTACAATCACAATTACTTTGCTTTGGTGTCAGTTTTAAATAATTATTTAGGGATTTGCAATCGGAATTAAACTTTCCACGTATTGAAAATATTAAATAAGTACTCTTGAGTCTAATGTAATTGAAATGTAATTGTAAAATGTAATTGTAACGAAAGGAGTAATTGAATTACAAATGAATAACAATTGAGGACCTTGTAATTAATTACCTCCTCAATTACAATAAAAGTAATTCAATTACTTTTTCAATTACTTCTAATTAATTACTTAACAACACTGGTAAACATTCAGCATTTGGCAACCGCGCGCTTGAAATTAGTCAAAAAACCACTCGATTATGTAGTGCGCAGAAGGTGTTGCGCAAAGTACGGGTGTAAAATACAACATTACCAAAAAAGGCAGTTAAACGAACCTAAAAGGAGGTAAAACGGCGCGTAATAAAATAAAATGCGCTATTTTTTATTTAAACTAATACGACACAAACACCAATGTTTAAATAAACCAACTGGACACAAAATCATAACCTCAAACTCGATAATAATGCAGAACGTAAACATTCAGCATTTGGCAACCGCGCGATTGAAACCGCTCAATTTCGTCGTGCGCAGAAGGTGTTGCGCAGTGTACGGGTGTAAAATACAACTTTACCCTCACCTGACTACCATCACCGTCGCCTTTCAACGTCGACGTGCTATCGCTCTGTCGATTCCTATCCTTATCGGGTCCCTTCACCTGTATCACAATGCGATGATCGCCGCCTCCGCCTCCGCCTTCAGCGTTCCCGCCGCCGTGCACCGAAACGTGCCGTTGCCTCGGCTCCGACACCAACAATGTACTATCACTATCACTATGATCACTGATCTCCATCACGCAGTCCCGCAAACCGACGATGTCGTCGTCGTGATAATCCGGACTCGAGATGTTCGATACCGCTTCGGAGACGCTGTAGTCGCCTTGATGTTGGCCCGTCGGCCCGTTCGACAGGCTGTAAGGCGTTCTCTTTGATCCTACAAAACACGATATAATCATTAATACTAATCGTAAATGAATAGAATCGATTGCATAGATCCGACCAGCGGCTCTATTGTCAATTTTCTCCAAAGCATCATGTAGTCTTGAACTAGTTATTTACAATGGCCCGTATTCAGCGCCTCTGTTTAACTTTAGAGTGACTCTAAAGTCGCGTCTCGAGTCCTTAGTTACTCCATAACAACAATGTTAATCTGTCAAGTTAAAGACGCGACTTTAGTGATACTCTAAAGTTAAACGTAGGCGCTGAATATGGGCCAATGTTGCCAGCTCGAAACCTTTCACACCCATGATAAGGCGCGGAATCTTCGGGGAAACGGTACTGTGATCACAACCCTATCCTACCTCACAAGTGAACCTACATACGATCAGGCTGGTGATGCTTTGTAGAAAACGGGCGTACAAGAGTTAGTTGGGTACTCACCCGATTGACTCGACATGACGGAGGAAGACACTGACGTTGGTGAGGCCGGCGATCCGGTCGAATGAAGAGGACTGGATGACGTGGGCGAAACGTTGCTGTGCGACGAGCTGCTGCCGTTCGATAAGGCGTGCACGAATTTGTGTTGATCGGCGACGGGAGCGTTGTAGGTCCACACGATGCGATCGCTGTCGCTGTTGCAATTCGCGCTGTCCGGCCTGGTGTCCAATAGGGTGTTGAGCGAACTGGTCACGTCCTCGTCGGCCTCCGAATTGGCCACGCTCACGTTGTAGAGATCGTTTTGTCCTTGCAATTGGTCCTGTTGAAAAGCGAAACGTGAATTTAAGCAGAGCTTCTTCGATATTATACTTCATCCATCCAAGCGATGGAGTAACTAAAACAAGTTTAGACGCTGGATCAACGCGTGATCATCAGCGATTGGTCAGCGTAAGGAGGCTTTTTTATTTTACCCAATAGATGCAAACGTGCATGATGATCCAGCGTCTAAACTTGTTTTGGTTACTCCGTTGGTTCGATGGATGAAGTATAGGTTTGTTTCTACAAAAAGTCACTGATTTGTTACCAATAAGTTTCTGACTCTTCTATTTCGCATGCGCGGTTTATAATTGAATGGTGTTATCAAATTTCCGATTTCTTGATGGGAACACTCTTTACATTTATTACATATTCACCAAGTATCAAACAAAAACAACAAACAACATAACCCATATACCTATTACTACTATACCGCTAATAATGGTCTAAAACAGTAGCAAACATTATACTGTGGTGTGCTTGCTTATTTATGCGCATGCTCAAGTGAAAGATTTCTTGATTGGCTACTTTTGACAGAGCAAATGAAACGTCAGAAACGTGCTAGCTTTTATTTTGGTATATTTTTTGATATATTTTTAAAATCGACTTTGACTTGCCTGTGTAAATATGTCAGGTTACCGAATTTAAACACGATTTCAAGAATTATTTTCCTTCTTTTCTTTTTAGGCCTCAGTTACTCGCTATTGGTCCTTTTAAAATTAACGCGCTTGCGTATAAACGACTAAGCACACTACGGAGGGTCGGATCTCTCTCTTTAATCGCTACGATTTTCTCTCATGGAATAGATAGGGAGTTAGCAGTATAGTACTAATAGGTATATGACATAACCTAATAATTAACCTATATTCAGAAATACAAATTAAACCCGAATTAAAAATGCGCTTGCGCCGGATTCTAAATCTCTGTACTATCAGCAAATTTTTCTGACTATCACAAAACCAGTCCCTTGAACTGTTGGAACAATAAATTGTTAACCAAGTCAGAATCAGAGATGTCTGTGGAGTTTGTTGGAACGCCTAAATTATTACTGCGCAGACTCCTGACGACCACCGGCTATTTCTGACTGTTGTAGGAACAAACCATAGACCTATTAAGTATGGACGTGGCACAATCGTTATTTTGAGGTTATTCAGCGTTCCCAATGATATATAAAATAAAAAAATATATAAAATATATACAGGGTGTGTGGAAAAAGGCGATTAATTTGTTAAATTATTTATACGCTTAATATTTAAATATTATTTTTAACTTGGTATCCACTTGGACAGAAGAATGACCAGGAAGAAACATATTTTTTACAAGAGAAAGCATCTAGGTCTTAAACTGCGAAATCTGTACTGGTTAATAGCTAGGAGGTTCTAATTAACAATACAAAATAAAAACTGTATTTGCAAATGCGTGGGAATTTAGGCTCAGCTGAAAAATGCATTTTGCTCAGTAAAAAAATAATAAATCCTCAACCCTATTCTACCATAACCTACCCTCCTCTACCCCAGCTACCTTGCATTTCTGAAAACGTAACTCACGTGGTCTTTTGCTCTCTTACTATTGGCTAATGCCTTGTCCAATCTCTCATTACCATATGCCCAAACTAGCTGCATCTCTCTCATTCATCGACAACACTACCTCTTTGTCTAAACCGCGTCCATATAGTTAATAGGTCTACGGAACAAACCTATTATTCGTACTCACCTCTGATCGGCTCGTCCTGACGAAATTGTAGGGATCGGCCGGCGACGATTGGTGCTGATCCCTTTTGTTGGCACTAACAGGGGAAGTGGTGGCCGAATTCGCACCCGTTTTGCCGACGTTGGCGCTCCTGTGGCCCAAATCCGATTCGTTGGGACTGTTGGGCACCGAGTTGTGTTGTTGGTGCCTCAGATGGTGCACGTGGCTGTTGTGATACCGCAAGTTTTCGATCTGGAACGCAAACGGATAGAATTCGCATCGGATTTTTCCGATATTCCACCTCTGTCAAGCTAGCAGGACCAAATCAGCGGAATCAATTCGGACCTATTGCATTATTTAGTGCTTATTTTGTGCTAATTTGTGCCACTAAAAAATTTGTGCTATCTGCCGTTTTGACAAAAATCGTGGCGCTGCTAGCTTAATATTAAGCTAGCAGGACCACATACAAAAATGAAATAAAAAAATAAAAAAAGGGTATAAATACAACGGTCAGAATTTGTGCTAATTTGTGCCATCCAAAACAAGCAGCTAAATAGATTAATTTCCCTTGAAATAAGTGCGAATTATATTTATCACGATTGGGCTCAAGAGTAAAGTACCCGTTTTCACGAGCAGAGTTCAATTTGTACCGGTACATTCAAAGCATACTAATTTATGCTTCACAAATATACACTCATGGATTTTGTACCTCCCACCCCTTCTCTGAAAAACCACCCCCGATAGCCGTTTGCACAAGCAGAATTCAATTTGTCATTTGTAAAAGTGCGATTAGTGAAAAACTTAGAAAACTTATAGAACTTAGTAGAACTTAGAAAACTTGGAGAAGTTAGTAGAAGACTCCAATAGTGCGTATGAGTGCGTCGAATAGAGAAAATTCGTTGAAAAAAGTCGTCGAGAAAAGTGCAAACTACGAGCGATAATATAAAATATATGTAAAATGAGAGATGTATGTAAAAATATTGCCTTGTTTCACAATACAAACATCCTTTGCACACTTGCACGCTGTCTTAAGTCGAGTAGGTTTCAAGGTTTCCAATACTGACTGATCCGGATTTTGTACCTCTTACCCCTTCTCTGAAAAACTTCAAATTCAAATTGAATTCTGCTCGTGCAAACTGCTATCGAGGGTGGTTTTTTAGAGAAGTGGTGAGAGGTACAAAATCCGTAAGTGTATATTTGTGAAGCACAAATTAGTATGCTTCGAATGTACCGGTTCAAATTGAATTCTGCTCGTCGAAACGGGTACTTTACTCTTGAGCCCAATCGAGGTAATAATAATTCGCCCTTATTTCAAGGGGAATTAATCTATTTAGCTGCTTGTTTTGGATGGCACAAATTAGCACAAATTATGGCCGTTGTATTTATACCCTTTTTTATTTTTTTATTCTACTTTTGTATGTGGTCCTGCTAGCTTAATATTAAGCTAGCAGCGCCACGATTTTTGTCAAAACGGCAGATAGCACAAATTTTTTATTAGTGGCACAAATTAGTACAAAATAAGCACTAAATAATGCAATAGGTCCGAATTGATTCTGCCGATTTGGTCCTGCTAGCTTGACAGAGGTCGATATTCCAGCGACAATCTCGAACCTTCTTCTGTTGCTTGGGTATGATGGCGTTGGTTTGGGGCGTACGGGATATATTCAGGATGTGTTCGCCGGTCATCATGTAAGCCTCGAACTTTGGGGCGCCCTTGGACTTGTTGTTGTGCTCCTCGTCGACGGCGAGAGGCTGCCATTGGAGGCGCTCGTGCTCCTCCAGCAAGGGCTGGTGCTCTTCGCGCCGGTGGATGTGGTGATGATGATGATGCTGGTTTTGATTATGTAAAAGTGGTTCTTTTTCGGTGTAACTACCGTTTGTTGATCCCAATCGATTCGCCGCGGTGTTGTTGTGAGACTGGAAATATGCGGTTATGCGAGTGGTAAAATATTAATTAGATTAATTTACCTTATGTACACCTGGTTCTGGTTTGTTGTTAGATATTGATGTCATGTTAGACGTATGTATGGCGGGGAGTTTAGATGATTTATCTAAATCGCCGCCGGAGAGAAGGTGCTTTTTTACAGTTGCTTTTATTTTAGGATCTACAAGTGAATATGAATATTAGTATATAAATTTTCTCATATACGAACAATAAACCCTACTAGAAATTATGTGAGACAATTTAAAATGTAAACTAAACTGTCGTAGGAATGTAATTAATAGAATTACAACGATACTTTGAACATTTGAGTGAATTCTAAATATAATATAATCAAATTCAATGACTCACCCCTTTTTATTTTCAATGTAACTGGATCAGCTGATAATCGAAGACATTTCAAAACTAAAAAAATGTTAAAAGCAACATAATTAATTACCATTTATTTACAATATAAATAAAGTGTGTCCCCGGAAAATAAATACGTGGAAAAGAGTATAAAGTTAAAGAAGCTTTTTTCTTACGGACACACTTTATACCTAATTTGTAACTAGTAAATTTGTGTTGTGGAAATAAAATGGAAATTCGTGGAGGTGCCTTTAATGAAGCAAACAAAAAGTGTGTGTTTCCTTTCCTGTTTTATCGTTTCCTCATAAAATACTGGTAGGTATTTTCACTATTTTCGCACTTTGTATACATTATTAGTGGAAACGCCTAAGGTTCGGGTATATTTGATTTGCTATTCTTCTCCGGTTTCGACAACACATCAAAATCTCAATTACATTAATGGCGACAGATGAATTCGGGACTTAAACATTAGACTATAAATAAAAATACAATATGATAGGCGCGATATTAAAATAAATCAATGTGGAATATTTCTGAGAAACAAATGTGGAAAATATTAGAACTGGTTAAAAAAATCCATTATCTAATTTTCTCAGGGTAATATATTCAAATAAATGTAGGTGATTATGGTTTATGATCGATAAACGATTAAATATACCCTAAATCGACCCCGTAGGAGTAAAAATAAAACCAATTTAGTTACTTACCTTCTTTCGTGCTAAATCTTATAACATCAGTTTCGTTAACTTTTAAAATTACGTCTCCAACTTCTACCTGAAATTAAAAAAAATATCTTCATATAGACATTTTAAAATCACGAAAACTTTCTAACAATGTTCATGTTACAAAGTAGAAACTTTATTAACAATATTTATACACTGTGCTTCATTCCAGATCACAGCATAGGACATATAGGCTATAGGTGCGATAAAGACGACTTCCATTAGACATTTATAAAGGAAAAAGAAAGAGTGACATTTATGTCATTGCAATTTTTCACTCTGACAACTGTTATTTTATTAATCTTTCTTTGTTCAACTCATAGAAACGACCATTTTGCGATCTGGAATGAAGCACAGTGTATATGTTTTGTGATTCACACTATACATTTGGTTTACATACAGGGTAAATCCCAAAAATTCCACTTATTTATTAACTTAGAAACACAGATATTTGTAATGTCATACCCAAGATACTATGAATACACTATACTCAAAAATTTGTGGACATTTATCGAGGTTTGTTTGGTTCCCAAATGATGATAAAAAAAACTGCATTTTTAGCTACATTTACGCTTTTTAAACAAAAAATTGTTGCTTTAGGGCCGATTAATTTCGACCGGCTTGCAAAGTCACGTACGTTTCGCGCAATGGACATTCAAAAAATTTGATATTTTTTAAACGAAGATATCGCTGTGCATATGATATTTTCGAAGATTGCCGCGGTTGTGCAAACAAACGGCCGGAGAATAAAAAATTGCCGTTTGCTCGAGTAAAATCCGTTTAATAAATCACACTGGCGTATGTGCGATTAAAAAAATCATAAAACCAGTAATTGCGATTTTATTATTTCGAGCAATTTGTAATTAAAAACTATGCGCCATAAATTGCAATTTCCCATCAAGGTTTACGGACTTTCCAACTGTTAGCTACTCCAATTATCCAAATCCAATTGTAGAATAGGCAATAAATAATACTGGAAACCAAGAAAAAACTACCTTCACCTAAAATTTATACAGGGTGTCACTTAAATGATGACTTTAATTACAGGGAGTGAATCCTTGTCATATGTTATAAAGAAAAGTGTATAAACGTGTGTCCTAATTTGCTTCGTTTCAAAATAACGGGATGGTAAATGTTTAATGAAATAATCGGTTTTTCTAAAATTACTAAAAATTCTCTTCTTACTAAAAATTTTCTTCGTAATTTTAGAAAAACCGATTATTTCATTAAACATTTAACACCCTGTTACTAAAAAACGAAGCAAATTAGGACACACGTCTATAAGAACCTTTCTTCATAAAATATAACAAGGAATCACTCCCTGAAATTAAAGTCATCATTTAAGTGACACCCTGTATATACAAGTTTCCGGTTTTCCTTATAGGTCACAAAATCGTTTGCGAAACTTTACCAAAACCCATTCGAAACGAACTCGATAAAAATTCATAATTTCAAGCATATGCACTTATTTCGCAGGGGATGGATATGGCTTTTTCGTGTACTACGTTTTCATGACCTTTATTGAAAACGGAATGATATCGTGTACGAAAGTTTCCAGCTATTGCACGTGAAAACCACGCGAATGATTGCATGGGGGCCCAACCCCGTTATATTACTATTGGGATGGGGGTGTTTTTTTTTTTTTTCATTATACATTCGACTCGATAAGCGCATCATTAAGTCACTCACCGGAACGACCCTAAATACTGGAATGAGTTTATTTGTTTTGGAACATTGAAGTAAACCGAGAAGTACGCGTTTTATTAGCTGGGAGTGTGAGCAGTGGATTATATTTAATTTGTTTGATAAATGATAAATGCTTGATAATGTCTAGATTACAAGTTTTAGGCTGTGTAAAAAATTTTTGTATAAACAATTTATTTTTATAAAAATTCGAAACTTTGAACTGCAATGTTATTCTATAGAAAAAAGAAACTTTACTCTAATTTAAAATACACGGATTTTCTGTTTTCTTTTATTTTTATTGGTTTGAAATAAGGTAATAAATAAATGCTGAATAAATTATTCTCTATCAAAACAAATAATGGTAAAACGACTGTCGCTTTTTGTGGGTCAATATAATACGAATAGTGATAAAATGAATAAATGTTTTCCTCTTATCTGTTTAGATGCGTAAAAAACTAATCTATAACCATTACCTATTGTAAAAAAAAAATGAAATCTGAATGTGTTTGTATTGATATTTTAAATTATTGTGTGTGTTGTAACGAATTTTAATGAATGGATTTTTAGATAGAAAACAAATTTCACTTTCAATATTTACAACGAGATTACTTAATTATTGCTGTTTCACTTATCGAATTTGTAAATATTTTTGGTTTATTATAAACAACTGCTTTCCTTTAACGTGCACTAATTAAAAAGCAATTACCTAAATACGTAATTAGGTTAAAAAATGTGACTAGGATGGTCGAAATAACGCGATCCAACCGATTTTTACCCTTATATAGTATAGAAAATGAATCCTTGAAGATGCATTTGTTGCAGAAAGTAATCACATGATTATATAAAAGAGGTTGAATCAAAGCCTAAAACTGCATTCCAGTTACCCTTTTTTGCATTACAACACAACTGTTCCTATCCTTCTCTTCACCCGCCCCATTTCCAACGAAAATTCGGTTAATCCCATTTAATATCGAATCGTACGCATCGAAATACCCAAATACAGTAAACTAAGTCAAGACTAACTGGAATACACTTATTTTACGAATTCAAAACATTCGCCTACTGCAATCATAATCTCGCTCACCTCTCCACTTTCAGCGGCTGGAGAATCGTCTAAAATGTTATAAATTATCGGCGGCAGGCCCGGTTCGCCTAGAAGCGAAAATCCGAAGCCAGAATGTTCGCTCCGATTCAGAACCACTAGCAATTCTTCAGCCATTTTCTGTTACCATTGATTTCGTTTAAATCAAAACAAAACACTTCACAGATTACAATTACACTTGTCGCGACATAACCTCCCCTTCGACTGATTGGTACTGATGAGCTGGCGTTAGGGGGCGACACTTTACGACGGTAAAACTTCACCTGCGCAATGGGCCAATCACGAAGGAGGAATGTGGAATATTTCATACGCGTTGTTGCCAAGTTGTCTGCATTTTTAAATAAAAATTGAAAACTAGCAAACAAATTAAATCATTTTAAACGTGTATGAAACGAAAATTACATTGTACGATTTATGTAATGTGTAATATACATTTTTGAACTGATTAATGTAATAAAAATTTTACTGAATAACTGTATAGTACAAGGTCATCACACTTCTTCTAAGTAAATGTCATTGTCAAGATTGTCAAGTGGTTTGAGGTTGAAATTTAAATCAAAACAAAACGACCGTTTTCGTTTTGCTTATTTTAATTTATTTAATTGATTTTATTTATTATGAACGATTTATTGTTGAATGATACTTTAGAGAATTTTTATTTCAGCCAGAGGACAAACAACATAATTAAAGAAAATCTAGAATTTAACTCCAAAAATGTTTTAAATAACCTTACGAACTTGAACGGAATATTTGATGATTCGTTAAATTTTTCTCAACTTACATTCGCAAATAATGAATGTGAACATTCAAACGAAACCGAAATACCTAAGGATGATTCGAAAGAGACGCCACAGGAAGATAACTCGATTAATTTAGATGGAAATAGTTCAAATTCTATCGACAGTAGTCCTGTTGAAATTCATTCCCAGGTGCAATTGAGTAAATTATCAACATGGGACTTACCGGAAAGTATACTGCGAAAATACGAATCAAAAAATTTAACGACGATGTTTCCTTGGCAAGTGGAATGCTTAAGCTTGCCCGGCGTATTAGAGGGTAAAAATTTAGTGTACTCGGCTCCTACATCTGCTGGTAAAACTCTAGTAGCCGAATTAATAGCCATAAAAACTATAATAGAGCGCAAGAAGAAAGTCATCTTCATTTTACCCTTTGTATCGATAGTTAGGGAAAAAATGTTCTACTTCCAAAATTTATTAGAAGGCATTGGCATAAGGGTAGATGGCTTCATGGGATCTTACCACCCTCCGGGAGGGTTTAAGTCCCTTCAATTAGCCATTTGCACCATAGAAAAAGCAAACAGTCTGATTAACAGACTAATGGAAGAAAACCAGTTGAGTGACATAGGGGCTGTGCTTATAGATGAAATGCATTTACTTGGAGATTCTAGTCGAGGATATCTTTTAGAACTCCTTTTAACAAAATTAAGGTATAAGATTTATAGCAATGAACTCGTACGATATGTTTAATATTATTATTTTTACAGATATGTTAGCAAAAAAGATGATTTACAAATACAACTGATCGGTATGTCAGCTACACTTCCGAATCTAAAAGAAGTAGCAAATTGGTTGGATGCCGCATTGTATACCACCGATTATCGTCCAGTTCCTTTGAAAGAACAGGCCCTCGTTTGCGGGGAAATTTACGATAATAATTTAAAGCCACTCAGAAAGTTAGAAATCCTTCCGGAATTGGGCAAAGACAGCGATAACGTCCTGCAGCTATGTTTAGAAACTATTAAAATGTCCTGTTCGGTCCTCATCTTCTGCCCCACTAAAACCTGGTGCGAGAGCCTCGCCTTACAAATCGCCAAGGGATTTATGAATTTAGGTACTTCTATCGAACCCCATTCGAATAGATCGATTAACGATATGTTGTAGGATCTTCCGGGAGCTGGTCCGAATTACTGCGATCTCAATTAGATAGAAATTTGATCGTGGAATTGCTGGAGCAACTGAAGAATTGCCCGGTGGGGTTGGACGAGGTTCTGCTGAAAACCGCGTCGTTCGGAGTCGCTTTTCACCATGCCGGTTTGACTATGGATGAAAGGGACATTCTCGAAGGCGCGTTCCGGAACGGCGCTCTAAGAGTAATCGTCGCCACTTCGACTCTCTCTTCAGGCGTGAATTTACCCGCTAGACGAGTTATTATCAGAACGCCGATGTTCCATGGGAAACCTTTAGGTGTGTATGATCCACCGTTAACAAGTAATCGTGCTCATTTGTATATTGTTTTTCGTAGATCCGTTGGTTTATCGACAAATGATCGGCAGAGCCGGACGGATGGGTAGAGATTCGGAAGGAGAAAGTTTCGTGATAGGCCAGAAATCCGATTTGCCGAAGATTAAAAACTTGATGACGACCGAATTGAATCCGGTGAAAAGTTGTTTGGAAAAAGGCGGGAAACTCAATCGAGCCATTTTGGAAGTCATAGCGAGCGGAGTGGCTTCTACTCCCGAAGATGTCAAATTGTTTACGGAAAATACTCTATTAGCATCGGGATGTTTCGATGATTTGATTAATCCCGTCGATGAAGCCTTGGATTTCCTGCAAGCGAACGAATTTGTCAGGCTGCAGGAACTGGACAAGGGACATGAGAAATATCAACCGACAGCGTTAGGGAAAGCTTGTTTATCATCATCTATTGCACCCGACGAAGGTTTATCACTTTTTAAAGAATTAGAAAAAGCTAGGCAATGCATAGTACTCGAAACGGAATTGCATTTGATTTATTTAGTTACGCCGTACAACGCTTGTTATTCCTGGGAGAATATCGATTGGATGCTATTCCTCGATTTATGGGAAAAGTTACCTCCGAGCATGAGAAAGGTATAATCTACAGGGTGTATTAAAATATATGTGAACGTTAAAATGCTTCTTACATTTTCTAGGTAGGAGAATTAGTCGGTATCCAAGACGCTTTCCTCGTCAAAGCCACCAGGAGTAAAATTTTAACAAACACGGAAAAACTCTTTCGCAAGTATTTAGTACACAAGAGGTTCTTCGTGGCGTTGGCATTGCAGGATTTAGTCAACGAGAAACCTCTGAATTGGGTGTGCGACAAATTCTCTTGCAATCGAGGTATTTGCATTCTCACACTCTACAATTTCGCTTGTTAATATTATTATTAGAAAATTTTTATTAGGTACCAAAATACACATTACAAATAATATATTTTGTATTGCCACAGAAGAAAATTCTTGTATGTGGCTCAAAAAAACAAAAAAAAATATAAAAACTAAATTGATGACCCTCAACTAAGGATGTAATGCTTTAAAACAAAGCAAACACTATATTTATTTATTTATTTCTTATAAAGCTTTTTTTCCTGACCAATGAGAAAAGATGTTCTTAATTTGGTCGTAGTTATGTTTAATCCATTCAATAATATGTTTCTTAAAAACATTAATACCTTTTAAATTTCTAATATTGATATCAATTAAATTTATAAATATATGAATATAATATGAAAAGTATCTCTCCCCTAATCTAGATTTTGTACTAAAAGAATAGGCATTATTGTTGCTAAAATTTCTTGTGCAATAATTATGAGGTAATGCATTAGTGTTAATTTTCTATTATTATCTATCTATTATTATCCCAAGATATTTGGCCTTATTTTGTAAAAGAAAAGCATTCGTGTTACACATGCAAGTAGAAACATTCGTAGAAGAAGCATAGTAGTCACCACTGAAATCAGTAATAATTTTGTTATATGAAGGTAAACTCTTTTTACGTTTGGCAAAAGGGATTATTACCGTTTTTGATTCATTCATAATAGAATTTATTATTCCAGGCATGCTTCAATCGTTGCAACAATCCGCCTCCTCTTTCGCCGGAATGGTGACGGCTTTCTGCAAGCAATTAGGTTGGACGAGCATGGAACTCCTGCTGTCCCAGTTCCAAGAGAGAATGCAATTCGGCGTTTCCAGAGACCTGTTGGACCTGATGCACCTGTCTGTTCTGAGCGGCAAAACGGCGAGATTGCTGTACAACGCCGGTCTGGAAACCGTCATTCAACTGGCTAATTCCGATGTGCCCTGCATAGAGAACGTCCTCCACAAATCCATGCCGTTCGAGAGCGACAAAAATCGCGAAGGCGAATCGGATTCGGGCAAACAGCGACGCAACAAATACAGAAACGTTTGGATAGCCGGAAGGGAGGGTTTGAGCGAGCGCCAAGCGGCCGAAATTTTCGTCGCTGAAGCCCGAAAGTATTTGAAAATCGAATTGGGTTTAGTCGACGCTAAATGGGATAACGAGGTACCTATACAGGATGTTAAATAGTTCATATTTATACTGTGTAACGTTTAATTGCAGCAAGAGAGTTCCTGTACGATTGTTGATGCTATAAGTGATGATAAAATTAACTTAAATACTACAAATAATACTCACAATAGTGAAGATCATCATAGTTCTACAGAAGCGACGTTAATTCATAATGTAATTGAGGATAATAACAATAATAACCGCACGACTCTTCATGTAAAAGACACTATTGATCACAACGATCAAAGCAAATCGATTCAACCTAACGAAAACCCTGTGGAAACTGTAGAAGAGAATCCGAACGATCTCTCGTTGGAGCTCGAAAGAAAATGCTCGTTGAATTCACCGAAGAAAGTCGTCAGTAATTTACTAAACGACATTTCGATATCGGATTTTTCCGGTACGTTCTCTGAAATTTCTTCCAATCATCGTAACACTTCCACTGAACGAATTCAATCCGATGAAAGCTCGTTGGAAGAGAATTTTTCGTTGCAATTGTCCCAAGAGAAGGATTCCAGTGCGTTGTTTCAAACTGCCTTCAACGACACGTTTCGTTCGGATGAAGACATGTTTTGCAATTCAATGGAAAACAGCGAGTTACTATCCATTTCTTCGTCTAATAAACGCAAAGAGATCAGTTTCGAAGAGAAGATGGATACAAAGAAGTTTAAAGAAGTGGAAACTAAAAATATTGGAGATGGTAAACTCAATTTTCCTTCAAAATATTAACTTTGTTATAGTGTTTTATTGTAGGTATGTACAACTGGAAGTCTAATGTTGGTTGTAATAGAGATTTTGGTAACGTGGAACTAATTAAAGTTTGCGAAAATACTTCGTTATTGGATACATTCAGAAACGAGCTCAAAACGAAAAAAGCATTCGCCTTTTCTATTGCTTGCAGCAGATTTGTAAAAGCGCACCAAACCATCGGCACGAACATTTTAAAGCTACAAAAGTAAATATTTCGCTCGAGTAAACGTTGTATTCTACTAATTTACGGTTTTCAGCGGGCACCGAAACGATTCCAACGACTCTCCCAAGGGTTTCGTTTGCGACGAAAGGAAGCTCGAAGGTTTCGCGTTCTCGTGGAAGAGCAACTCGGCGTTTTACTTGAGCATGGACAACGTGAAATTACACCAAACGATTCTGAACCTCCTGAAGGTGGTGTTCAGAAACCGGGGCGTTAGTGTGCGGATGTTTGATTCCAAGAGGCAAATAAAATTTTTGAAGAATTGCTGCGGTATAAACTTCTATTGTAAAATCGACGATCCGAATATCGGCGATTGGTTATTGGAGCCCGAGGAGAGCGAAAAAACGTTCCAATCGATGGTAAAAATTAATGAAACTGTATGGGGTTGTACTCATGTGATTTATTTGTTTTGAAAGGTTTTGAAATATTATCCAGAAGGGTTAGAATTGGCCCGGTCTGTGGGAGATTATAAAGGCGCAGGGAGCATCGGTTTGAACGTTTGCAGTACAGTTGATCCTATGAATAGGTCGTCAATAGAGGCAGTTTTGACGTGGCATTTGTCGGATAATTTGAATGAATTGTTGCTCGGGCAATATCCCAATTTATCAGACACTTTCGGTAAATAATACACTTTAATTAACTCCTTTTTAGGGTTGTTAATGCGATAATTTTTTCAGATATCGAAAACAACGTTATGTTAATTCTAGCAAAAATTGAACTAAACGGATTTAGCGTCAACAAAACATTGCTAAATAATCTCCTAGAAAACATAAAAAGCCAAATTATTATCATTGAAAAGAAAGCATATTCTCTAGCAGGAAGAAAATTCAATTTTTTATCGTCCGCAGACGTGGCGAAAGTCACAGGCATATTCAAAGGAAAAAAAGTCAGTACCAGAAAGGAAATTTTAGAAAAAATCGAACATCCCATATCGGATTTAGTCCTGCAATGGAGAAAACTGCATTCTATTCTCACCAGAACCGTATATCCTTTAATCAACGCCATAAAAATAGACAAAATCCATGGCTGTTATTACACCTACACAGCGACAGGTAATTATAATTAACAATTATTTATTTAGTATAATTAATATTTTCGATAGGTCGAATAAGCATGCACGAACCGAGTTTGCAAACCATCAACCGAGATTTCAGCATCTCGATTTCGACCGGCGGAAACACCATCAGTTGCAGGGAAATATTCGAAGCTACAGAAGGATACGAGTTACTATCAGCCGATTATTGCCAATTAGAATTAAGAATCCTCACGCATTTCTCCGAAGACGGATTGCTAACTAAAATAATGAGCGAACAAGGAGACGTTTTCAAATCGATAGCCGCCAAGTGGAATAGAATCACAGAAGACGAGGTAACTAATTGTACTCATAAAGGACATTCGCGCTCGCTAGACAATGACGTCATTTTTAGACGACGTCATTAATTTCCACGTAGTTCAATATTTCCCTAGTGTCAATGTTAATTCTCCCATTTGACTAGGGGAATTTAACGACGCGTAGTTGAAAGTCGAAGGCGATGTTGTCATGCATTAGTCTCAACATTCGCAATATTTAGCGGCGCTTTGTAGTTGACACTTTGACAGGTTATGACAACAAGTTGTTGTTTTTGCGCGATTTTCCTGTATTTTTTCAGGTTTACGAGTAGGTTTTGTGTTTTTCGTTCGTTCTAGATAGTTTTTCGTGCGATTTATGTACATTTATCGACAGTTTCTCCCGCGATTTTCGGTGTTTTTCAACCTATTTTGAGAGAGAACGGGACGATGTAGGCCCTTTTTTCCCGATTAATTCCTGATCAATATTTTCAATAGTTTAGCACATTGAAATTTATAGGTTATGTTAAACTAACGAATAGTTTTTTTAAATGTATATTTCTGTTTTATAGGGTTTTGAAGCGTTGCAAATAAACACCTCTCCCGTCAATCGGATTGCAGCCTAATGCATTTCTTCTTTTTAATTTCTAAACAATGAAAGTAAACATAACCTTAAATTAAATATATTCAACCCGGCAACGTTGCAACATGTTGGCTTGTGACGTCATTGCCTAGCGAGCGCGAATGTCCTTTATTGCAATTAATTATTTAATTATTTCTTGTAGGTGACGGATAGTATTAGACAAAATGCGAAGCACTTGTGCTACGGTATAATTTACGGTATGGGTTGCAAAACGCTGGCTGCTCAACTGGATTCCAGCGAGGAAGAGGCCGCGGAATTCGTGGAAACTTTTATGAGGACCTATCCCGGTATAAAATCGTTCATAAATCGCACCTTAGAAAGATGCAGGAGGGACGGGTACGTCGAGACGATTAGTGGCAGAAAGAGGTACTTGCCGCACATAAACGAGTGTAATTTAGTAAAAAAAGGTTAGTTTTTAATGGTATTAATGTCTGAGGATACTTCGAGAGTATATCGAAATGTGTTGTAATTTAGGGCAAGCTGAGAGACAGGCGGTGAACACGATTGTGCAGGGTTCAGCGGCGGATTTAGTGAAACGGGCTATGATCACGGTAGATAAGGAATTGGAGGAGATTTTCCACAAAGCGAAAAACAAGCCCAAGTTGGTGTTGTTTTTGCACGACGAATTAATGTACGAAGTTCCTATTAAGTATTTGAAGAAAGTGGCCAAGGTGATTAAGAGAAACATGGAAAGTTCTTTTGGGCTTTCGATACCGTTCCCTGTGAAATTAAAGCACGGGAAGTCGTGGAGCAATTTAATGGAATTTAATTTATAAATTGATTATTTGGTATATTCTTTATATTCAAAACGAAAAATCGATTGCTTTTTTTCATAATCAATTCGAAAGATTGTTTGTTTTTTTATTAATTCTAATTGAATGTATTTTTTATAAACAATAAGACCTACTATTGTAAATTATTATGATCAAAGTTAATCGTTAAATTATGACATTTTCACACCAAACCTTAATTTTCAGCAGTAACTGTTTCATTTTCCGACGTGTCCATACCATTCTCTTCATTGGTGGTCGAAGTGACCTCGTCATATTTATTTGATTCTTCATTTGGAACATTTTGCATTTGACCTAAATACTCCTCTTGTAACTCTTTAATCTGATTCTGGTAATCGGCGTATTTCATTTGAAGTACCTTCTCTCTTTCCATCTGCCTATTCACGTCCTCAGTAAGAGACTAAAAAAAATGCAACAATTACAATCGATTCATCAATAATTAATTCTTCAACATTTACCTGTATTCGCATCGGCAAAGCGTTCTTCTCCTGCTCGGCCAGGAATTTGAACGTGTTCAACTCCAACGTCGATTGATCGATGCTCTCGTATTGATCCTGTAACTGTTTAATCAGCACCTGCGCCCTGGATTGGTAACCGCCCGTTAATATCTTCAATTTCTTCTCCATCTTGGCGGCGCGTTTGGCCTCCTTGGCCATGTGCGATCGGTTCTGTTCCAGCCGCTTTTCCGCCGATTCTAATCTATCTTTTTTGCTCGCCAAATGCGCGCGGGTGTACCTCGTCTGATTCGGAAGATACAGAACTTGGCCCAGGCACTCTTCCCATACCTACGAATTTCAGTTAGTTTTGTAATGGAGAAGACCACGATGTGAGATATGCGGATTTCGGCAAAAGATACGATTAGAAATGATTTTAGAGCTCAAAACCGTTTTCAGTTGCTTAAAATTAGGCTATACACCTTGCTCCATTTCCGATTGCAATATGGTCATTTCTATGAGTGGAACAAAGAAAGATTATTGAAATGACAGCTGTCAGAGTGAAAAGTTGCAATGACACAAATGTCACTATTTCTTTTTCCTTTATAAGTGTCTAATGGAAGTTGTCTTTGTTGCACCCATAGCCTATGTTGCAATGAAAAATGGAGCAATCTGTATGTTAAAAAGGACAGCTCATATGGTTCAGTACTTACTAATTATTTCTGTACAAACAATGGAGAAGACCACGATGTGAGATATGCGGATTTCGGCAAAAGATACGATTAGAAATGATTTATTAGAGCTCAAAACCGTTTTCAGTTGCTCAAAATGTGTTATAATTAAAAAGATGGAATTTAAAATTTTCGAGTATGACGTAGATACGTGTTGACCAATCATAAATCAGTCGCTTCGTGTTGTATAGTAAATAGTTTGAATTTTCGAACACACCTAATGAAGAATACAACAAACGAACAAAAATCAAACTGTCATTTGTCAGATTTTCCGATAAATACAATGCTTGCTTAAGGTTTTGTTTCTCAACAATCTGTCGCCCATATTTTTATAAATGTACCAGTTATAAAAGTTAAAATAATAGATATCGGGGCTTAAAACTGATCTATGTTCGGTTGTTCGGCTTGTTTAATGTTTACATTTTTATTATGACTCACGATCGATAATATTGACATTGACAAGAATGTTGCCAAATAAATTTTTCAGGACCATTATTTGTGTTTTTAACACGAAAATCGGTTACAATTTATACAGATGAAGATCGTATTCTTTTATTGTAATATCGAATTTTTCATTAGGTAATAAGAAAATGGATAGATTAGAAAATATTTATCGTATATAAATTACAATAAAAAACGCACATTTTACGGAGTAAAGGATACTAAGGAATGTGGCAAAATGGCTAAATGTGACATTTAATTGCAACTCTCGCTCTGATTGGCGTACACGTTATGACGTTTTTCAAACTTTAAAAATTCATTGTGGTCTTATTTGGGTACAGAAATAAATAAAAATTTCATCAATCGCCTTCTTATACACTAATTCCAAAATAGTAGGCACTAAATTTTCAGAAATGATTGCGAAAATGGGTCTCTCCCAGTGGCGTACGGAAAATATCGTAGGCTACAAGTTTGTTCGACGGGAAAATCGGCAGGAGACTAATAATTAGAAGAGCAAGGATTTTGTAATAAATAAGTAAAGCGATAATATTTCTGAGAATTAGTGCCTACTATTTTGGAAATAGAGTATAGGACATACTATTTTGAAAAAAAAAAAATGTCGTGGTTTTCTCCATTAGGAGTTGTTCGTTATATGGAATACCTGATTGTACACGTCCAACGGCAATTCTCCGTGATTCATGCCGCTTTTTACCACATCCATTTCGCTCCTCAACAGCGATTTAGCCACGTCCAAATCCTCCGTTTTGAACGAATCGTACGGATGTTGCTCGAGAAAGGCCAATTGCTGAGCCTGCGACATGTTCGATCGCTTACTTTGCGCCGGCAGAGGGTTCTTCAGATTGTCGTATTGCAACATCGTAACCTGCGACGATTCAATTATTAGCGTATAGTCTAACTAGCAAGAATTCGACATGGTATAAAAAACACCTAGCGCCGACTTCAAAGGTACCGGTGCACATGGATGTACCGTTTTTAGTATCAAAATTAAATAGATTAAAGTATTAATTGGGTAATATTTAATGTACTCACTTTGTCAGCGAAATTTTATATCAAATGAATTTTATAAGTTAAAATTAGTAATTTTAAAAACAAGTAAAGTTTAACCAAGCTTTTGAGAAATCGCGAAAAATTTTCAGACCGCGCGAGCCACTGATCTAAGACAAACAAACTGAAGAGCGAGATTAATTAGCGGCTATACCATATACCTATTAGTACTATACCGCTTACTACGGTCTAAAACCCGTAGCAAACATTATACTGTGGTGTGCTTGCTTATTTATGCGCATGCGCATGCTCAAGTGAAAGATTTCTTGATTGGCTACTTTTGACAGAGCAAATGAAACGTCAGAAACGTGCTAGCTTTTATTTTGGTATATTTTTTGATATATTTTTAAAATCGACTTTGACTTGCCTGTGTAAATATGTCAGGTTACCGAATTTAAACACGATTTCAAGTATTATTTTCCTTCTTTTCTTTTTAGGCCTCAGCTACTCGCTATTGGTCCTTTTAAAATTAACGCGCTTGCGTATAAACGACTAAGCACACCACAAAGAGTCGGATCTCTCTCTTTAATCGCTACGATTTTCTCTCATGGAATAGATAGGGAGTTAGCAGTATATTACTAATAGGTATATGGGCTATACCGGGGCGATTCGCGCTTATTGGCAATGCGATAGTATGGGTTTCGTAGCATTCTCGGCGCTTATAACGCGATTTATTTCGCGTCCCCGGTACAACGGTCCATATCGGATTCAGGCTAGTTTCACTATAATCGCTTCGTAAAAATCGTTTCGACTCACCATTTCGCATTTGATCAATTCCTCGGCGCGCTGAAGGTCCGTCAAGGAGTAGCTCTCGTTGGGCGGCCGGAGCACCGTGAGATTCACGTCTTGCGGCCTCGGCAATTCCCTTTGGATGACTTGCGAACGCGACGCTAATTCTTGAGCCGCCTTGGCTCTCAGTTCCTCTTGTTTTCTGGCATCGACGTCCGCTTGGTCTTCGACCTGCATCGAACGAACTTAATATGCTAAATTACTAATCGATAAGATATTTATTTACCGATTGCGATTGGGCTTCTTCGGGTTCATCCTGCGCCTCGTTTTCGGGCACGACGATCTCGTAATCGTTCCGGGGCTGCGGCAGGCTGCTCAGTCCTAGTTTCAACTGGTCTTTCATCGACATTTGATACATTCGGTGTTCGGCCGGAGTACTTCCCACATCTAAAGCTAAACAACAGATATTACCAGACTTAGGATAAATGATGTTAAAACACCACTAGTTGGTGGCCACTAACATAGTAGTAAAAAGTCACTAACGTTTCCTATTCGTAATTGCATATTTCTTTCCCGCTAGTTAAAATAATGCCAGCAGAAAAATGAATGTGGCAACAACGGAAATAACTTAAAATTTTATTTTACAGTGCATTTCTTTAATTTTTTATTTTTTGGACGGATGAACTAAGAAAATTAAAACTTGGGATAATGAAACTAATGCATGATTACTATATATTGGAGTAAAATTGACAGATGAAAATTTCAAGATGGCGACTGGGCGCCATCTTGGGAAATAAATTTAAATGGAAAGGGGGGTCTTGTGATACATCATTTTGAAGCTCCTGACAAATACTGTACAACCCTGGAATATAAAGTATAGTAATCATGCATTAGTTCGATTATCCCAAATTTCAATTTTCCAGTTGATACGTTCAAAAAATTAAAGGGGGATGCACTGTATATTGGACATTTTGGTTATGTTATTGACGTTATTGTGTCAGACGAACGTGCTAAGATCAATTGAATGGGTGATGGGAAAAAAGATAAAATTCCAGTGAACCTTTATTTTGGAAAAACATAAAACTTCTTACGACGAAACCCGTTATTTAATAAAAATCATGATTTATACTTATCATGATTTACACTTTGACTAAGTACGTTTGATACCAAAGTTTGAACGGTTTATACCTCTTTGGTAACTAGTTATTGGTATTTGAAAGTGCCACAATTTTATCCTTTTTCCTCTCAAAATGCAAAAAATAGTTTAAAAAAACTAAAAACTGTTTTTTTGTCAACATCATTGCCAGTCTTTTTGAAGTATTGGGACTACCAGCTTTTGAAATAAAGTATATCGGTATTAGATATTTATGGAAAGGTGAATGTAAGAAGCTGAAGAAGTAAATGTATTAATACGAAATCCAGTGGAAATTCAAATATTAGTAACGATGAGATACTTAGCAAAAGGGTAGTAAAAAACACAGTAAAAGGCAAGAAAGACGCAGTGAACGGTCGATTTCACGCACTAGACGTTTTTTGAATGTTTTAAATTATGTTTAAAAGTAACTTGAACACCTCTTGTAACGCCACTAAGAAATTTAGTGGCTACTAACAAAAAAAACATCTTAGTAACCACTAAATGGAACTATTAATACGATTTTTTTTAGCGGGATGTTAGTAGTGTGTTAGTAGTCACTAAATACGACTATGAATAAGGCTGCCCTTGTAACTTCACTAATGCCCGGTTTCTCGACTCTGTGATAACTAAAAGTTAACCTTTCATTAAGTTAACTTTCCAATAAACTTCAGTTAACCTTCGGAATCGGATTTCTCGACTCGAAATCCAAGTTTAAGTATGCAACAACTATAACCCCTCTCAGTTCAGTTAACTTCTCAATAGTAAGCGATAGTTAAACGCAAAATGTCGAGAAACCAGGCATTAGAAGTTTAGTGTCTACTAACAAAAAAAACATCTTAGTAGCCACTAAATACGACTATGAAGGTACAAATACAGGGTTGGGCAAAAGTCCGGAATAAAATTATTATCTGTTGAACCAGTAATTTAAACAAAAAACGCTGAAACACGTGAATTGATTTTATATTGGACGGATTTGTTGCCAATAAAATGATTTTCTTTCTTCAACCCCTTAGTTGCAACCCTCCCCAACTTTATTTTTTCAAATGCAAAGGTATGTCGTGTGTAGGGTCATTGAAAAGCCCGTGAAAAATGGAATCTAAAACATACTTTTTTTTTCTTTTTCTCATGTGGTTATCGAGAAATGAGCAAAAAATTCTTTTAAAAACAAATATGTTACAAATACCTCTTTAGTGCTATCGACGTGTGAATTAAGGTAGCAGATGTTGGGAATGTCCTCCACCCTCTACTTAACAGGCTCCAAGGCGATGGTAAAACCTAATATCGGTAGCCTATCTTTAATTCTGAATGAATTTTTATTAAAAACAGGCGAGCCTGTGCAGGCAGCACACCAAATTTTATTGATTTTCCGTTTAAAACTGATAAGGCAACTTAGCATCAACATTCGTTGAAATTTATGTTTTAAGAAAAAACTAAAACATAAAATGGTTTTAATTCTAAGCCATTGTTGATCAATGAACTTCACAAAGGAAAAAAGGTGTTGCATTTTTGTACAAGTTTTTTTTTTACCTAAGGTTCGCCTGTTTTTATTAAAAAGTCATTTAGAATTAAAGATATGCTATCGATATTACATTTTACCAATGCCTGGGAGCCTATCAAGTAGATGGTGGATGACATTTTAAACATTGAAAAAAAAGTTGGGCAGGGTTGCAACTAAGGGGTTGAAGAAAAAAAAATCATTGTATTGGCAACAAATCCATCCAATATAAAATCAATTTACGTGTTTCAGCGTTTTTTGTTTAAATTACTGGTTCAAAAGATAATAATTTTATTCCGGACTTTTGCCCAACCCTGTATAAGACCGCAAATGTTTTATGCACAAACAATCTCTTACTTTCTTCGGCGTTAATATTCAGCTTATCTCTGACGGAAGGCGTCGCGTTCTTGCCGACAGGAGTCAGGGCTCCGCTTTTGGGTGTCATGAATCCTGCCGTGCTTCCGGGAGTCGCCCCGCCATCGCTTCGCGTCGATCTGAACGGCGTGGCGAGCACTGTATTAGGTGTGGTGATCGCTTGCGATTGCGGCAGAACCCCGCTGAAGTCCGAATTGTGCAGGGGCGTATTCAAACCGCCTTTGAGAGGCGTATCGACGTGCGTAAGGGCCATCATGTTCTGGGCCTCTTGAAGTATCCTACGATACGAATAGATTTAATACTGAATTTACGACGTCTAATTATCGTTATTAACAGGTTAGGGGCTGAGAATGTAGTGACTCTAATTTGGATCCCTGGACATCAGGGAATAGAGGGCAATGAGGTAGCCGATAATCTAGCCAGAGAGGGGGCTATGGAGCAACCTGGTAGGCAGATAGTTGGAATGCCCTTTGCAGAAGGTAAACAATACCTAAACAAACTCCTAGAAAGGGAACATCTCGTTCGATGGAGGAACTCGTCAGGCTATAGTGTATCCAAACAGTTTATGGAAACACCCTCAAAAGAAAGGGCAACCGAGCTCTGGGCTATGGACCATGACAGGCTGAGCAAAACGCTTGGACTACTCACAGGACACGTAGCACTCAGAGCGCACCTATACCGCCTCAAAATAGTAGAGCAGAAAACATGCCGTCTATGTGGGGAGGCTGATGAGGACAGCATACACATACTGTGTCACTGTCCAGCATTATCCTTGCGCAGGTATAATACCTGAGGAAGGACCTCATTAGATCCTAGCGATCTCAAAAACACAAGGGCATCCGAACTGCTGAGGTTTGCAAATACTTGCGACCTCTGGAAGAATCAATGACCTTGGGAAACAGCGGGAAACTACAGAGGATCATTAGATCTAGGTGGTCACGGGGCTGGAAAAACCGCCCGCATAAAAACAACAACAACAACATATCGTTATTAATAACCTGTCGGTTTGCGGTGCTGGAGTTCTAGGAGTAGCGGCAGCTTGAGGTGTGAACATGTAATCGTTGAGAAGAGTATCGGTGGTTTCGACGCCGCTTTCCGTCGCGATTTCTCGGGCCGTTTCGCTCGCTTTGCCCAACTTGACCACTTGGTGCATCTCTTGATCGGATATCTGCGGTTCGGGCAACACCAGTTTCGATCGTTTCTTAGCCGGTTCTTCGTTTTGCAGCATCGCTTGAGGGATATCGTTCTCTTTGCGTTGCTTCAACTTTTGCTTATCCTTCTTGCGTTCTCTCTAAAATCGCACAAACCATTAAAAACTTCATCATTGAATGTGCTATAATGTAAGGCACCTCTTCTCTTTCACTTCTGAGTTCACCGTCTAAATGTTGTTGTCTCATTTTAGAGAAATCTGGAGCCATCAAGTCGAGGGCTTCGTTAGAAGTGTCGTAGAAACCGATGGCTGGTTGTTTTTCGAATGGAATTTCCGAATTGTAATCCACGCCTCGTTTCTTCTTGCGCCTCGAGGTGACCTCGATGCCGGCTGCTCTCAGTTCTCGGCGCTTCTGCAAAGCCGCCAAACGCCGGGCTTCCTCTAATTGCTTTTCGCGGGCCTAAAAGTTCATTAGAAATAAGTACATTGCTGGTAGAGAGGTTCGTTGATCGTACTTTACGCTTGGCTTTTTTGCCTTGGGTGTTGGCCAGTCTAGCTCTGGCTTCAGAAAGCATCTCTAACTCGTCTTCGTCCATATCTTTAGGATCGGGTCTGGCCGGTTTGGTTTCCGGATTGGGATCGATTTCTCCGGGTTTTAGCTTCCTCGGATCGTCGACGGCGTCCTCGCCTTCTTCCTTTTTTTGAGCTTGATCCCTGCGCAATTACAAAATGAAGATTAAACAGTGAATTCTTTGATGTTCGGTGAAAATGCTCGGTTTAACTTACAGTAAATATTCGTATCTTTCTAGACATTGGGCTGCGGTCCTGCCTATAATAGGTGCGATGGTTCTCCATTGTGTGGGCATTAGTTTAGCTAAGTGCAACAACTTTTCATCCTCTTCTCTGGACCATTCGGTTTTTTTGATGCTGGGGTCTAACCATTCGAACCAACGGGCTTTACATTGCTTCGCAGATTTTCTGTGAAGGAGAGAGGCAATTCTAGACCATTGGTTTTTGCCGTATTTCATCACGGCGGCCTTAAGAATTTCATCCTGAAAGAAAATTGGGTTTTATATTTATAGGAATCGTTAGAATCAACGGGACTTTTACCTCTGTGTTTCTCCAAACACCACCCTTTATCATTATTCTAGGCATTTTGAAGATTGATTTGGAACAATACAACTAAATAATATTTTAATACAAAAGTAATCGTTATTGATACTGAATGAAAATATCCAATTCAGTTTAATCAATCTCTGATTATAACCTAAAAAACGTTCGTTGACGCTTGTGTTTCTTTACGTCAACTGTCAATCATATGCCAACCCTCTCGTAAGAAAAGAGCTGAAAATCCCTAGAAACAAGTTAAAAATAAAAATATAATGCAATAAACGATTAAAATTGATATTCTATTTCCAATTTTAAGCTGCATTTAAGTCGTCAATACATTTTAAAAGAATATAAGGCTAATAATAAGTATTGGCAGAATTGGCTGCTTACTCTTTTTGGTCATAGTCTGTTAAGTAGAAGAAGATAACTAGCCATTGTGATTTGTAATTTGATTTGTGTTGTGATGTGATAGTGCTACTTCACGAAATATTTACCAATTTTAATGCAATGAATACGAGCACTAGCAATTACAAAGCATCTCGGTCGCAATCTGAAATGGAAGAGGCTGTTTTACGAGCAGAGCTGGAAAACGAATTGAAAAACAAGAAGCAGTGCACATATGTACCATTCGAATGCACTCAACTAAGTTTGGACGGTTACAAATACTGTTCTAAGCACATTTTACAGGACAAAAACGCCCCTTACAAGCAATGTTCTTTTATATACAGCAGCAACGGTAAACGATGCAACTTACCAGCACCCCGAAGCGACAAAAAAGACTACGGGTGAGTTAGATTTTATACAATTCCGACGTTTAATTAATCCCGTTTTATTTTAGCTATTGTAACGAGCACGCTTTGAAAGCTACTTTAGCTCGTAACAGGCAGAATTCTAAACACCCTCTACCTCGAACTGCTGAAGTACTCCTTCACTCGCTCTCGCATTATATTAAGAAACCGAAAATTCGAAGCAGTTCTTCGAGTACACAATATTCCGATGAAGGAGACAGGGCTAGTCCAGATATCGACCAAAAAACCACTAAATCGTTGGATCCCTTCGGTAAAGCTGTCGAATAAAGTTCTAAAATTGTAAATTATACAATTTTTTTTTGTATTTCAGTCGATATAGATGCATCTTCTTTGTACAACGCCAAGTGTAATCAAGTACTGGATGTTTGTAGCGAGTCCGAAAGCGATATTGAAGCTTCTACGCTTTCCTCAGTGTGGCAGGACGCTCAAGCTGATAGTTCGGAAAACGAAAGCATCGATTCTGATCACGAAGATGTTCTAAAGTAATGCTAAATATTACATATTAGCGCAAATAAATAATTTTTCTAATCGACAGGCATGCTAACGTATTCACAGCAGAAGAAATCACCCTATTAACGAGAGACAAGTTAATAAGATTGCAGTCGTTGTACATCGAACAGTATCGACACCTACAGTATTTGCTCACTAAAAAGCGAAGGAAGTATTTGTATTCACTTAAAAGAGAAAAAGAAACTTGCTGTAAGTATAATAAATTTCCCATAATAACTCCATTATTAAATTAACAATTTTTAAGGTAACATTTACAACCAAGTGCGAGATAACCCGAAAGAACAGAGATTGTACAAGAAGTTGAAGGCTCTTAACAACTATCAGAAATGTCACGGGGTCGAAGCCATTCTCAGTAAACGATTGAAGGACCTCAGAGCGAAACTTAGCGAAGGTTCGAGCAGTAAAAGCCAAAATTACTCCAAGTGCATTTTCACAGAAGGAGGAGTAAAATGCGGAGAAAGGTCCCTACCGTTAGCGAAACATTGCCAGAAGCATATACTCGAGGTATAAACAATACGATTAATTATTTTCAGCGATGATGAGTGTATAATATTTCAGGATACAAATCAAGTGCTTTTTAAAGCCTGCGGTAAAATGATGGGTGACATCGAATGCTCGACTCCTATAGTAGCTATTTTCGAAGGAGCCTTGTGCCCTTTGCACATGGAAATACCCCCATTGAGATCTTACAGCCAAATTAGAGTAAGCTCACCGGCCGGTAAATTAATTCGATAAATCAACAATAAATTTCGTTTGCTAGAAGGACTCTGAATCAGACGCGGATGATTCGCTGGAGACGCACATGAGTTACAACGCTCCACCGCCCACGCACATCGCTGAACCGATCAAGACGGAGTTTATGAATTACGAAATTCCACCGGACATACCCAAGATGGAGTCGTTGCCGACCATGCTGTTCGAGGAGGACCCCAAGCACCTGGAGTGTTCCTCGAACAAGAACCCCTTCATGTTCGGCGGGAGTTTGTCCGAGGAGAATTTGCAATTGGAGGCCAAAAAGGCCGAGGAGTGCGCTGAAAATATGATGCAATTGTCGAGGTTCATCAGCAATCAAACGCAACCGGTGGTGATCAAAAGTGAAGATGACGGTGGTGAAGGGACTACCGATGGTACTGCGGATGGTAAGCAGGAACAGATGGACACAGAAGATATAAATGTTGATGGTAAAGATCTTGAAAATGAAGGTAGTTTTTTTTTATTTTACGAAATGATTTTGCGTCTACTTTACGTTTTGCAGATTCTATTATTGAAACACCAAAGATGACTGAGGAAAAAGAAGATAGTTTTGATGATTCGTTCCGCTTAAAATTGTCACCCGAAAAGAAAAATCCTGAAGCTTCACAAAGTGATCAACCTAGTGATAATGATAGTTTAAAATTGAAAGAAAACTTATAAATTGTTCCGTTTATGTTTAATAAAACGTTTTGTCTTAAACTTTTTTTATTTTTCCTTAACCATCAAATTTATAATCAAACACTAATCACTATACTATCATATGAAAATCTAAAAGGAACACTTTTATTCATCTTTTTCTTTCTTAATTTCCACGTTAACACCGGCAGTCTCATCTTTCTTTACGTGCCCGTATTCCTTGTCTTTTTCCCACCTAGATTTGCTATCGTCCGGCTTTTTATCTCGTTCTTTATCGTCCCTCTCCTTCTTTAATTCCTCCTTATACGATGTGCTCTTTAACACGGGCTCGATCTTCTCCTTTATGTCCACTAGAGTTTGCTGGAACAACTTCGAATGAGCCTAAAAAAATTAAAATAAATTTAGATCTAATTCAATAATGAAGAGTCCACGTCGAGTTTAATGGCTCTGGAATTGTTCCAGTGTCTCTGCAAGTAGTGAAAGTTTCTAAACAAATTCGTTTCACTTACACTTATTTTGCCGAGCACTTCCTCTGAGCTGCGCAATTTGTCTTTGTACTCCCTCAGTTCCGAATTGAGGTGTTTTATGGTCGAATTCGACTTGTGGTATTTCTCCGAAAGTTTTTGATTTTCGCTCTTCAAATCGACCATTCTCGCCTCGGTTTCCAATCGGGTTTTTTCGCTTCGCTCCAATTGCGACATCAACTTACCAATGTCCACTACGGAGCCCCTGAATTTTACGAAACCTGTCCAAGAACCAACAATTTTTACTTGTATTTTTAAAAGGATATAAACTATTTATTGTTTACCTTCTGCTATAGGCGAGTCGGTTTGGTTTGTTTTATTTATCGATGATTCGGCTGTGTTGAATATCGGTAGTAATTTCTTGTTACCTTGAGCTACTTCGTCTAAATTTATTTCTTGCAATAATTCTTCTGGTTCCGTTTCTTCCCCTTCCTTTGGTTTATCCGTTAATTTTCTAGAAAAACAATCTTTAAAAAATAATCTGTTTAGATTATAAAAAAAAATTACCTGTAATGCAACGAGTCCCTAATGATTACTTTACTTATGAGCTTTTTAACTTGTGCTCTGGACAATTTCAAACCCAATGTGTACAAGAGATCCTCCATGTCTTTGTCGAAAATGTAGCCGCATTGAGTTTGATCGAAATATACAAAGGAAAGTAGCAGATGGCGATCTTTGGTATATAATTTAACTTTGTCCTTTTTCTTTCGCTCTTTCTCCTTCCTTTTCTTTTCGCTTTCTTCGCTCTCGTCGCCGCTTTCCTCTTTCTTCTTATCCTCTTTACAATTTTTCTTCTCTATAAACCAATAATCATAAACTTAACAGCTACCTTCGCAAGTAAGGTTTCAACTAACCTTTTTTATCCTCTTCTTTTTTCTCTTCAATCACTTCATCCAATTTATCCAATATTTCCGCAATATCGTCCAGATCCATCTTCTCCTTCAATTCAACCTCTTTCTCATCGGTCTTCTCCGCGTCGTCCTTCTTAACTTCCTCCTTGCCGTCCTTCTTATCTTTCTTATCGTCCTTTTTGTCGTCCTTCTTCTCGGGCAACCGGAACAGCGCTTTGAAGATGTTGAAACCGAAGTCTCTGCTCAACATTTCGTTGAACAGCTCGGCGAACAGAGACACTTCGAACGAATGCTCCTTCGAGTCCTCCGGCCGGTAATCGAGCAACAACGACAGAGACATCGTCGTGCAGTCGAATTTGCCCGATTTCGCGGTTTTCGAGGGGTGCACGATGATGTGGGGCGTTTCCGGTAACGAATAGCGTTTTTCCAATAACGCCCTTTCTTTTTCGTCTAGCTTCTTTTCTTCCACCTTTAAGTATAATAGGGGTGAGTTAGCTACACCGTTTCCAACTGTATTTCGGAAAGCGTCAGGTTCATTTAAGAATGCGTCAATTGAATTTCATATTTGTATTTGTAAATTTGCCACATTCTTGATGCTATTTTTTGTTTGAATTTATGATCCGATTTGGTTGATTTTTTTTTTAATTATAAGTTGGTTCCTTGACAATGTCATCATTTTTGCTGTTTATGATAAAATGTTCCTTTTCGATTATACCGGGTGTAATAAAAATGTAATGTTTTTTTCCGAAAATTCGTATCACCCTGTGGAGTATACTAGCAAACGAGACATATAGCAGTTGACATTAGACGGTAGATCCATCTTTTGCCAACATTTTCTTTTTTGGTTTACTTCATTATCTCTGTTATTAAAGGAGATATGCCGTTTTATAGCGTAACATGTTTTAATAGACTTTATTATTCAAAACATTCATTGTTAAATATTTTAATTTAATTTTCAAGTAGGCTATGGACCTTTTCTGACATTTCAAGCGATGTGTCAATATGGAATACATTAATTGTTCTTAATTGTGCGAAGAAGCAGTAAGAGCCTTAACTTTGGTGGATGAGGCCTATTCAAAATCCATTAATTTTATTGTTTTTGATTTATGTTATTTTCTTGTTTTACTAGTTTCCAAAAAAATGTGTTTAATAAACTCTTAATTTTACTTTATGAAGTAAAGTAATTCGTTAATTTTGTTTTCATTCATCAAAGCGAGCAGGAATTATTTTGTTATACAGATAACAAATAATGTATTCGATATTGACACATCGCTTGAAATGTCAGAAAAGGTCCAAAGCCTACTTGAAAACATTTAACAATGAATGTTTTGAATAATAAAGTCTATTAAAACATGTTACGGCAATTACGCTATAAAAAAATCATCCAAATCGGTTCATAAATTCAAAACAAAAAATAGCATGAAAAATGTGTCAAATTTATGATGTTGCGTTAATTTTGTCCAGGAGTGTATTTCAGAAAAGTCATTTCGATTTCAGAATGCATCAATTGTATTTCAGAAAAATAAATTTGATTTCAAAAACCATCAGTTGTATTTCAGAATAGTCAGTCCGATTTCAGAAACGATCATTTGAATTTCAAAATTGTCAAATTCATTTCAGAAATCATCATTTGTATTTCGGAATTCTTCAATATCTATAGCTTTTCAATCTCAATTTTAGCTAAAAATATAAAAGTATCAGTTCCAGAAGAATGATTTCGATTTCAGAAAAAAATATTTCAATTCCGGAGTTGTTTCAAGTCAAAAAATAATATAAATTGTGGAGTAGGACTGAGTTTTTCTTCTTCGTTAATAATTGTCATATGATTTCTGCATTCCAAATGGGACTCTGAAATCCTTTGATGGTTTCCCAAATACGAATGATACTTTCCGAAACACAAATGATAATTTCCTTAATACAATGACTATTCTGAAATTCAATTGATGATTACTAAAATCAAATTGACTATTCTAAAATTCAATTGACGCTTTCTGAAATACAACTGGAAAAGGTGTAGTAAACTGATTATGAGTAGGTAAGTTATACCTCGTTTTTCTTTGTGTCTTGTAGAGAAATTTCGGGTTCTTCGGGCTCTTTCACCTCCTTGTTGTCGTTCTTATCGGCCTCCGCTTTCAGCGCCTTCTGTAATCTAGCCACCAGTTGCGACTTCAAGCCCTTGTAGCTGATGTTTCTCGCCTTCAATTCGGCCCTCAGGTCGTTCACCACCATACTTTTGGGGTCCAATTGCGAGTAGTGGGTGGGTTCGATCTTCTCCTCGGTCGGTTCCTCTTCCTAGAGGAAAATATACAACGTACGAATTAGATTTGCGTTTAATTGAAAGACGTCGTGGACGTTCGCATTTGCTCAATCACGCTCTCAACGACAGGTAAATAAAAGGAAAAAACGCATTCGCACGCACACGCCTGGGGGGGCCTCTTAAATTGTTCTACTTCTCTAAGTACTTTTTTTTTTTGGTACTTCGTCCGGACATCCTCGAACTAGCGGATGCGGTTTTTCTTGTGACAGCACACTGCGTTTTACCTAGCCTAATTGCTAATTTGCCTTATTCATTATCATCACTGGACCATAATGAAATTTAAGCCGACGGGTGGGGGTGCGGATCGTTTTTTTTTTAATCCGGAGACATTCGCTTGGAGTTTACACGCAAATTTATCTCAAATCAAAACGAAACGTCCAAGCGGAGCATCCGAAACAGAAAAAAAAACCAAACCGTCCCCCGATATAAGCCACCACAAAGAATCTCATAAAAAAAAATATATATATAGTATATAGGAACGGGTTTGGGTGCCTTTTCATCAGCCGGCGATGCCGCATCGTCTCCGCTTTCGGCGGCGGCGGCGGCGGCGGCGGCGGCGACCGCTGCCTCCGATTGGTTCGAATTCAAAATCCTCTCCAACTGCTTCCGGTAGGCGGCATGCAGTCCGTCCCACTCCAACCGCGTCGGCAAGCAACTCCACACGTCAGGAAGAAATAGTACGACGGTCTCCACGCGTGCAGGGACGGTCTTGCCCTTGTGCGTCGACTCGCTCCGTCGGTAATACAGCTCCAAGAAACGGTACCTAATGGGAACATACAATGTCAACAGGTTGCGGTTTTACTGTGCCCTCAAAAAAATTAATTTGTTTAGATTTTCGTGCGACTGATCGTCGTTTTAGCCGTAAACGCGGGGATAACAGGAGACGGAACTAAATCTAAGAGCTAATAGTTTTTACATTGTAGTCGGGAATTTCTCTTATACCGGTGTTTAGAGAAAAATCGTCAAAAACGATGTCTTTCTTCTTTAATCGAAAACCTCCTCCATTTCTTCGGTTTTATAACAAACCCTCCTCGAAACAATTTCAATCGACTTTTTGACGATTTACCAGTAAACAAACATAACTAAATGCATTAATTAACAATATAAATAATACAATTTACTTTTCGATTGCTTACTAAGCATAAACATACCGATGACATCAGTCAATCCGCAAACATACTCGACGACTTACCATTGGGTGCAATTCGATAGATCGATGCCGGTAAGACTCTTACAAGTTCTAATGGCCGTTTTGATTAAAACGGACGGGTCCTTGTCGGGGCATTCGCCGTCCAAAGAGGGGCTCCAGGCGCCGCCGATGGCCATCGTTTCGTTCTTCCCCCGAAGACCCACCAAGAAATTGATCAATCGGGTGGGATGGACGAAGTCCTTTTCGTCGGAGTCCTTGTCCTCGGCGAGGGCGCAGCACTTCTGGTAGATTTCCTCCAAGCCGGGCGTGCTCATCAGCATCACTTTGGCGGAGAAGAGGTAATCCGCGTCGGAGGGTTCTACGACGGGGCAGTCGTTGATCGAATCGACTTCTTTGTTCATTACGTGGAACGAGCAGGGTTTGCTGATGGAAAATGGTTTGCTCGACGGGAAGGATTCCACCCACTTGATGCTCGTGTAGAAGAAATCCGAAGGGATGTACATGTTTTTGTACCTTCGTTTGATTTCCAGCACGTCTCCTACTTCCCTATTAAACAATTACTCAGTAAGATAATTAGTGTATGTATAAGTTAAATACTTACAAGTCTAAATCGATTTTAGGAACTTGCACCATGTATCTTGGAATTACTCGAGTTCTTCTTCGGATGACCTTAGGCGATCGAGATCTTGATTTAGTCCGTTTACTTATCGGAGACTTTTTCTCCTCCTTTTCTCTTTCCCTCATTCGCTCCTCTCGCCTTCTCTTTCTGTCGATTTCATCGTCTTCGCGATCTCTTTCTCTAGACCTGTCCCTTCTGCCGCCCTTCCGTCCTCCCCCTCGATCGGACGGGGGCGGCACGGCGCTGTAATTATTACTGTAATTTTTGTTGGACGGTCTGGACTGGTTAGCGGTTAATACTTGAATGCGAGTAGCGTTCCATTTAAAAGGCATAGTCGGGGTATATTGAGCTTCGACCAGTACTCTATCGCCTACTATAGGATGAGAGCCTTTAACGCAAACGTTCATTTGAAACATGACTTCCTCGTCTACCAAACCGAAATTATCGTGCATTTGGGTCACCTTGCCCGTGAACACTCTCTGTTTGCCGGAGGTGGTGGTTTGATTGCTGGAAATGGGCATGCTCGTTTGAAATGCCGTGGGATTCAAGTTTCTCGTATTGGGGTACGTTACTTGTTGGAAAATCGGATTGTTGGCGATTTGAGAGACGGCGGCAGCGTTCATGGCGTTGCTCGCCATTTGTTGTAAACCTATGCCGAGGTTTTGTTGCTGCAAACCCATGTTCTGGAATACTTGTTGGTTGGATGGGAATTGTACCATGTTACTCAAATTGTTTTGATTCATCAGCGACGGCTGCATGGAACCCTGATTTATCATGTTCGAGGAATTGTTGGGTCTGCCCCAAGCTTTATTGTTATATCCAACGTTGTTGTTCATTGTGGAAATAATCTTTCAACAATTAATATAAAATGTTATAAATAAACACCGGAATGACTTATCAACAAAATATCAATGACGCCTTTTTTGTTTACTGTTTCCGGTTTGTATTGACGTTAGTGACGTTTCTGTAGTTGCGTTCCGATTTAGTGACATTTTTTTAAAATAAAGTGAGGATATTTTGTTGTTTAGGAAATAATTAAATACGATTTTGCTCACTTTAGTTATTTGATTGTTTAATAAATAACATACAACGTGTTTATTTTCTTGAAATTCGAAAGAAATATTAAGAAGTGTCATTACGGAACGTACCACATATTCCAAATTCCAAACTATTACGTAACTTCCGGTATATAAAAAATTAATTAGATATATTTTTAAATTTAACCAATTTTCTGGGATATGCGCATCTGTTATTGCGAAAGGAGCAATTATATAATATTTCAGCATCGTTAGAAATGCGTATAAACCGTCCGAAAGGGATTCGCTCCGATTTTAAACCGTCTGTCGTCACTTCCTTTAAAGATGGCCTTCTTTGTCTTTTCCCGTCAAGCCGGTTTACAAAGCGCATTCGCCGGTAGAGGTCTGACTGTGCAGTTTGTGAATTTTGCTGTCCAAAACTCATTTGCCAGAAACTTCAGCAAGAAAATGGGTTTGCCAAGAGTTTTCTTCGATATGTCCGCCGACGGTCAACCTGTTGGAAGGATTGTGATGGAGGTAAGTGGAAAACACGTTGCACGGTCATGTTTCCCTCGCCCTAACACATCGTGCAAGTCGACTGTAAACGTATCCGGCGTTATTTTATTTCGGGTTTTATTCATGTCTATCGTTCGATTTCGTTTGGTTTAACGCTTTATTTTGTTCGTAAGGGAATAAATAAAGGTAGTTTGCCGGTTTAATGCGGAATCCAAGGGTAAAATCTGATGGGGAATGCATAATTATAATTAGGAAGGAAAGGCGTGTTTGACTTCATGGCGTCTAAGCTGTCAGATTATTTTTTTATTACATTTACGGCTTTTATAGAGATTTAATTTGATCCAAAGCGCTTTTATTGTGCACATATTCGCTTGGAATTTTCCAGTAAATCCTAAAGGGGATCCACAAGTGGAGATTGCGAGAAGAACGGATAAGAAGAAGCGGTTCATTTTGTATTCATTATTATTCATACAATAAAAATTGACTAATCAACTTATGCAGTACAATTAGAATCTGTATTTTAATGGAATTTTGTTGGAGCACTGGAATATTTCTGTTAACTCATTTCCAAGGTCGACCGGTTTATTTTATTTCAATTCAACCGAAATTTTATTGAAATTACCCAGTACTTTTCCCTATTTTCTAACCCGTTTAGGTGAGATTTTTCGATTATCCCTTTGAGGAATAGCGGCGGAGATGTCAGTTCGTGACAAGTAACTTCCACAAATTGATGTTTATGTGGGAAAAAGAGAATTTATTAAATTTATAAAAATAATGAAGAGGAAATGTCGAGTACAAAAGGAAGTTGTTATATTTATTGAGAAATAATTGTGTGAAATAAGCACGAAGATATTCGAGATATATTCGAAAGATATTCGAAGATATATGAAGTAATTGAAACCTGGTGGTTTTTGTCCGAATTAATACTTCATATAAAAAATTATGCAACAAAACCTATATTATACAGATGCATATTTGTTTGTAATATGGTCAAAAGTTTTAGTTTATATAGACTATTAAAATAACAGTTGATTAGATTGAGGAAAAGTGGAAATCCCACAATATCTTTTTCCTTTATATGAAACTAGAAGTTGTCTTTGTTGCACCCACAGACCATATTGCAAACAAGCTTACTTTTACCCTTCCATGGGTAATTCTATGATTTGAACAAAGAAAGAAAATTGCCAATTAACCCATAACTCACTTTCTTTTACCTTTATATAACATTAATGGGATTGGTCTTTGTTGTACTCATAGCCTATATTGCAAACAATTTTGCATCTACCTGTATATAGTCCTATTAAATTTACTGTTACCCTATTCTCATCAGACTAATAAATATAATTTAGTTGTACGATTTATGAATAAATATTTTTGCATGTAATATCAGTTTCTGTAGAAATACATCGATATTTTTCCTTTCATTTATTCCTAATATTTAATAGATTAGCTGTTAAGTAGTGGAAAATAAACGTGTCGTAACCCGTAGGTTTGGATTTAATACCGACTTACCTTTAAGGATCGTTAATTTTTTATATTTATTTTAAAGAGAGATTAGGTAGATTTTATATCGAGAATGTCGCCCACGTTTTCCCGCACACGCCTACCCCTTTTTCCTACCTTAAATCCTCGCGACGATAAGCCTGGTAAAAGACTTAAATTAATCAACGTTTAAACTTTGTTTTTATTAATTGATTGGGATACCTACCTCGTTCTAATGATTATTTTATTAGATTGAACATTGTGTATTTAAATCGTGGAAAAAGTTAATTGAAGGCTCTTAATTTACCCTTCGATTTTTTGATAGAGCTATTGAATTTAATATTTATTGATATCGGTCTTGCTTATGGTGTATTAGTGGTAGACCCGCGACCTTCCGTTTCTTTAATGGAATATTAGCTTATTACAAAAAAAAACATGATTGATATACTATTACTAATGCTTATTAAACGGCCATAACGGTAATAACGTTTTAATAATAAATGCACGGCGATTAGCCTAATGATAAAGATATTGGATTAATAGCTTTAAGGGTGAAAGAAAATTACCTATATTAATTTTTTTAGAAATAATTTCTTTGTATTTACTATTATTGCCAATAATCAAAACAAATAACCGCATCATTATTCATACCATTACATGTGTTTTTATTCAAATTCCACATTTATCGACAAATATATGCAATTATTGAGAATTCCTTCGTATTGTATAGTCGGTTTTGGCGAGAAATTGTATAAAATTTTTGTTGGTTTTCGTTTGATGATTTTTTTTTATTCGCGGTAATCACTAGGGACTTAAGCTAATTTTAGAATTTTTCGTTTCATAATCTAGTATTCAAATGATAAACTTATTGACCTTGTTCAAATTTAGTAAATAATGTATCCAAAACAAACTAGAATATGTTATTCAGGTATGAGATTTTGGATTTTCTTTAGGATACATGTGCAAACACCACTCGAAATTTTAATTTAAATATTTACAAGATTCGATTCGGTAAAATTGGAAATACATAACGGAAATATTTTAAAATTTGATCAGTTATGTAATGCGACTGATAAATGATGTCTCGTGTTTCACTCGCAGTAATGCCTTAAGTGCATGTAATTCAATAATACCACACGTTTTAAATAATGAACTACTTATCGATCAGAAATGTCATTTTTATCTATGAATCGATACGGCCTTATTTTTAGTTTTAATCATAACATTTTAACTCTCCATCCCCGTTTAGTACAAGAAACGAAAGGTCGACTCCAGTTTGGTCACGCACAAAGTACTATAATAAATTATTTAGTGAAATTGCGGCCTTTCCCTATTCGGTTTTCCCTATTTGATCAAACGGCTAACAAAACATCGTATTTTTATGAAAAAAAAAAAAACTTATTTTGAATGCCACTTGGTATCCTTGAAACGAATTGTTTGTACCCCCGGGGTGCATTAAATTTTTACAAACGAAATTTTAAGTAGAACATGCAAATGGTATTAGAGCGTTTTCACGCGGTTCAATATATTGCAGCAATAAATTTGCATTTTTTAACTGCAATACATTATTGCAGTAATATATTGCACCGTGTGAAATCGCTCTTAGAGTGTAGAAAAAGCTAAATGGAGAGGAGTACGATGTGAAGTATGCAGTTTTTAGCCAAATATATGAATAGATATAACTCATTAGAATCCAAATCAGTTTTCAGTTGCTGAGAGTATTCAATGTTTTAGGAAATATAGCCCTTTTAAATTTAAAATTTTGACTCGTGACGTGAAAACTCGCAAACCAATCACAAGAGAGCTTTGTTGTATTGAATCATTAGTGACAGAAGAATTCGAACAAACTACGGAAGAATAAAAGAAACGAACAAAAGTGAAATGTAACATTAAATGACAGATGACATTTTTAGGGTTGGATTATTGTAATTTCTTTGTTTTAAGTTTATTGGGCTAAAAATAAACACTTTTAGAATATAATGAGAAATTTTTACAAAACGGCATGAAACAAGGTTTAACTACCTTCGGATGCGACATTTTAAAATTGTATAAGTTGATTTAGTTGGAGGTTAAGTTTTTGCTTTTATTTGACAAGTTTAAAAAGTCCAAAGTATACATTCGATGATGCCACATTATCATTTTTACTAAACAAAAATTTAGCATTTTAGATATTTACAGTAATTCATAAATATAGGCATACTGTATTATTTAACAATTTAAATTTAAGTTGGCTCTATATTTTTCGAATAAATCATAACTGTATCAAGAAATACAAAAAATAAATTATAGCATAGACATACAAACAAACGCTTTTTTTTTTCGAGTAAGAGGATATTTGACAACGTCGCTAAAAAACGATACTTACCACAAATTCTTAATGTGATTGGTTAATGACTTGTGACGTATTTCAAATTTTAAAAATTAATTGTGGCCTTAATAGGAAACGGAGAAAATTAAAAATGTCACCAATGACTTCATAAGAATACGTAGTTTTATAGAAAAACTAACAAAAAAGTCTTATCGATTTGGTTCATAGATGGACAAAATGCTCATACAGTATAACATAACAGAGTTACCGGTTTGTTTCTAGTTGAGGAACGACGTCGTCCCGAAGACGGCCGAGAACTTCCGCGCCCTGTGCACCGGCGAAAAGGGTTTCGGCTACAAGGGCTCCACCTTCCACCGTGTCATTCCCAACTTCATGTGCCAAGGGGGCGATTTCACCAACCACAACGGCACCGGCGGCAAGTCGATCTACGGCAACAAATTCGGCGACGAGAACTTCACTTTGAAGCACACCGGACCCGGTGTCATGTCGATGGCCAACGCCGGTCCCGACACCAACGGATCCCAATTCTTCATCACCACCGTCAAGACTTCTTGGTACGAAATACAATTTCAATTTAATTATACAGGGTGTCCCAATGAAAATTAGTAGTCCCTTTAATGAGTTTATATTGTAATTTTTAAACTCCTAATCGTAAAAATACATGCGGTTTTCTTAAATATATTTATTTTATTATAAATAAAATTTATTATGCTTATTTTATTATAAATTTTGTTAATGTGATACAGAAATTATTATCTCCTCTTTTAAATTCACATTAACCAATTTTTTAAATGCAACACCCCGTATATGTAGAGGTATTTTGAAAGATATACTCTTCTACTTTTCAAAAATGTATTATTTGTACTTGTAATTCTACAAAAGAAGATGTCCTATTTCATAAATTTTGGTTAATGTGAATTTAAAAGAGGAGATTTTTATGAAACATCCTGTACAGCCGATACAAAATTTTTGGGTTACTGTAGCGAAAAGTTGTAGCAAAATGAAATATATCTGCGAAAACTGAATGTTTTTATGATTAGGCGTTTAAAAATTATCAGCTCACTAAAGGGGCTACTTTTGGGACACCCTTTATTTAAATTGATGCTTTGTTATACGAGTCGTTTATAAGATGTGTGATAATTTTGGTTTTTTTTATTTTAGGCTGGATAACAGACACGTTGTGTTTGGTGCCGTGGTGGAAGGCATGGATATCGTAAAGAAAATCGAAGCTTTGGGCTCCCAATCCGGTAAAACTTCAAAGAAAATCGTAGTTACCGATTGCGGTCAATTGTAAATTTTATGTAATTTTTAAAAAAGAAAAATTTTTTCCTGGTAAATGTCTCACGTGGTTCCATCCTGGAAAAATTTTACCTTTTGCGAGCCAAGTTTTTTTTTTTTAACAGGTCGTTTGGATAACATTCGTTTGCAAAAGAAATGAAATGTACAGGTTACATGAATTTCTTTTCAATTCCTTCTAGTTGAAAATTACAACGTAAAACACATTTTTTTTAAGTAATAATGTTACTAATACTGTAGATGTGGTTTATCGATTGTATTAAAATACATAGCTTGTAATGAAAGAGATATTAATAAGTGTTATACTGTAACAATCAAAATTTTTACCATGTGTCCAAGGTCGAGCGCTACATTCGTCCGCGCGATTCATCGCGCCTCTCCACAGTTCGGCTGATTCTCTCTTTCTACTGATTGTAGCGTTCGGAAACGCATATACAGTATTAAGAATATACCGAGTGGTCACCTTGAAACTCTGCATTCATCACGCCTCTCCTCAGTTAGACTGATTCTCTTTCTAATGCTAGAAACGCTCGAACTTGGATGATCGGTATACCTTTTAGCTATTTCACGATCCCTTTCAAGCACAAAAATAAATTTATTAAACAAGGCTTAATAATATAAGAACTAATATAATTTAGACCTCCTTAGTTACAAACTAAGTAACATTTAAATGTATTATTAGTTAAAATAGATAAAAATTATGGTTTTCATTCATTTTTGCGATTTAATTTTGGACCACTTGAGACATTTATAAACTTTTCGGTTTAATGATACACCTGTTAAATTTTATACTTACATAATGTATTCTGTAATTTTTTTTGTATTCGACATGCTTGAGACGTTTAAAAAATTTTAGTATTTCATTATCAGTAATATTGTTAATTTAGTTACTATTATTTATAGTTTGTGTAGATATTGGTGTGTCATATAAACTTATACAATAGATATTTGTGATCTGATTATCTTTTTATTCATTAAAATTGATAATACGCCATTAGCGTTAGCGTGTGGCTTTGCATTTAAATTGTTTCTCATTCTTCGGTGTTCAATGATATGCAGCTGGCTGTAGAACAACTTGCATAAATACGTAAAAGTCAGCGTTTAACTTAGAAAAATCATGTTTTTTACCAGAACTGTAACAGAAATTGGAAATAAATCCACAATAACCTGCTAATAAACTTTTTATTTGTACACAATTTGAACCCTAATATCCCCCAGGGGACAATTGAGTAGCCGCCCCATCTATAATTTAAACTTTGATTTAAATCTACAAACGAACGTTGATGTGTAATTCGTATCATACAAACGAACGTACCTAACTCATTTGACAATGACAGTAATGACACTAGTGACAGTAGATTTAGGCAACGCCGTGGCGCATCTTTCGTCTTTCTCTTCCGACATTTCCATTCGATCGAACATACACGGCTCGTGCACGCTATCTAGTTTGTGTTTTTTTTTGCTTAAAGTATTAACAAAATATCGAAGAAAATATGAGCGATAAAACCGAACAAACAAGGTAAGTCACCGAAGATATCCATTTGTTAATTTTGCGGGCATTTATCACTGATAAATCGAGGTAATTCCTTTGTGTCCGAGGCGGCTTCTGCTCTGTGTCGGAAAATGGCGGGACGCACACTAGTTGTGCTGAAAAATGCCGGTATTCATGTCGCTAGAAAATACCTTTCAAACTCTTTTACGCACTTTAACTTGGAGTATAATGTTATTATGAGTAATTCGCAATGTGTTCCAAGTTTAGTTTCTGAAATAGCTGCTCTGTTTGTTATTGCATATATTTTAATTTTTGTATATAAAAATGATGTCGGTTAATTGAAATGATCTAATCCTTTCGGCGATATTTTTACATAATTCCTCGCATTGCTTCAGCTATTTTTAACATTTTAGTGCAGTTTCTACTGTAGGAATATTCCTTCCATTAGTTCACTGTAAATTTCTCCGCGTAATTGCAGAATAAATTTAAGCAAATGCTTGCGGGATTTCGAGTTAAATGAGTTAACTGCTGTGAAATTTTCTGTAGAAGTGAATTATTTTGCCAAATGTGATTTTTATTTAAAATAAAATCCACTTCAAGAAGTCGTGTAGCAACTTATTGGAATTTGTATATAATAATAAACGGTTTGTGGAATTTTCCTAACTCAATACATTGGCGAAACGGATTGAAATAAATTTAAAGTTTAGTAGTTGCTTTGTAAATAAACCAAAAAATTGTATTGGATGTTTACATTTCGCCAGTTTTCCTTAAGCCAGATAAATAAATTAGTAGTACAATCAGCATTAAGTTTATATTGATTATTTACTTCCTGTTAAAATGGAATTAATTATACCGCAAATTGTATGTATTGACTCTTTCACAGTCCTTATCAAGTTAGGGTAGATAAGGGAAGGTGCTGGTATTAGCGCAATGTTCAAAAATTATCAGCAATTTATACTGTTAAAAGTAAATAAATTTTATAGATATTGTGATATTTTTAACTCGTCGATTTACGAAACGATTCGAAAATTCCCCTCCCAAAAGGTAGGTGCCTAATTACTCTTACAACACAAAAACCCGACGTAATAATTTTACCAGAAATATTTTACCGTTCTACTTCCGTAACATCGACAAAGTGAAAGCTATAAAAGCAATTAAGCGAATTAATTACATCCTATACGTTCCGTTTCTCGTTTGTAGCGAACCCACCGCGGTAAAGGAAGTCGATAAGACCCCGACCAAGGAGGAAAAGCCGGCGGAGACCGTCGAAAACGGCGATAAGGAGGCCGTCGAAAAGAACGGCGACTCCAAGGAGAAGGCCCCCGAAAACGGCGCTGAACAGGAAACAGAAAACGGAGACTCCGAATCCAAAGGTAACTGCACCATCTCCTCCATTCCGCTCTATGGAATACTAATGATTTTTAAGTGGATATTTAGCATATAAATTTTTATATTTGCAGAACCTTCGTCGGTGAAGAGGAAATCGGTGGGAGGCGATGTTGAAGACGCGCCCACAGAGGGGGCAACTCCTGAAAAGAAGGCCAAATTGGATGAAAAACCCGAGTCCGAAGTCAAAGAAACCGCCGAAGCGGAAGCTTAAATCTATAAACTATCGACTTACAATTTCGAATTAATTAACAAACAAACATACAAAAAAAATATCCATTCGTTTTTATAAATGTTAATTAATGTGTAATGTTAGGGTTTAATGACTTATCGTCTGTAATAATTTTTAGGGAAGAATCCTAACGTTAAACGTTTAATTTTAATTAAATAACTGACAATTCACTAGGTTTTTAGACAATGCATTTATGTTTTTTAGTTTTTAATCGGCACTTAATTTGGTAGTTTTGAAAAAGGTGTTTATATTTCTTAAGGTGTTACTTAAATTGTCAGGTGTGCCAACCGTTTCAGGTGGTTTTACGTGATGTAATTATACTACAGAAATAAAATCAACTCTTGTCCCATTCAAGAAAAGCGCCTAGCTATTCTTTTATCTTCGAATAGAATTCACTCGTTTTGCAAGACCAACAAAAATATTTTAAACATCTCGAATTATTAAGAATCTTATTGTAATTACACCACGTGAAATCATGAGGCTACTTTTCAGGGTACGCTTCTTGTACTTAATGTTTCGTTTATTTTTTTTATCTTAACTACTATTAATTTTCTTTAAAATAGTGTTGTGAAATTAGTGTATCATAAATTAACACGTGTCCTTTTAGAGTACAGTTTTAAGATTATGTTAAATCGTAAGAAAATTGTGGCGAATCTCTTAGGAATCGGCTCTGCCATTTTTTTTGCCTCGATCTCGAAAAACCACAACCACACATTAATAATGGTTCTCTAACCCAGAATGTGTTCATATCAAAATGTAAATCCGAGTTTTTTTATACAAGTTTATAATGAAAACAAAACTAATATTTATCCTGAGCGACAGTATTTTTTAATCTAATTAATTGATTAATTAGGTTTATTGTTTTACTATTTTTGAGTATTAATTTTACACAATAGAAAGTGTTCGTGCTTGTATGGTACAAAATATTTATATATGTAATAGAAATGGCAATAAAGAGTTACGTTTCCAGGATATTATTTCTTTTATTACCAGAAACAACAAAAAATTTCATTCGATAAAATAATTTCTAATAACTTAGGAATATAATGGCTTTCAAAAAGAACAATCGTGTTTTTTAATAAACATTTAAAACCCTTAAACAAATCATAAAAATGCATTACATTACAAATTAAGTGTAATTAAGAAGTACGAATTAATCACTATCCATATTAATCGTTTTTAACTTATCCCAATGGAGTTCTACGGTAAGATTTTGGTTATTGTGTTGAATAACATCAACGGTGACTGGTGCATATAAATCTTTGTCCATCGGAGACCATCCAGTGTACTAAAAATAAAAGCAATTTAATTAAATAATAAAAAAAGAATTGAAATAAATATATAACTTACCACTGAAGTGTTTTTATGTCTGACTTTACCATCCTCATCGAATGCTTCATACTTTTGCAACAGAGCCTTTCCATCAATCCTCCACAAGCAAGGGTGCTTCGATGGATCTCCCACTTGGGCGTCCTTCTTAAGAATTACAAAGGACCCCGTCTGCAATTAAAATAAAACGGTAAGTACACACTTGGGAGGCTTCGAATATTCCAAACTTACCGCATATTCCTCAGAATAAATGGTTTTTGGAACAAATTTCTTGTTCACAGTCCTCGAAGCGGGTACTGTAGTGGCTGTAGACACTGGAGCGGCCTTTTCGTCGGAATTTGGCGACTGTTTCTCGGTTTTCTCTTCGGCTTTAGCCTCGGATTCCGCTTCCGCATCTTCCTCTTCTTCGTCCGGTGATTTTTCTGGTTCTTCTTGCTTGGGTTTCGCCTTCTTGGCGACACCGTTTTTAGGTTTTTTCCTTTTTAATTCGACATCCGAATCTTCCTCAAATTCTTCATCGCTCGTGTCGACTTCAACGACTTTTTTGCGGGGCTTTTTGCTCAACCTCTGCGATGATCTTCGACTGGTACTTCTTTTTTTGACCTGCAAACACGTATATTTTAATCAGGTACTAATAAAACGCCATTTGTGTTTTTATTCCTGTAAGGTGTTTATCATTTACCTACCTCTTCCTCTTCTTCATCTTCTCTCCATTCATCCCCAGAGCTCTCGAAAACATCTGGGTCATCCTCGTTCTCCGAGTAATTGCTCATTATTCTGAAAAAAATATCGAAAAGAAATCCTGTTAAATGACTGATGTTGTTAATTCACGAAAGTATTATTCTTTAAATCCTATGTACATGATTTTTTCTGGAGCCATTGTAAATGCGAATTACAGTAAACGTAATATTGTAATTGTGCAAAGTACCTTCAAAAGAGGCCAAGATTTTTTAAACGACCGGCTTGCGTTTGTTAACAAAACGTTGAAATGTTTAATTAACAACAATAGTTAAACTGTTGGGATAATTTTGTACAGCATAAACGAATTGTAAACACTACAAACTATTTTTGACATATATGACAAGTGACAGAGGTGATTTATGTCAAAGGCTTCTAACTCTGCAAAAATGGAGATTTAAAAAAAAGAAGAATTAAAAAAAAACATTTTATAAAAATTATTTATAACTTGTTAGTGTAGTGTGTAGTGCTAGAGCGTAGTGCATTTTTCAAAGAAAATGAAATAAGACAACTTTTTTATTTTATACAGGGTGTGTACAAAGCATGCGTAAAGTTGAACTCATAGACAAAATATAAGACATCTTTCTTTCTCTATGGTTGAACTTCAAAAATATCAAATATCTTATTTTTTTAAATTTTTAACACAGATTTAAATACCTTTGACCTTGCTAGTAGCCCTTACAGAAACCGTTTCCATATCTTCAAGGGTATCCCCGTAAAAAAATAATTCATAAGGGTCTGCATTAATTGGTCAAAATATAGATTTCGAAAATATATTAATATACAGGGTTTTCCATTTGAAATAACAAAGTTGATGCCTACTTCCGGTATATCCGGAAGTGGTACGACTGTCAAAATATTTTTAAGAGGTTCGTCTTATTGTATAACATATACATACCAAAAATTATTTAAATCGGAAAAGTAGTTTCCAATATAGAGATTGTTTTAACTCGTCGTGGGACACCCTGTATTGGTGCAACCGAGCGTAAGTGCAGTAAATGAAACAATTATTATTTCTTGTAAATGACAAGCTCAATTTATTCTTTATTACAAAAAAGCTCTTTCATTAAAATCGTATGCAAAAACATTTTACAAAATATACAAAAAGTTTTTTTTAATACTTTCGAAGTACAACGAAAACTTCAATCAGGTTGTTAAAAACACAATATTAGGCACTGGAAAAGGCACTGTATAATGTTGAAGTACTAAGTACAACTAATATTTTCGGTGATTTGTATGCGGGTTACATTGTTTTTATAATTAAGGCAACCAAAACATGAAGTTTCCCTATAATATGGATTGCTTCCAAAAGTCTGAACTATTCTTTTGAAATTATTGCTTAGCTGCCTTGCATTCCAAACTTTAATTTTTTACGATGTCAAAGTTCAAATAATATACTTTTGAAAGCAATCACACATTAACTATGTGATAATTTATGTACATTATATACAAATTACATAAAACTCTTTAAAAATTTGACACGCGCACACAATTATTTACTTAAATTACTATTCGTTTGATTCTTTAGAATGTAATAAATTATACATTGGAACATATACAGGAATGAATTATGTTTAAATGACATCCTATACTGCAAGTATATAAAAAAATCAGGAACAATAATACAATAAATACAAAAAAAAACAAATCAATATTTACATATTCATTCTGATACACAGAATTTATCGTTTTAAATAAAATTAATTTGAAAAACTTGTAACAAGTTATACAGAATAGAACAAAAGGGATTCAAATTATTTGAATTTATCTTGATAAATTGTTTAGATATTAAAAAAACTGTTTTTACTACATTAAGCTGCTTCCTTTTGTTATATTCCGTATTATTAATAAAAACAAATTCAAAATATTAAATAATATCACACTATTTTTCTAAACTTAAATATTTGTGTCACCAGGCTTCATTCATCACGAGATCAATTTCTCCACATATCACTTTTGTTAAGAGTTCGTCTATTATTAAAACAAAAATATATGTTAAAGTCTCTAATATAGTTCTTTAATAGGGCTCCATAACTCATCAAATAAATATTTATATATTATTTAAGTGTAATATGTTTTTAATTTAACAGTTCTTTGTCAATTCGCTTGTTGGTTTTGTATTTTCTGTGATGCTTCAAACATTAAAGATTAGTAGATAAATTTGTAGTGATTAGTTAACAAACAACTGTTAATTAAACATCAGTAGATAGACTTATAATTAGAATTGCACTGAGGAATGAGGAAGAAAGACATATCTGTGTTCGAATCGATTACAACACATTCGCTTCGTCGAATCATTGTAGCAAACAGGTTACAAAATATTGCTCTTTCTACATTTTATAGTCATAAAATTGACTCTAATTTATATTAAATTACGATATATATAGACTCTCTGAAAATCGATCAAATCTTCTAAATTATTAGAGTATTTGTTAACTTAAATTTTAACATCTAAAATGTGAAGTAATCTCTGCAATAAATAAAGTACATGGAACATTCTGTCCCTAATTAATATTGATCACAATCGAAATCAATTCATAATATTGTCGAAATTACAGCGATAAATATGCATTTATTCTCGTCACTTATAATGAAATATCGTTAAGCACCGCGACCTACATTCACAGTGATGCAGCTTGGACCCCTTAGACACGCATAAATTCTAAAAAAAATATGATTTAATCAACACTGGCCCTCAGACAAGTACCGTTAACACATCCGCACTGCCGCTTTGCTGTTGCTGCTGATGCTGTTGCTGTAAAGTCCTTTGTTTGTTAACATTAATAATATTTTTACTAAAGTCTTTGTGTCCCGACGAATCGTCGAAAGCGGCCGTGTTCTTCCGCACGTCCGGATTTTGCGCCTTGTACAGCATGATCTGGCTGCTGCGGTGGGCGCTGTTCAGGCCGTCGCCCGCCTTCAGGGCGCCCTCCGAGGCGCTGGTGCCCGGCAACATCAGCATCGTCTTCCTGGAGCCCGGACAGTCGATTTCCGATATCATCTCCAGCATTTCGCTGGAATTGTCGTGCGCCAGTATGCTGGACATCGGCCTGACGACGCTCACCCGCGGCACGTCCAGCGAATTGATGCTCGCCAAGCTGCCGATGTCGTCTTTCAACGGATTAGCATATCTGTAGATAATTCCAGTTAATTTTTATTAGTCGAGAATATAACGCGCGATAACGTACCTTCTGAGGTTTTCTTCGTTTTGCAGGTTGTTGGATTTCTCGTCTTCGTGGTTTCTTTGGCAAGGATCGTTCGATGAGGATAGATTGACGCCGCTGAGGCCGATGTTCCTGCGGTGCTGTCTCAGGTAGAGGACGACGGCGAATCCGGCGGCGCAGAGGCCGATTATAATGAAACACACCAGAGCTATGAGGTATTTGTTGCTCTGCTGCTCGTCGGACACTAAAGCCGTTTCGACTTTAACTTCCACTATCGAAGCGAGCGCCAGTAGACTGGTGTGTTTACGAGAAATCGCCTCGCCTACCACTCTAATGCCGTCCAGCACCCACCGATCTCCAGACTGCAATACACCAGGTATGTAGATAAATCACAAAACGACATTACAACCAACTCACCAATGTAACTTCGACGGTGTCGTTGTAACCGTTCTTCAAATCGCAAAGGAGGTACAAGACGTCTTGGAGGCCTTCCATCGCTTGTTGGTTGGCCAACAACCGACGCAAATCGCCGCACAATCCCTCGACGGTGGTGCCCTCCGGCAATTTCGGTCTATCTAACAGCAAAGTCAGCCGGGCGCACGTGTTGCTGAGCACCGCCTGGTTGGGCCAGCAGGTGCTCGGCGTCGGCACCGACGCCGGTTTCACCCTTCGGCCGCTCTCCAATTCCCTGCAATCGCCGTAGGGCAGGCAGGGCGGCGACAGGCAGGACTCCGACGACGACGGCACGCACACCTGGTTCATGTTGCAGGCGTTCGGCCGGCCGAAGTCGCGGCAATTCTCCAATCCGCACCAGATTTTCGTGCAGCGCACCATGCCGTTGGTGCACGAGCACGTGTTGCATTCGTGCTGCCACGTTACGTTGTTTTCTAGCGTGTGCGTGTTCCAAGGGCAGCTGCCTGGTGTCGGTAGGTAGGACAAGTCGTTTACTGATGAAGAGAAATGGTATCGATAAAATAGAATCTTTGAAGTTAGGTCTTTTAAGCAATGATTATGGTGCAAGATGATTGAGTCTCTTTCATTCGATTTAAGATTTATTTGGGAAGAGAAACAGTTGCAACCAGAAAGTTAGCAATAAAAGAGAAATTGAATATAAGTCTTCATTGGATCGTTATCTTTTAAGAAATGTTCAAGGACCAATAACGTTGATTCTCTTTTATTCGATTTAAAATTTTTTTTGGAAAGAGTAACAGTATCATCTAGAAAGTTACCAATAAAGGAGAAATTGAACAGAAGTCTTCATTGAATCATTATATTTTAACAAATGATCAAGGACCAATAGCGTTGATTCTCTTTCATTCGATTTAAGATTTATTTGGAAAGAGAAACAGTAGCAGCCAGAAAGTTACCAATAAAAGTGAAATTGAAGTTAAGTCTTCATTGAATCGTTATCTTTTAACAAATTATCAAGGACCAATAACGTTGATTCTCTTTTATTCGATTTAAGATTTATTTGGAAAGAGAAACAGTATCATCTAGAAAGTTACCAATAAAAGTGAAATTGAAGTTAAGTCTTCATTGAATCGTTATCTTTTAACAAATTATCAAGGACCAATAACGTTGATTCTCTTTCATTCGATTTAAGATTTATTTGGAAAGAGAAACAGTAGCAGACAAAAAGTTACCAATAAAGGAGAAATTGAAGCTAAATCTTCATTGAATCATTATTATCTTTTAACAAATGATCAAGGACCAATAACGTTGATTCTCTTTCATTCGATTTAAGATTTATTTGGAAAGAGAAACAGTATCATCTAAAAAGTTACCAATAAAAGTGAAATTGAAGTTAAGTCTTCATTGAATCGTTATCTTTTAACAAATTATCAAGGACCAATAACGTTGATTCTCTTTTATTCGATTTAAGATTTATTTGGAAAGAGAAACAGTATCATCTAGAAAGTTACCAATAAAAGTGAAATTGAAGTTAAGTCTTCATTGAATCGTTATCTTTTAACAAATTATCAAGGACCAATAACGTTGATTCTCTTTCATTCGATTTAAGATTTATTTGGAAAGAGAAACAGTAGCAGACAAAAAGTTACCAATAAAGGAGAAATTGAAGCTAAATCTTCATTGAATCATTATTATCTTTTAACAAATGATGAAGGAACAATAACGTTGATTATCTTTCATTCGATTTAAGATTTATTTGGAAAGAGAAACAGTATCATCTAAAAAGTTACCAATAAAAGTGAAATTGAAGTTAAGTCTTCATTGAATCATTATCTTTTAACAAATGATCAAGGACCAATAACGTTGATTCTCTTTCATTCGATTTAAGATTTATTTGGAAAGAGAAACAGTAGCAGCCAGAAAGTTACCAATAAAAGAGAAATTGAAGTTAAGTCTTCATTGAATCATTATCTTTTAACAAATTATCAAGGACCAATAACGTTAATCCTCTTTCATTCGATTTAAGATTTATTTGGAAAGAGTAACAGTAGCAGCCAGAAAGTTACCAATAAAAGAGAAATTGAAGTTAAGTCTTCATTGAATCATTATCTTTTAACAAATTATCAAGGACCAATAACGTTGATTCTCTTTCATTCGATTTAAGATTTATTTGGAAAGAGAACAGACAGTTACCATCCAGTTAGTTAGAATCATTATAATCTTTTAACAAATGACCAATATGGTTGATTATCTTTCATTCGATTTAAGATTTATTTAGAAAGAGAAACAGTATCATCCAGAAAGTTACCAATAAAAGAGAAATTGAAGTTAAATCTTCATTGAATCATTATTATCTTTTAACAAATGATCAAGGAACAATAACGTTGATTATCTTTCATTCGATTTAAGATTTATTTAGAAAGAGAAACAGTATCATCCAGAAAGTTACCAATAAAAGAGAAATTGAAGTTAAATCTTCATTGAATCATTATCTTTTAACAAATTATCAAGGACCAATAACGTTGATTCTCTTTCATTCGATTTAAGATTTATTTGGAAAGAGAAACAGTAGCAGCCAGAAAGTTACCAATAAAAGAGAAATTGAAGTTAAGTCTTCATTGAATCATTATCTTTTAACAAATTATCAAGGACCAATAACGTTAATCCTCTTTCATTCGATTTAAGATTTATTTGGAAAGAGTAACAGTAGCAGCCAGAAAGTTACCAATAAAAGAGAAATTGAAGTTAAGTCTTCATTGAATCATTATCTTTTAACAAATTATCAAGGACCAATAACGTTGATTCTCTTTCATTCGATTTAAGATTTATTTGGAAAGAGAACAGACAGTTACCATCCAGTTAGTTAGAATCATTATAATCTTTTAACAAATGACCAATATGGTTGATTATCTTTCATTCGATTTAATATTTATTTAGAAAGAGAAACAGTATCATCCAGAAAGTTACCAATAAAAGAGAAATTGAAGTTAAATCTTCATTGAATCATTATTATCTTTTAACAAATGACCAATATGGTTGATTATCTTCCATTCGATTCAATTACCGGAACAATTAGTATTGATTGAAAGAAAGTCAGTATGTACTTACCGGTACACCGTTTCCCTTTCTTCCCTGCCGGACAGAGGCATTTGAAATCGGCTATATCATCGATGCAAGTGGCCCCGTAACCGCACGGATTCGAAGCGCATTCGTTGACGTTGATCCTGCAATCGGGTCCGGTGAAACCGGGCGCGCATTCGCACAGGAACCAATTGACGCCGTCGATGCATTTGCCGCCGTTGTAGCACGGCTGCGGGCTGCAATCGTCGACGTCGTCCTGACAGTGGTTGCCCTCGAAGCCGTCCCTGCATATGCACCGGTAGAAGTCGTCGGTGTTGACGCAGGTGCCGCCGTTCAGGCAGGGATTCGAACGGCAGGCCGTCTGGCGGGCAATGTGACAGGTGGTGCCGTCCCAATCGGGCGGGCAACGGCAGGCGAACGCGTCGCCCATGTCCTGGCAAGTGCCGCCGTTTTTGCAGGTCGCGTGATCGCAGTGGCTGTCTTTCAACGAGCAGGTTTTGCCCTTCCAGCCGTCGTTGCATTCGCATTCGAAGTCGGCGATGCCGTCGATGCAGGTGCCGTTGTTGCGGCATGGGCTCGGCGTGCAATCGTCCGTATCTGGAAAATATATACCGTGATTAGTGCGGCGCTATACATTGCGTTTTGACGGGAGCGGTTAAACGGGACCCGTTCAACCGCATTTTATTTCATCGGTATATAGATATGTACATCCATCGTCTATCCCGCTAAAAAGGATGCGGCTCAGTCATTTCTTTGTAGAATTTAGATAGAAAGTAGATGGTTTGATGAAAATTATCTCAAATATTAAAATTGTTAGCGCCCTTGAAGCTACTGGCTTACTTAAAAAACAAAAAGAAAATACAACATTCATTATTTTCATGCTTTTCATGTTCTTCGGCATATTGAATGAATAATTATAAGTGCCGAATATAACTAATACAATAAATATCCAAAAAAATCTACACCAAATCCAAAATACTATATTCAAATAACCAAATTTTCTGTATAATGATCCCGCTCAACCGCACTGTGTATAGACGCTACAATTGAAATGAATGTGTTCTTGTCGATATGCGTTTTTAAAAGGGACCTGCTAAACCGCAGCAAGATGCGGTTGAATCCGGTTGCCGCAAACGCACCGCACATGTATAGACGATCTAATTTAAAACAATGTGTTCTATCTATCCCTCCAAACCGGTCCGGTTAAAACGCTCCCGTCAAAACGCTATGTATAGTCCCGCACTTAGGGCATGCAGAACCGGACGCGGTTTCAGATTTTTGAGAACCGGGTCTGGAAAGCAGTTAGAACCGGGGGAACCGGTTCTACCGGTTCCGGCTGATAAAATTTAAGATTGTTTAAAGATTTGAATAAATCAGAGAGAATTTTTCAGGATGACCTAGGATTATCACTAGAAATATGAAAAATAGTTTATATTTGTGTAATCAACATACAGTGTGTAGAGCATGCACCCGGTTCTACATCCTACGGTCCGTGACATTATAGGCATTGAACATTCGCACGATTTTCTTGTGATTGGTAAATTCGAATTGGGCTCGAAAGGGACCGTCAATGAACGATAAAGTTAGTATACTCTATTTCCAAAATAGTAGGCACTAAATTCTCGGAAATATTGTCGCTTTTCTTATTTATTACATAATCCTTGCTCTTCTAATTATTAGTCTCCAGCTGATTTTCCCGTCAAACACACTTGTAGTACGCCACTGGGAAAGACCCATTATCTCAATCATTTCTGAGAATTTAGTGCCTACTATTTTGGAATTAGTGTATAGTGTAATTATAGATATACAGGTTGTTCCTAAACATCGTGTACATCCGAAAGGGGGTGATTCGTTGGTTTATTTTATGTCTAAAAGTTCATATAAATGTGGGTCCGCAAACGCTTCGTTGCCGATCTACAGGGTGTTGAAATTTCAAGTTTTTTTTGTTTCTTTTTTAGAGCCCCTGTAGTTTTTGAGATATTTAGCTCAAATTAGGTATAGGATATAGGGTATATAGTATAATTAAAGTAGGAGGAGGTCACTTTCAACATTTATTATAACGTAATTTAATAGTTATTATTAAGGGTTTTTGTTTTGTAAAATAAATCATTTGCACAGAAAATCATTTTGATAACGGTCACAGAAACGAAAAAAGTTTAAAAATAAAAAAAAGTTTCTAAACAAAACAGACAATTAATTTTGTATTTTAGAATCTACCAGCGGGGCACAGCAAAAAAATTCAGTGGGAAAAAAGGGTACATGACCCCTGAAAAAATATCATCCTGTAGAATTCAACAACCATCTGATATACCCAATAATGTGTGCCCTATAAAGCAATCTAGATTCAAAATTTGAGCTAAATATCTCATAAAGTGCAGGAGCTATAAAGAAAAAAACAATAAAAATCTTGAAATTTCAACACTCTGTAGATCGGTAACGAAGCATTTGCAGATGTACCCTTATTTTGATGTCATTTATACGCTCTTGAGTTATTGACATCTATTTTATGGACACCCTGTATAACTAAAACCGATGAAACTAACAAGAAACATAGACAGAAACTAACAGAAAATAGAGGTAAAACATTGCATGTTGCCGCGCTAATTTTTACAATTTCCTTGTGCTATATTTTTTATTTTTATATCCTTATTATGTAATCGTCTTAATACTAAAAACTAATGTTATTTACATTCTTCAAAATACACCCACAACATATAATAGATTGCAAGTTTAAGAAATACAGTTTCAAAATGTGACGAATTATGTATTAGAAAATTCCTGTAATAGATAAACACTTACAAATTTGGCAACGGTGTATTTTGGCTCGTAGCAAAAATTTGTAGATGATTTCGATTAAAAAGAGATCAGAGAACAGTATCTATCTTATTTTCCCAGCGAATAATAGCAAATAGCGGGAAACTAGGAAGCAGTTGTCACTGTTTTTTCATACAATATCAACAAAATTTTCATACAAAATATTAAATAATGTTATATTTTTACCATAACAATTCTTAACATAATTAAATTCTTATTTAAAATATATTTGCCTACGCTCAAGGCGCCTAATTGGATCCGCCATGTTACCTCTATTTTTCTCTCTTACTTTTTCTGCCTCGTTTACTTAAAAAGTGACAGATAATTTTCAATATTGGCGTGAAAAATTATTGAATTTATGAATGACTGGTTGGGGATGTGGGTGTAATCCTAATACAAATTAACTTACTGATGCTGCACAAAGCTCCTTCCCATCCTTCGATGCATATGCATTGAAAAGCGTTGACTTTGTCCACGCACGTTCCGCCGTTTTCGCAAGGGTTGACTTTGCAATCGTTGATATCTAAGAAAAACCGATGAAATAATAGTAGAAGAGTTAGAAATGTCTTGTTGAAACTCACTTTCATGGCAGTATTTTCCAGTGTAGCCGGGCTGGCATTGGCATTTGTAACCGATTCCGGGTTGATTAATGCAATGTCCATGCTCGCCGCATAAACTCGGCGTCGTCGATCGGCTTCCTCCAATCGAAACTATTACACAGCTCTCGATAACTATAAAAGAAATTAATTATTTGCTAATGGTATTCAACAAGAAATTAGAACAAAACAAGTTCTTTTACGTCTATATAATTTTATGAACGTTTCAACATAGTATGCTATAAAAAAAACCAGTCAATTGAATAACAATTTTTCTTTCAATTCGCTCATTTGTAATTCAAATTACGACCTGATATTATCTCTTCAATGTTTATACGTGTCAAATTTCATATTTATATAGGGTGTTTCACAACTTATCCGACAAATTATAACCACATATGCACTGTTACGAGAGAAGTTAATTTCCCAAAAAAAATGTAGTAAAAGTCTTACAGAAATCGAGATAATAAAATAATAGTTTAACAGTTCAATTACTTATACAAGATGTTCAAAATTGTTCCCATTTATTGCAATGAAAGCTTGGGTGCTTGTTTTTTTATGTTTTAACCATTGTTTTGGCGCAAAATTTGCTACAGTAAAGTATTAAGGCAAAATTATGAACGCAAAATGCAGTATTTATTTTTCAATTTTTTATTGAAACTCGGGTTTAAAATTTTATTTCTATAGGACTTTTATTACATTTTTTTTGAGATTTCTCAAAGAGAGAGAAGTTGATTTCTCAAAAAAAAGTAATAAAAGTCCTACAGAAATAAAATTATAAACCCGAGTTTCAATAAAAAATTGAAAAATAAATACTGCATTTTGCGTTCATAATTTTGCCTTAATACTTTACTGTAGCAAATGTTGCACCAAAACAATCGTTAAAACAAAAAAAAAACAAGCACCCAAGCTTGCATTGCAGTAAATGGTAACAATTTTGAACATCTTGTATAAGTAATTGAACTGTTAAACTATTATTTTATTATCTCGATTTCTGTAAGACTTTTATTAATTTTTTTTTGGAAATTAACTTCTCTCGTAACAGTGCATATGTGGTTAAAATTTGTCGGATAAGTTGTGAAACACCCTGTACATCTCGCAACGTACTGTGAAAAAAAAATAGCGCACAAGTTCTTCGTTTAATTCTTCGTTTTTCGGTTTAATTATCGAAAAAATTTTTTCTTAATTCACACACACACACACACGAAGGCGATTCGTTATATCTGATTTATTTAGTAAGCAGCGCGTACGTCAATTAACTCGAAAAGACAAGCAAACGAAGAAGAGAAGAGAAGACAGTGGACCGGTCCAGTTCGATTTCTGGCCCAGTCGGCGGTCCCGGAGCCCCACGGAGACTGCTTCAGGTGTCTTGCACGGAAAGTGCCTGTCAACTGATCGCGTTCTACATCTATACGCCGACGTTCTTCTCTTTTACCGAATCGGATTCCGAGCGGCCTTTCAGATTTTTCTCTGCGATGCCCCGACCCGGGAATGCCAACGATAGATATCTCCGAAAAATAAAAACACACACCAATTGTTTGCCAGAATATTCCTAAAAATCTCTCGAGAAGTTTTCTCTCCAACTCTGAATTCGTTTAAGGCGCGTTTTCACGGGTCGATCTGGATTGAACGATTTGGATTGTTCGATCATATTCGATCTGTGTTGAAAGCAAAAAGGTTTACGCGATAGGCGATGCGTGTTGAATTAACTGTAGTATAAAATGGTGGAACAAAATTTTTATAAATGATAATTTTTTTAAAATTTTACGCCATTTAAGTTCTTTACTGAATCATTGCACAATAAACCTCTTATTAGAGTTAGCATCATCATCAGCAGCTATTTGTTCTGTTACCGATAATATTTGTTGCTTGTATTGCTTCTTTTCATTCTCATAAAGTGATTTTGATTCTATTCCCTTTACTCTATTCCGTTTTTGGCAAGTCTTTTTCGTTCGACGAAGTGTTTACACATTCCATTCCAGTCGTTCGACATCAATTCAGCTAAAATCGACTATCAAAAGTAGACAACCAAGACATCCAAGTCGAAAGATGGTTTACATATTCAATTTAATTTCGATTCAATAATCGATCTAAATCGATCAATCCAGATCGAACCGTGAAAAAGCGCCATAATGGAGACTACCCTTAATGATTGTTACCGTTTAATGAGACCGTTTCTTTGATGAAACGCCGTCTTTAATTTTCTCAACAATATCGCAAACACGATCTTCCTAATCCAATATCTAAATCCTAATTTAGAACACCCACTCAAACAATACTCTCGTTGTTGTCGGCTGTGCATTAAGCCGTGAATACTAATTTGATAAACAAGATAGCCGTATCGATATCTCCCATTAATCTAGCCTTATACGACAATAGAGATATTAATGGTCTCGAATCGACTCCGCGATGATAGTTACACCGTATTTAAACGAATAGTCTTTGAGAATAATTTTATTTATCCTCTGATTATTAGTTTCAATCCCAGAAATATTTTTTTTCTCAGATTTATATATTTGTCTCCAAACATACAGGGTGGCACATTAGTATGGAAAAGCTCAATATATCTGTTATTGTAGAAGATATCAAAGAAAGTCATTACAAAAGTTGTAGATCTTTTTAAACTGTACATTTAAAAATTAGTTGCATTCATACAGTGTCCCGTTTTTCCGTAGAAGATCAAACTTATACTTTTTTAAATGGAACACCCTGTTTTTTATTTAAAAATTGAATTTAGCTCGTTTTCAGCTTTCCAAAAATATAATTTTGTATAACGTTATACTGAGTGGTTTAAAAGTTATGACCACTTTTCCTCGAAAATCGTACTAAGTTTACCACTCTGTAGAAACTAAATGGATAGAATTGAAAATAAATTTTCAATTTTACAACATTGCAAATATCCTGAAAATGTACAAAATGAATATTTTTTGTCAATTTTAATCATACTGCTTACAGGGTGGATCCAAACGCAAAAGTAACATTTTCTCTGTTAATTTAAATGGATCGCCCTATATTTTATATCCTTAACAGGAAGTATTTTTGAAGTACTTTCATTCTTAATAACCATTCCCTATACCTAAAGTTAACACTTTTCGAGATAATTCATCAAACTCCAAATATCAAACCAAATATCAAACAAAAACAAAGAACAACATGACCTAATAATTAACCTACATTCGGAAATACAAATTAAACCCGAATTGAAAATGCGCTTGCGCCGGATTCTAAATCTCTGAACTATCAGCAAATTTTTCTGACTATCACAAAACCAGTCCCTTGAACTGTTGGAACAATAAATTGTTAACCAAGTCAGAATCAGAGATATCTGTGGAGTTTGTTGGAACGCCTAAATTATGACTCCTGACGACCACCGGCTATTTCTGACTGTTGTAGAAACAAACCTAATATGTTCAGAATAATAACTGTGTTCTCAAAATGATAGATGTATCACCAAAATAATAGATCTGTCACCAACTAAGAAATATCAGACACCTATAGTTTTTTGACCTGTTTTGCGGTAGAAAAATATTTTTATCACTGTATATCCAATAACTTACCGTCGTCGCACAAAGGGCTATCGCACATGATTTTCGCCTGGCTGCAATTCTTCCCTTGCCATCCCTCGGGACAATGACAATAGTAATCGGATTGCGTTTTGAAGCAGGGCGCGCCATTTTGGCACGGATCGGGGTTGCAGTGATCGTAATCGTTCTGTGAATAAATCGTTTTTAAACCATTATAATCTCTTGCAAACGAAATCCCAAAGGTAAGTATAGTGCGATATGATTGGTGTAACTTTTGTTAAGGAGTGGCTATGTTTGCGCATTTGGCGTCTTTAGTTATGATTGTTGGTCTGTAAGTAGGGAATATTTTTGGCACGAAGGATTCATAATCTGCAGGGATGTAACGTAGTACATATCTGAAATGGAATTCGTTCGTACGAGAGGATTTAATTTAATGGAATTATTGTCTTTTTTGTTATATTAGAAGTATCTTAAAGTTGCTAGTTTTGCGCATTTGGCGTCTTTAGCTATGATTGTTGGTCTGTAAGTAGGGAAAATTTTTAACACGAAGGATTCATAATCTACAGGGATGTAACGTAGTACATATCTGAAATGGAATTGGTTCGTACGAGAGGATTTAATTTAATAGAATTATTGTCTTTTTTATTATATTAGAAGTATCTTAAAGTTGCTATTTTTGCGCATTTTTGCGTCTTTAGCTATGATTGTTGATCTGTAAATAGTGTTTCAAGTAGCGAATATTTTTCTTTTACTACAAATAAGTAATTGAGCAGCTGTTTTGTACAATAATTAGTTAATTAAAATGCATACGCATTTAAATAGTATTACTGCATTTCAAAACAATTATTTTAGATAATAAATAAAAATATTTTTATCATAAATAGTACATATTAAAAGAGTGAAAAATTACAACAAATGTGTGAACCTGGCAACAAGGGCGAGTTTCCTAATGTATCTGTTGTATACTAATAAATACGTTCAGATTTTTAAAGCGCATGCTCAATGGGCAGACCAAAACAAAGATAAATCTATGCTGAATTCCATAGAACAAAAAAGATAGTATAATATAGGCATGTTGTAGATGTTGGCAACAGGAACGTAAATGTAATTCTTATGGCATTTTGATGCATCCTCGTTAGTATACAGGTTGCTCCATTTTTGATCGCAACATAGGTTATATAGGCCATTGGTGCGATAAAGACAACTTCCATTAGACACTTATAAAGGAAAAGGAAAGAGTGACATTTGCGTCATTGCAACTTTTCACTCTGACAACTGTCATTTTAATAATCTATCTTTGTTCCACTCATAGAAATGACCATATTGCAATCGGAAATGGAGCAAGGTGTATATGATCTAAGGTTATTGTCGAACGAGATGGAATATGGTTTATGAAACCGGAATTGGTTGGTTTGAAGAGCATTTAATTTACCTCACACTCGTATCCAGTGATGCCAACGGGACAAATGCACCTATACCCGTTGACCTGATCGACGCACTCGCCTCCATTCCTGCAGGGATTCGGTTCGCAATCGTCGATATCAGTGTGGCAATCGCGACCTGCGAACGAAGCGAATCGATTAAAATTTCGAACCGGGTATGAAGTAGAAGTAGAAGGAACGTAGAGAATCGAACGCAATTCGTATACACTGTTAGAAATTAAATTTCGCATAATAGGGAAATCAATGTTAAATTCTTAGCCGGCTAAAATCCAGTCTACCAGTATACATTTCAATAGAACGTCGCGATGAATTCTAATAAATTTAATTGTTCTACTGGATCGCACGCCGCGATTTGTAGAGGTACAAAGTTATTTGTGTTAGGTATGAGGTACAAAATTATTTAGAAACTACATTTAATAGGTTTTTTGGGGATATTTCAAAAAATGTGTGTATCGGTAGGTACAGTTTTGAAACAGCAACAAATTTTGTTGAAATAAGGGAAAAAATAATTCAATTTTCAGCTAGAATTACACCTCAGCTCAGTAATATGAGATGACATCTGTATGACAGGTTTGCCTATAGTTTAGCAGAAAGCGGTGGACCATTTTTTAGAGTTCTTTTATTTTCTGTTTTAAAATAATCTTTAAGTTTATTTTTGGAGTTTTCTTTTTATTATTTTCTTAGAATTTACTTTCTTTTTCAAGCCATTGTGGCAAAAAGACATATCTACATAATTCTATTTTATTATTAGTGATATTTTTTCAATAAATTATCGTTTAAAAATTCTCATTTCTTTTTAATCGACTCGACGTTCACCCATCCGAACCCGTTTTGATACTGTCGAAGTGTCGAAACCGTCGAAATTATTTGATTTTTAATCTAACCAAGCCAAAGCGCGGTGTGAAGTCCAGTAGAACAATTAAATTAGTTAAAATTTAAGAATTTAACATTGATTTCCCTATTATGCGCGAATAATTTTCCAACACGGTATAATCGGCGTATTATACTCACCGGTGTAGCCGGGCTTGCAGGCGCAATGATAATCGTTGACCAAATCTATGCAGGTTGCGCCATGCTGACATTGGCCAACGCAGTCGTTGATGTTCTGATCGCAGTTTTTTCCCATCCAGCCCACTCTGCATTTGCAATGGTAATCGCCTACCAGGTTGGTGCAAGAGATGGCATTAATGCAAGGATTATTAAGACATTCGTCGGCGTCTGAAAGATAATGTTTGAAATGCGATTAAACTATTAGAGCTTTCGGACGAGAATCTAGGGTAAACAGTTTACGGGGTCTTGCACCAAATTCGAATTAAACGAAAGTTAATTAAACTAGCGTTTAATTTTAAACTTCGCTTAAGTTCGTTATAACGTTGCACCATTTATAAGAGTGAAGAGTTTAGTTAATCTATAACTTTTTGGGGTTTTTATTTGGAATATAAACTGCTCCACAAAAGTTAAGGAAGTTCACCAAATTTTCAAATATGCGAAATTAAATGTTTTCTCTCATATCTGAGTGGATTTTTTGTCCCTACCTCTACAACTCATACTAGATTTGGCGATTGAAAAATCTACAACTTTTAAATTAATCTCAATATTTGTGAACTTCCTTAACTTTTGTGGAGCAGTATATTTAATGTTGGTTACAATTAGTTGTCGTTTGAGAAAAAAAAGACCACAGAACACAGAATTTAGGTTCTAAGTTCTGTATTTTCAGTATTCTGTGAAAAAGACATTTTTAAGATTATCGAGGTTTATTTTGTGTTCATTTTATATTATCAATCATCAGATATTATTTACTTGTGATGGAAATTGAACAAATAAACATAGATTATGAAGATATTTTTGATGATGATTTGGAAATGTTGGAGATTCTGAATAAAACCGCTACCCCATCACTCAAGAGAGGAGTGGCGGGTAGCTTTAAAAAATTTTAATAGAAACTCCAATTTTTTATTGAAGACTTGGAATCTTGGCATCAAAATTAGCAAGTTTTGTTCGAAACATTTCTCAAATTTATCAAGAAAATGAGCTAAAATTTCGACAATTATTTCAAACAGCCCTGTGGGGACACAAAAGTAGTTTTATGATGGTCAAATTCCATACAGAAACAACCTTATGAAAAAATCTACCCCCGACCATATATTACAAAAAAATATTTTATTACCAATTTTCCGTCTAATTAACTGGTTGCATACTACAGTAAAGTCTATTTTCGTTTAAACTGTTCATAAACCATCAAAATTTACCGTTTAATCTTAAGCGAAGATTAAAAAGTTAACTTTAGTTTATATAAATGGTGCAACATAAAAATTGATTATAACTTGAGTTTAGCATTAAACTATGTTTAAATCCCATTGGTGCAAGAACCTCGGGTTAAAAATCAATTTATTGTATTATTGCCAACTTAAAATGAAGTTCTGCGAAAAAATATGGAGGGTATTAAACTCGTTTTTTATGGATTTTGCTGTATTTGGATAGCTTACCGAATTGACAGAGGTTCCCTTCCCACGCGTTAGAGCAATTACACATAAATGAATTATCTAAATTAATGCAGGTTCCACCGTTTTGGCATGGAGCTGACGTACATTCGTCGAAATCTGTAACGAAGATACGGAATATAAAGTAGACGAAAAAATAATAAATTAAACTTAATTAACAATAAACAGTTTGACTAATTAGTTCATTTACCTTTCGACGGCCTATTTAATTTTTTTATTTTTTATATCAATTTAACGATTTGATAAATTATAATAGGCGATTCGTATACGAATTTATATCGAAATAAAAAAATCATTTATTTATAGAGCTTTTTTTTATTAATCTACCCACGCGGAGCGAGCGCTTTGTCGGTGCACGGACTATATCGCAACACCTTGTATACACGAAACCCCGTTTCATTGTTTTCGATTGTTATTAATAATTTTTAGAACGGATTTCAAAGCCCAGCATTCCGATCATAATTATTTAATTATAATGATTTATGGGTGAAAGTGACGTGGGCCAACTGAGAACAAATTCGTATCACGCCTTCGGATTCGTTTTCATTTCACCAAATCTACAGACCTGTTATTTTCAGAAAAAAAGCGAAAATTATAAATTCCCCGGCGCTCCTGAGATAACTATAATTAATAATAGTTTTCTATAAATTAATTGTACCACGTCTATTCCACATTAACAATAAGTAAATTGTTTTGCATATAGTTTATTTAATATTTCAAATGTGTGACGTCAGGACCGGATTAAAGTTGTAAGAACTTTTTAGGAGAATCGAAATTGATTGATGAATCTGAAATAAAATCGATCGAACTACCTATCACCTATCACTTTCGAGTGTATTAAGCGATTCGAAGATCAATAAAAGATATCAAATTGGAACAAATTGTAGTTGTACAATTATTTCATCATTAGGCTAATTCTCACAGTCCACAGGCTTGCCGGTGTCTGGATTGTTTTTTGTGATAGGGAACATTCGTAGAATCTTTCGATATATTACATATAGTAAGACGTTCGTTATCGTTATTAATTAACTGTCCGTTATAAATGACAATTAAAACCGAGCAAGTGATATATCATCATTTTTATGGCGGCTGGAATTTTTATGTCGACTACATGTAAGATGGAAGGAATTGTTCGAAAGTTACGTGGAAGCAAAAGAAAAAGGAGCAAGAAATGTTAATAGTAAATTTCAACTGCTCCAAGGATAAATTTATCATGGCATAAAAATTCTAGCCTAATGATTCATTACCGGTGCGCTAAGAACAGCGTGCGCGCGTTTTATAAAACGAAAACTAATTTTTTTTCACTACTTAAGTTGCCAGCATGGTTCTGACTTTAATCAATTTTCAGTGCATACTTCAGTTGGTCGTTTAATGTATTCTAAAAATCGTATAATTTTTTTTGAAGTCTCCCATAATTCTTTAATAGTTCGGAATTACCGGCTCATCAATTATTTTTTAATCGAAATTATTTTAATTGTTCTTTTAGAAGTGAATTTTTCAGTTTAAAATTTATTTAGATACCAGATTTTGAATTCTGCCTTACTAGCTGGTTATATCGAGTAAACTAAAATAAAATAAATTAATAGCTATTGTGGTCCTATTAATTAATTTAACCGGAATACGAAATTTTACCTCATTAATAAATTAACCTTGATCCAAACACGTTCCGGACAGCTTCGTTTGGAGTTATAAATTTATTCGAACAGAAAATATTTATTAGGCACAAATTTAAAAGTTGGAACAAACACGACATAGTTTCTCTAATCGCGCTGCATTAACGATTTATTATTAATAAATACCTACCAACAACACTAAAAATTTTATAGCAAAAACTCAATTAAGTTTTATTTCGATTTAATTCCTAATTTTAATATCGATAAGGAAGGACTGCGATATAAACGTCCGATGGCGTGATAAATTTCATTACTTTGATCGTTTTACAACGCAACTTGATGACTACTTTATAATCGTTTAAGTGCAAGTTTTTTGTTTCGTCTGTTTTGAAATAGGAATTTCCTTAGATTTTTACGAACGCCCTGTTGAATTTTTATAAAAACAATTAATAGATTTCTTGTAATAAGCTGATTTTAAATAGTGTTGTGAATATTTCTCTTTCTGAAGTGAATTTTTGTTAAAAATGGCGAAGGAACCCGTTTCAAGTGGGTTACTTGTCTAACTGCCTATTGAAGGTTTTTTTTAATATGAGCTCACTAGAAAAATTACGATGGTTCCAAAGCGATTATTCTTAAGTTATATAGTTAAGTATCAACCACTTTAGGTATAAAGAAACCTTATTATAGTTTAATGAACACGAAAAAGTTTTACCGATGACCTTCTATTATCGCCAATAAACATAAACAGCCTATTATACCTAAACGATCACAATTACAGTAATTTCTCAAAATTATCCCTTGCACATGAAAGTATGTCATATACCCATACAAGTAGAATTTCCCACTCTATTAGATACCTTATAAAATCGCACGATCGAAACTTTTACCGCCGTTTATAACTAAAAAGATATAACTCAAAAATAGTATTTCGATTTGATGGTATTTTCATACATATATAGGAAGACAGACAGATATTTCTTCGCCTATAACAGCTATTTGATCGGCCATAAAACCCGTGCAGTAGGTATTTGATTTAATTTAAAGTTAGGTTTGAATATGCGCCGTAACGAAAAAAACCTTCTGGTAGGTAGTCGTTATGATGGAAGTCGGTCTCATGGTCTCCTCAAACCGGAGTATACGTATAAATCAGAACCGTACCCGGCAATTACCCAGCTCCCCGCCCCGTTATTATATCTATTAGTTGTAGGGAGCGCTGCGATCGCGGGGAGACTTAATTACGCCAGAACGAAGAGATCTCCACCTTTGACCCCGCATTCCAGCGGTGCTGCCACCTATTCAACACGAATAGCGATTTACCTTATTTGCCTCTTGCCTTTTGCTCTGTCTATATACACTCTATAAGATCGATGTATAGCCGGTATACGTATATACCTTCAACTGCTTGCTTCTTATCAATCCATCAATAAATTTATAATAGAGGATAATCTCCGCGAATTTTCTCTCTAGTTTAATAACAAAACCACGCAAGAGAGGCAGCCAACTTAATCTAAACAGTATTACCAATCATTCCTCTAAAATTCGAGTAGATTTAGATGTTTGAACTGTTTTATTATTTAATTTATAATGGAGAATAATCTCCGCGAATTTTCTCTCTAGTTTAATAACAAAATCAAGTAACAAAGGCAGCCAACATAATCTAAACAGTATTACCAATCATTCCTCTAAAATTCGAGTAGATTTAGATGTTTGAACTGTTCCATTTTTAAATTTATAATAGAGAATAATCTCCGCAAATTTTCTCTCTAGTTTAATAACAAAATCAAGCAACAGACAGCCAACATAATCTAAACAGTATTACCAATCATTCCTCTAAAATTCGAGTAGATTTAGATGTTTGAACTGTTTCATTATTTAATTTATAATAGAGGATAATCTCCGCGAATTTTCTCTCTAGTTTAATAACAAAACCACGCAACAGGCAGCCAACTTAATCTAAACAGTATTACCAATCATCCCTCTAAAATTCGAGTAGATTTAGATGTTTGAACTGTTCCATTATTTAATTTATAATAGAGAATAATCTCAGCGAATTTTCTCTCTAATTTAATAACAAAATCAAGCAACAGGCAGCCAACATAATCTAAACAGTATTACCAATCATCCCTCTAAAATTCGAGTAGATTTAGATGTTTGAACTGTTCCATTATTTAATTTATAATAAAGGATAATCTTCGCAAATTTTCTCTCTAGTTTAATAACAAAATCAAGCAACAGGCAGCCAACATAATCTAAACAGTATTACCAATCATTCCTCTAAAATTCGAGTAGATTTAGATGTTTGAACTGTTCCATTATTTAATTTATAATAGAGAATAATCTCCGCAAATTTTCTCTCTAGTTTAATAACAAAATCAAGCAACAGGCAGCCAACATAATCTAAACAGTATTACCAATCATCCCTCTAAAATTCGAGTAGATTTAGATGTTTGAACTGTTCCATTATTTAATTTATAATAGAGAATAATCTCCGCAAATTTTCTCTCTAGTTTAATAACAAAATCAAGCAACAGGCAGCGAACATAATCTAAACAGTATTACCAATCATCCCTCTAAAATTCGAGTAGATTTAGATGTTTGAACTGTTTCATTATTTAATTTATAATAGAGAATAATCTCAGCGAATTTTCTCTCTAATTTAATAACAAAACCACGCAACAGGCATCCAACTTAATCTAAACAGTATTACCAATCATCCCTCTAAGATTCGAGAAAATTTAGATGTTTGAACTGTTCCATTAGATTAACGTCCGTTTGGAACCCGATAGCCCGGAGTAGACCGTAAATTCGTTCGAAACCGGTAAATAGGTTAAAAGTATCACACGTTAGCGCTGACGAGCACTTAAAAATTATGGTCGACAACGCATAAAATGCCCATACCGAGAGCGAGAGATTTATCCGCGTGACATTGCTTGATGTATTCACGAAGGGTCGCATAAAGCGCCAGCTGAGTAATGAATCCAACGGCAAATTGAATCGGAACATTTCTTAAACGTCTCTATTTCGCTCGACGTTCGACTTACTTATTTGCATCAGTCGCTGATCTTTTGAATTATTATACCTTCGTCTGTTGGTCGTAGGAATTTTCGACACCAAAAAGAATTATGAATTAATCCTATATAGGTAATTTTGACACTTACAAATTTGGGTTCATATAATCTTAAGGGTATTTACATTAATTATTAATTTATATTTACAACAGAAAATTCATTGTATGTAGATATTAACGCTATATTAACCTAACAAAAAAAACCAAATCTTTAAAGTCGGGTATAATATGAACCTTTTTTGTTTAACAATTTTAGCTGTATCTCTAAAAATAAAGTGGTGAGTGTTATTCCAATGTTCCTCACAAAACACCCTGTATCTTCGAAATGTATTAGCCGATTTGAACAAAGTTGGGCTAGTTGAAAAGAGCTATACTTGAGCTACAAAAGTTATATTATTTAAAATTTTAATTTTTAAAATTATCTTCTACCTGCATTTTCATTCTAGTGTCGAAAATTCTTATAAGATTATTAATTTTTTTTTGTTTTCCAGGTACAAACTATCATTTGATGTCGAAGTGAGTGTTAATTATCGCGCAAGTTACGTCTACAGCTATTCCTGTCGCACTGTAAGTACCTAATTTTTTTCTCATGAGAAACATCTCACCGCCCGCACATTATTAAAATTTTTCGAAAAAAAAAATCCAACTTTCCAGTGCAACCGAATTAATTTAAACCTGCGCCTCTTCTCTCGTCACAATGCTCGTATTAAAATACTTAAGTCGGTTATCTACTTAAGAAAGGAGTGGCATTTAGAAAATCTTGTTTATATAAATTGTAAACAGACGAAGTGATTAGAGGCGATTGTGTTTTTTCTTCTTGTATATAGTTAAATCTTTAATGCACATACGAAACACCGACTGACGTTTTGTTTATATAACGTTCCAACTGAATTTATTACGCTCGCGGGAGCCGCTTAAGTCATTTCGAAAAACTTTTCTATTATCGCAAAACCTATACATGCACGTGTAATTAACCGTAATTTTTCAATTAGAAAATTTCTTTTGAGAGTTTTTAGATATCAGAACCAAATTGTTTGATATCAATGAAGAACATAGTGATATAAACTACACCTTTTCCAGTTGCATTTCAGAAAGGGTCAATTGAATTTAAAAATAGTCACTTATATTTCGGAAAGTTATTTCAGAATAGTTTTAGATTTCAGGAATCATCAATTGAATTTCAGCACAGTCAATTTGTTTTCAGAAAGCATCAATTGCAATGTATTTCAGAGTCCCATTTGGAATGCAGAAATCATATGACAATTATTATTACAATTATTAACGACGAAGAAAAACTCAGTCCACTCCATAATTTATATTATTTTTTCGGACTGGAAACAACTTCTCTCCGGATTTGGAATATTTTTTTTGAAATCGACATTATTCTTCTGGAACTGATACCTTTATAATTTTGTCTGAAATTGAGATTGAAAAGCTACAGATATTGAAGAATTCCGAAATACAAATGATGATTTCTGAAATGAATTTGACTATTGTGAAATTCAAATGATCATTTCCAAAATCGAATGGACTATTCTAAAATACAACTGATGGTTTCTGAAATCAAATTTATTTTTCTGAAATACAATTGATGCATTCTGAAATCGAAATGACTTTTCTGAAATACACTCCAGGACAAAATTAACGCAACATCAAAAATTTGCCACATTTTTTATGCTATTTTTTGTTTGAATTTATGAACCGATTTGGATGATTCTGAAGGGTTTCTGAAATCAAATTTATTATTCTGAAATACAATTGATACTTTCCGAAATATAAGCGACTATTCTGAAATTCAATTGACGCATCCTTAAATAAACCTAAGGCTTTCTGAAATACAGTTGGGAAATGGTGTAGAAACAATATTGATGATACCAGAGAAACGATAAACTGCAATGAACTTCGAAGCTGCGTACAGGGGAATTCAATCAATCAAAATTATCGGCGTTCATTGGCGTAAAAAAGAGCAAAAAAAAAGAGCAAAAAAAGAGCAAAAAAAGAGCAAAAAAAAGAGCAAAAAAAGAGCAAAAAAAGAGCAAAAAAAAAGAGCAAAAAAAAGAGCTATAATTAGAAGAGGACTCACCGATATTGCAGGTAGGGCCCGTCCATCCATCGGCGCATTCGCAGCTAAAGGAACCGCCGGCCTCGATGCAGATGCCGTCGTGCAGACAGGGAGCAGGGGCGCAGGGGTTGTCGACGATTTCGCAATTAGCGCCCGAAAATCCCTCGGGGCAGGTGCACAAGTACTTATCGGGGGCTGTGTTCTCGCATGTGCCACCGTTCAGGCAGGGCTCGTGCGTACCGCAGTAGTTCAGATCTGGAATTAGGAAGAATTAGTGATTTTAATGGTACCTTTTTTTTTATTCTATAGCGGGGTCGAGGAACCCGTAACGTGAATTTTGTGGGTGCCGGTAAATTTATCGAACAGTTCTTCGAAAACAATTTTCGAAATCAACAATTGTTCGAAAATTATTCGTTTTTTTAGAAGGACGAGGCCGCAATTAAGAAAGAAGAAATTTTTGTTCTGTCTTATGAGATGTCAATGTCAATGTCATATAAGTTTTAAGTTTTGAGATTCTATTCATTCATTCATTCTAATGTTAGAGAATGATAGAGAATGTACATTTTCTCTTCAACTTGCTTATCTTTCACATACATATTGCTTCAATTCAGACCGCAACATGGTCGTTTCTGTGAGTTGAACAAAGAAATAACAGTTGTCAGAGTGAAAAGTTGTCATGACACAAATGTCACTCTTTCTTTTTCCTTTATAAGTGTCTAATAGTTTTCTTTATCGCACTTACAGCCTATATAACCTACGTTGCGTTCTGAAATGAAGCATAGTGTATGGTGTATCCTTCAAGAATCAATTTTCGGTTGCCTTTTTCACTGCTAACATAGTCCATTTTATATTAATATTAAACAAACTAAACTTTACAAAACATCACTTAGTGATAATATTAGTTGGTTATTATTTAGAGAAGGTAATAATAAACTACTTAAAAATAGAATAGTAATAATTAGTTCAACCCTAAGTACAACCCCAGGTACAATCTAGATCTAGTCCTATTTTGGGTTGAACAAAATTGATCGAATATTTTCGAAAAATTGACCATTCGAAAAATTGTGTTTTAAATCCGAATTTAGTGTATCAAACGCTTTTATTGTTAACTTGAACAGTAAATTGAGCTTTTTGTTGCACCATTTACATAAACATTTTTCGTCGATTTAAAAAACCCATACCTTAAGCTTTGAGACTATTTAATTAACACGACCAGTTTTTCCCACTTTTTTTTTGTTGGGGTCCGGGGCAGCTTATATTAAGCGACAAAGACACGAAAGCCTTTTACTTAGTTCGTAACAAGTGTATCTTAATGCGCGCATATAGTAGATAGCTATAAACCAATTTAAGCTGCTTACTAATAAAAATTTAAAGCTGTTAAAGAAGGCGAAGAGCGACGGATGTATAATGTACGGTCGGGTCTCGCGCATCTCGCTCGATATACCGTTCTGAATAACGTGGGACCCGGACACAGGTGTCTTGCTCCTTCTTCTTCTTCTTCTTCATCCTCGCAATCTTCGCCCGTCTTTATTCTTCGTTTATTTGCCAAAGATCATACGTATATATAAGTAATTCGCAAAGTGCTTTCAGTCGTTTCCGATTATCGGCTATAATTTTGCGGCTTTTCTTCCGGGTGCTTTTATTAACTAACTGTTTTATGATGCCCGACTCGGGAAAAATGCAGACATTCCGGAGTTTTGAATTAATATTAATTTCAGACGTTAATTAAGCGATTAATATTCCAACGATAAATCTTATTGCGTATAGGCACTTGCATACATGCTGTATAATGCATAATTACAGGGTGAATTTTATTATTTTGTTATCCAATTTACACCTGTGAAAAAACCCTTTAATCTACACACACCGGCAAATTTAAAGGAACAGATTGAAAATGTAATATATACTGAGTGACAAAAGTAAAAGAACACCAAGAAGCAAATTTTATTTTTCATTCAAACTGTAGAGCACCATCACGGTGGTGCAACACATTATTAATTTTTTTTAAGTTTTGTTGTTAATTTGATTAATTAATTTTAATCGTTTGTTTATTTTTCTCTTATACATGTAACTAGAATAAATGGTTAAATTTCAACAACTATTTTTTGGTGTTCTTTTACTTTTGACACTCAGTATATTTCTATATTTTATTGTCTTGTAGTCTATATCTAGATAGCTATTGATGTTCCATGTCATAATTAAAGTTTTTAATGTCAAAATGTCAAATGTAGGCGTTCTCTGTTGTCAAAACTTCAAAAGTTTGTTTGTGTCTTACATTTCAAACGTGTGTAATAGAGATAACAATTGTTTAAATTAAATCAAATTGTTATTAATTAATCTGTTTAATTTGTTGGGATTTGTTGCTATTGTTTTTTATTTGTTATCATCAATTTTGTTTGTATTGCAAAGAGCAGTTAATAATGGATGATTTAATACCGACTAATATTGCCAAAAATGAATTTAATTATTAAAATAAGTTCAAAATGTACAATACAAGTTATTCTGTTTAAAACCAATATTATTTTTTAAATCTGACATCTTCGACTTGCTCTCTTCTTCAACAGGTTGTACATGATAAATTTTTGTAAAAAGTGCCCCTAAATTACTTCACCTAACTTTGTGTTAAGAAATATTAACAATATGTATATCATAGAGAAAATAATTGGATTTTATATCTGTTCCTTTAAATATACCGGTGTGTGTATTCAAACCCTAATTGTTCTACTGATGCATTCTAGACTTGAGTTCTTGGACATACAACAAACAATCCCTTAAATTTTAGAACACCCTATATAGCAGAGATTATTATTGCACGATATTCAATTAGCTGAAATAGTGGGAAACTATTACGTTAAGCGTAACCCGGTATTCAACATTTTGAATAGCCCTAATTCGATGGTCCGTTTCGACCGCATTAATGTTTACATTTTGATGAGCCTATTGAACGCCGGTCTAAACGTAACAAGTGCATGAGAGCGGTCCAGATGCGCCTGCACTGGCCCCATCGTGCAACTGTTTGAAAACATAAAAAAAATAGCTCCGCGTCCGAAGGGAGTCATCGACTATTCATCGAAATATAAAAAAAAACCGCGGCGGTGTGCGATTGAAACGGGGGTAATTTTTTTTTTCGCTAGGGCATCGCCATGTAAAGCCGGAATCGTCACGGATTGGTAAGCAACGACAATTCTGCACTTGATCGAAATTTCCGACGATTCCCCCTTGTATATCGTTTTAAATGGTTAGTTCTATAAAGGGTCGCATTACACTGATTAACCCTTTGACACGTTTTTGTCGGAACATGTGCGTCGAGAAGATTAATATCTCGATAAAAAAAACTCCCATGTTACCAAAGTGAAGGGCTATTAATGTCTACTTAATTTTACTTTCGTTATTTGTAGGTATAAACTTTTTTATGTCATAATTAAAGAGGCTAAAATTGAATTAATATAATAGTTTAGTTAATACTCTAAAGTCGCGTCTCTAACTTGATAGTTGTACATTGTTGTTATGTAGTAACTATAGGGAGTAAAGACGGAGTTTAGAGTCTCTACTTAGAGTTTAATTATTATTATTATAGTTAAAGATTGTACCTTGATCACATAAAATGCCACCCCAATTCGTGTCGCAAATGCATTGCCAGGATGAACCATTGCAATAACCGTGCTTACAACCAGGATATGGTTCGCATTGATCGCAAAAATCTCCTCTCCAGCCGGGTCGACAACTGAAAAAAAAAATCATTTATTGATTAAAATTATAGCAAAAAATAACGAGTTAACATTTGAATTCACCGCCCTCAATGCCATGTCGAGTAATAACTAATCGCAAAGTTCATACTAATTTTTGTTGACTCATTGCATTAACAAATTTTCCAAGTATTTCAACAATGGGGCAATTTCATGCAATAATGAGGTGCATCAGTTTTTATTCTGCATCACGAAGTATCGGAACTGCATACCGGCGATTTGTGCGCGCTTAATTGGAATAACTTGTAAATTTAAGTACGTCCTCACGTTAGTATTCATAATTTACATTAAATATCACGATTTAATCCCGACGTAATTTTCGTTAATTCCAACGAAATTTTCGCAAGCTCCGGCCGGAGGCGGTGCATACAGATTTTCTGCAAGGCGTTCGCAATGCATCATTATAATTCCCGCATTCTCCTTTCCCTTAAATACCCGACCATGCCCAATTCTCATAAAGCATTTGAAATTCTAATCGAGCATTACATCTCGGCATGCTACTAATAAATTGGGTACGATAGGTACACCGGGATTCCGGGGTACAGAGCGCTTTATTCACACAGCACACAATCACCATGACGATGGAAATTAAACTTTTTCGTGATTAAATGTTGTTGCAATAACTTTAAGAAACAGTTCATATTTAATTGTGTACCTACCTAAAATATTTAACTCAGTACCGGACTTAATAATAATCTAATAATATTACTTAATAATAACTTTTCTTAAAAAACGATATATTTTTTTCATTTCATATAAAAAAACTAGAGAAAATGGCCCGTATTCAGCGCCTCACTTTAACTTTAGAGTGACTCTAAAGTCGCATCTTTAACTTGACAGTTTTACATTGTTGTTATGGAGTAACTAGGGACTCGAAACGCGACTTTAGAGTCACGCTAAAGTTAAAGAGAGGCGCTGAATACGGGCCATTTAATTTAATTTTACTGATTAAAAATTTGCGTAAATGCAATTAAATAATCTAATAAATTGTTAGGTAAATATTATTCCGAGTCCGGCTCATATACAGATGTCTAAATCTTCATAAAGCAAATCCAGATATTATCGAAATACGTGAACTTCTCGTCTAACATTAATTTTAAAAGAAAGCTGTGGGCGTTACCAGAAGAAAAACAACAGAAGTTATACACTATAATCTACTGGGTATCGTTGGTTATTATACGATTACGGACGAAATTAAAAACTCGCTTTAATGACCATCAGTTAGTAGAGTGAAGTCTATTCATTCTGTTAGCGTATATCAGTTTTAGCGATTCCTAAGGCAGATTAAATAAGAGGAGGGAAAAAAAGCAACTGTTCGATTCGTGTTTATGGGTGGACCAGCAAAAATTGCAAGCTTGTAAATTCCTACTTTCTTTTAGAATTCTAGGGGAAAGGTTGGCAATAATGATAAACTAAGTTGGCATCATGTTAAATTTTTTAATAACGAAATTAATAATTATAGGTTATAACAACCTCAACTACTTCATTGCACATCAAAGCTTCTTAGAGCTCGTCAAATTTCTCTATATACAAACGGATTTTATTTTTTAATGGAGATAACCGTTCGTGATATTCAAATTTTTATCAGAAATAATCGGGACATACTGTTATAAATAATCGCCTCAGTAGGTTAGACCTTGTGGCTTTTTACTTTTGAAAATTATATCCAGCAGACCAGATAGTAGTAGATATACGAGGCGTGTCAATATCACGCTGAACTACTAATAATAGGTAATAATTTTAACTGTAAGGTAATTATACGGTTTGCTATAAAGATGTCTGACATTTGTAAACACGGATAATAAACTTAATTAAAGTTCTTACGATTAAACACTAATCATATAGATAATAAGTACATACAAGGGGAGAAGTTTCGTAATTAAAAAAAATAATACCTAATTCCAAATCAATAAGATATGCTATATATGTATGTAGTAATTTATAGAACTAAAAAAGAAATGCAGTGAAGAGACAAGAAAAACCTAAACAAGATCATCCGATAGGTATTAATAAAATAAACATTCTTATTAAGGCATTTCCTCGAAGATTAAAAGATACTTTAGTTTCTCACGTATTTCAGATTAAACATCAAATCAAAATCTGATTTACCTCGTCGATAATTGACGGGATCTTCTTTATGTCGAAACGGAATTCCGTCCGACAATTGTTATAATTTAATCCCGAGTAGATCGATATGGTCTAATGTGAGGCTTGTACTTTACAAGACCAGAGATTTGATATAAATCTACAACATATCGAGCGGTTTCTCCAAATAATTGCTCGGAAAATGATGCAATAAAGTTTATTGACTTTTCTGCTGTTTATGTTTTATTCGTGGACTTGTTTAACAAATATGGGCAGTTTGGTAATTGACTTATGTAAGGTAAAAGTTGTAAAAACTGCCCGGATAAATCTATAGCATTGCATGCTTTTACTTTGTGAATACATTTCGAATTTAATTGACATAAATACATCACAAGTTTTAGATAATCTATCTGATGGATTTAGAATTTATTAAGGGGATTTTTACTACCTAACATGTTAATAAAACTAACTAGGTATATAATTTATTTAGTAAAGTATAAGAAGTAATTTTCTAGTATTTAAAAAATGACATCCCTAATTGTTATTAAATAACTGTAGCACTAATACATATATTTATTAAGGTAGGTTAAACCTGTATTTTGTGAATAATGCAGAAAATATTTTCCATTTTCCATCACACACAAACCTATAGTGTAACGAATAAAAGAATTTATGCTCGCTAATTATAGAACCTGCCACCGAGTTATTTATTATTCAAATCATATTTTATCGAAACCCGTACTAGCCAGCTATCTTGTAATTATCGAATTAGCAACACTTATGCACGAAATAGGAAGAGAAAACTGAAATGGTATCAAAACCGACTTGAGCGAGATAATAAATAAAATGATCACTTCACTCCGATGTTCATCAGCTATTCCGCTGGAGGTCGTGTGTAAATTCTTTTTTTTTTTTTGTTAATTTGGGCGTTTTATAATTTCTGTCAGTATTTGTAACTAATTTATCGTTAGAAAACGCCGTTATCATTAATCATTAGTCGATTAACCCCGATTTTAGGCGATATAGTTCTTAGAGAAAAAAAAAACATAAAAAATTATTATTAAAGTATTAAATTTGTATTAAGGAAATTATTTCATGATAATATAATTTTCAATTAGCTACTAAAAATGTTACTATACAGGGTGTTCCTAAAACATCGTGTACATCCGAAAGGGGGTGATTCCTTGGTTTATGACGCTTCGTTACCGATCTACAGGGTGTTCAAATTTCAAGATTTTTTTATATCTTTTTAGAAGCTCCTGCAGTTTTTGAGATATTTTGCTTAAATTAGGTATAGAATCTAGGGTATAGAGTATAATTTGAGTAGGAGGGCGTCACTTTTAACATTTATTATAATGTAATTTAATAATTATTATTTAAGGGTTTTGGTTTTGTAAAATAAATCATTCGTTCAGAATATGATTTTTAATTTTTTTCTCGATAACGGTCACAGAAACGAAAAAAGTTTAAAAATAAAAAAAGTTTCTAAACAAAACAGACAATTATTTTGTATTTTAGAATCTACCAGCGGCGCACAGCAAAAAAGTTCGGGGGGAAAAAAGGGTACATGACCCCTGTAAAAAATATCACCCTGTAGAATTCAACAACCATCTGATATATCCAATAATGTGTGCCCTATAAAGCAATCTAGATTCAAAATTTGAGCTAAATATCTCAAAAAGTGCAGGAGCTACAAAGAAAAAACAAAAAAAAAAAATTAAACACCCTGTAGATCGGTAACGAAGCGTTTGCGGACCTATGTTTATATGAACTTTTAGTCATAAAATAAGCCAAGGAATCACCTCCTTTCGGATGTACAGGATGTTTAGGAACACCCTGTAGATCTGATAGGAAGCCAACGTATTTTAAAAGTGTCGCCAAATCAATACCAAAAAATAATATTTAACTTACATGCATTCCCCGGGATGCTCGCACTTCCCGTGGTCCTTGTGACAACCAGACTTGCAAGCAGCTGGAAAAAAAACGCATAACATAAGCACATTTTCACAAGGAAAAATTTCCTCGAACTTACCCGTTTCGCAAGTGGCCCCCTTCCATCCTTCGATGCATTGCTTTTCGCCGTTCTGATCGCACACGAAATGGCCGAAGGAATCGTTCCTCGGCCGGCAAAATTTCGTACAGGTCGAATTGTAGTAGTGCTTGTCGCAAATCACGCGCACCCTGTAGGTGAGCTGCGCCCGCAGCCCTCTGTGGTTCAAAGTGTGCCACTCCGGACTCGGATCTATGATCCCGGAGTACGTGGCCTCTTCGATTATATTAGTCGTCGCTATAAACAAACAATCAATAATTAATTGTACTCATAGAGCAAACAATATAGTGAACACGGTATTTCTAAGGTCTGGAAACATAGGTCGAAAAAGTGTCCCGTTATTTGAGGATAAAAGAGGGTTCCTAAAACGGCCGCTAGGAGACGATGTTATAAAGGACCACGGTTTTTTGCATACGAATTATATAGAATTAGCATTAAGAAAGGTTATATTCAAACTAAAAATAGATACAAAATATAAAAATGTACTTAAATCAGCGATGATTTTGTTGTTAACATCATGCCACACGTATTTTCGGTTAATGTATTTCTCCATTTTCTCCTCGAAATGTCAAAACATAATTTTTGAAGTTTTGACAGCTCTGTCATTTCACACAACCGCGATTTATATGTAGCGCGACGCTGATTGGCTGAGATAAGTTGGTCTTCCGATTGTTCGCCACGGTGCGGCGCAAAAGTGAAGCTCAAAAAGTCCTCAAATAATAGGGCCGTGTAGATGCATAACTCCACATAACTCAATGGCATAATTTTAAAGCTATAAAGCGACATCTACAAATTCGAAGGAATTAAAACACAACGTTGCCACATTGCCAATGATTACTTTTTTTATTTGTTTTGTTTGTTTAAGTACAGGGTGTAAACAAATGGTTGAGAACGAATTTAATGATATTCCTTGTCGAAAGTTAAGGTCTTTTATATTTAAAAAAACGTTTTACTAGGGATTACCGCTTAAATTCTTTCGCAAAGATTTATTTAAACCATGTATTTTAAAGAGGTATAGGAATAGTCATAGGTCGTCCAATAGTTTTAGAAAACTAGGATGACGTACCTATACAGGGTGTTCTCGAACTTATGGCACTAAATTTTGGCGGTGATAGTTTGCATAATTTGAGACCGATTCGCAGATTTCATTATTCTAAAAAATGTATAATAAACAAAATAGAGCCATTAGAAATAAATGCAAAGAGCGAATACAAACCTGCCTGAATAGTCAGCTGATCGGAATTTTAACTAAAAAAAACAGATTCAGTGTATTTTATCAGCAAGCGCAAGTTTCCCCCTCCGCCCTCCAGCTTTCGAAAAACGTTATCGATACCGATCGTTTTCTAGTGCGAATTGTATTGTTTTGATTATAACATCGAGGTTAAATCGATTTTTGTGATTAGACATTAGTGATTTATTTGATTTTTTTAGTTCTAAGTATTCTTAGTTTAGTTAATTCTTGTTCGTTATAGTGATGTTCTGGAACAATTAAGCAGCTTTCAACAACAAAATAGGTGAGCTAATATTCCTTTCGAGTTTAAAGTTTATTTTCTTCTATTGTTTGAAAAACCCGGTTTACTTTTATAATTTATCCATGATTCTAAAAAATTAGAGAGGTCGAGGAGTTTCAAGCGATGTACAAGACCGCATTTCTTTGAAATATTTTTAATATTTCAAATTTTGTTTATTGTAATTTTTTTAGAAAAATGAAATCTGCGAATCGGTCTCAAATTATGCAAACTACCACCCCAAGAATTTAGTGCCATAAGTTCGAGAACACCCTGTATAGGTATAAAATAGGACTTAAAATCACTATTAATTCACTGTATTACGTAAATTACTTACAGAGTGATTCTGAAATAAGTGGTCAAACTTTGGAAGCAAGTAGAGAACCTCAAAATATTACAAAAACTTAAATGTCATTTTTTCAAAATGTTCTTGGTTATTAGTATACAGGGTGTTAAAGATAGATTTAAGAAGACGTATTTTTGGTAATAATTTCATTAATAGTAATGGTAAAATGATGAAATTTGGTACACATACTAAGCAAATAAAATGCCTCTTTTCTTGACTGAATAAAGCAACTGCAGCGCCATCTGTTTATTCGAAAAAACTAAAAATAATTCCCAGAATCGCCAATTCAAGAAAAACATTATAGGTTCGGTCTAGGGTTGTACTGTAGGGAATATTTAACTTCCGCGTGACGTCACGGCGGGGTTAGCTCGAACGCACTATATGCATTAAAGTAATCGTACGTTAATTATTCAGTACTCGAACGAAATGCAAGCAACGCTGCTTTCTTTTATAAGCACGCACGACACTCGATTATTATCTTTGGAAACACCTACGTTTTATGCCGTGTAAAAAAGAATCTTCAAAGACATAAAACAAACACTCGACCGTTTGAGGTTCAAATATAATTTACTCGAAAGTAGCAATTATCGAACACAACGAGTCGTTTGGCTACCTTAAACGAAATTATGTTGAGAGGCTCTTTTTCTATGGATTGATGTGACTTATTTTCGTAGGAATTCGAGTTTTCGTATTAGGAATCGCCCGCGTGGGCTACCGGGCACGAGTTATTTACCCAAGTTTTCTCCTCGGTGTTTGTTTAACCGACATAAAAAAGGGAGTTATTTTTCTTGTATAATGATGTAAATTTGACGGTTATTATTCGTTATTTTTCTTCTTAACAGGTGTTAATAAGTGGCTGTAACCGATCATAATTCTACACCTTTTCAGTTGTATTTCAGAAAGCGTCAATTGAATTTAAGAATAGTCACTTATATTTCGGAAAGTTATTTCAGAATAGTTTTAGATTTCAGAAATCATCAATTGAATTTCAGAATAGTCAATTGTGTTTAAGAAATTATTCGTATTTCGGAAACCGTCAAAAGGATTTCATAGTCCCATTTGGAATGCAGAAATCATATGACAATTATTATTACAATTATTAACGAAGAAGAAAAACTCAGTTCACTCCACAATTTATATTATTTTTTCGGACTTGAAACAACTCTCCGGAATTAAAATATTTTTGTGAAATCGAAATTATTCTTCTGGAACTGATACCTTTATAATTTTCTCTGTAATTGAGATTGAAAAGCTACAGATATTGAAGAATTCCGAAATACAAATGATGATTTCTGAAATGAATTTGACTATTCTGAAATTCAATTAATGATTTCTGAAATGAATTTGACTATTTTGAAATTCAAATGATCGTTACCGAATTAGAACTGACTATTCTGAAATACAACTGATGGTTTCTGAAATCAAATTTATTATTCTGAAATTCTTAAATGAACCTGACGCTTTCTGAAACACAGTAATACAGTTGGAAATGGTGTAGTAACATTTGACGTTTACATCTCCAAATTAAATCTGCAATTAAATCGAAACAAATTAGGTCAGTAATAAATCGAAAGAGTTGATCCCAAGCATCAATCACACGATCGGTTTTATAACGTTTTAACGCATTCCATCGTCCCTTTTAAAAGCACAATTACTGTCGCCTGCGTTCGGCAATCATGAAGAAGAGCCTCCTTAAAAAGAAGAAACTACTACAAAAGCACGCGCGTATGCCAGAAATGGGCCCCGTCCTTGCCCTGGGACATCCATAATTGGCAGGCCGGCTCTCTTTCTCGGTCTCTCGGAATCGGTACACAAAACCTCCTACTACCGGCTACACACCCTTAGGATAGTCGTGAGAGGTTCATTCATACTCTCAGACTTCCTATATATGAATCAGCCGTTGTGCCCACGCTATAGGGGGATATTTCAAACGGATTGCGATTCAATGGGACTTTCTATCGTTCGTGTTATAAATTATTTATTAGAATTTAGCAATCGAATTGGGAAATACTCGAAGATGACGAACCAATAAACAATTATTTTCATTAATTATATGCGTTTTTTTATTACATTTTATCGAAAAATTGGTTCGTCTATTTAAGACTTTTATAAGTCGTGTAGTTGTATAGTAATAAAGTTATACTAAATTCTTGTACTTACCGGGCGAAGAAAAATTGTTATGATCCACCGCCTGGAGGATGAGCGTAAACGACCTCTGAAAAAGGAAAAGAAAACACAAAATTAGCGTTTATGATACCATTAAAATGGCCAATTAAATGAATTTAAGCGTCTCATAAATCTGTCAATGGTTAAAAGAATATTGAAGTGTTATTCATAATTTTTTGATTGCGGGGATGATATTACCTAAATGATACCGTTCGTAATAAGCCGGACCGTTATTTAGAAAAGCGATCTTTAAAATATGTTTCGTCAATTACACAGAGTGGGTCGCTTGAAATGTTTACAACCCTAATCGTTCGTTTGAAATACTTCATTCGTAGTAAAAAAAATAATTACTGTTATTACAGCGTAATGTCAAAGAAATTGTTTAGGTGTAATGAACTCGTTTCTCATACACTTGATTCTAAACAATAGCACTGAAACTAATTTGTTAAATGAAATTATCAATTAAATTTAATCGTGTAGCATAAGGAAAAAAAAAACTCGAGTTTATTTAATTAATCTGCGGTATGGATTTAGGAATACTCTTGGCATTTTAAAAGCAACCTGATTAAGCTAGGTTTTAATTACCTTAATCAGCCTATGTATATCTTTACATATCTGTTGACATTAATTTCGTTATTACAAGTATATCACTTCGGATTTATGTGATTAACTAAATATTTATGATATCGAATAAATGGAGATGTAGGACGGAACAAGGATTATAAGTTAATATAAATGATACAAATTAAAAATGATAGAATCCGAATTTAATCTCTTCAGAAGAAATATTTAGAAATGTTAAATGAGTTAAATCTTTATAGGCGTATGTGTGTAGGATTCGTTCTGATTCGTATCGTTTTATGCTTCATTAGTAATCGATAGTATACGCATTTGAATTATAATTAGCTAAAATGTAGAAATAATTCCGAAAGTTAATAAATCCTGCATTAGTGAAATGAAGCAAAATGCTATAAAAATTTAAGCGAGTCAACCCTTCGTAAAAATGATCGAATGGAGTTTTTACAAGAAGTACATTGACAATTACGCTCACGATTTATGCAGAAACGGTACGTTATAATCTAGGAATTGATTCCTCGACAGCTGCGCCCGCATTAACAACTTTGTGAATATGTTAACAGAATAAGGAACTAAGGACAATTACGGACCTTTTCCATTGTTGGTTCATTTGCCATTGTAAATCCGATTGCTGACTTTATTTCGAGCGAACGTTTCATGTTCGAACTAACTATTGTTTCTAAATACTGCTATTGTTGGTCTATCATCGCATTCACTTTAATTACCTGCAGTCATGTCGGATTAGATGTTTGAAAATTTCAACGGTTCGATGAAGAATTTAAAGGCAAAAACGTCCTCAGTATAGACATAAAACACCAATCGGACTCCGCAGGGAAAAAAAAATCGAGATTACTGTAACAGATAATGACGAATCGTAATTGCCGTTTACCGAGAAACGACAATCATTGCTGGTAAAACGGTTTTATTCATAAGTTTACCCGGCGCCTGCATTAGCAATATCTTCGGCATCGACCACAAAAAAAGAATCCCTTTTATGCAGCGGCGGTGACGGCAACCTCGCAGCAAACTGGTAAGACGAGTCGCTTCCATCCTATATGATAAAAGCTCCTCTTCTTCTTCTTCTTCTTCTTCGCCTGTGGCGGTCAATAGCCTACGCGATACGATGAACAGGTGCAAATGTTTAGCTGTGGGTCATCCGAACATAAATCGATGTGTTTCGTCGTCGGTGCTTCGAGAATAATTGTCGCCAAAACGCCCACTTACTCGCAAACTACCTGTTATGCTAAGCAGTACTTTCATGTTCATACTTCATGGATAATATTATGCAATCGGAGCACAAATTGTCTAGAAGATTCCTACCGGAATGTGTCACCAGGCGATGCCAAGAAAAGTGTTTATATTTATTTAATTAAACGGTTTTTTCTCAACGGTGCAATATTGAAAAAAATAATGTAATGTTCTTTAGAAATGGCAAAATTTTTGTTGATTAAAACTTTTTAATTTTTAGCTAGATAGTCGACTTAGATAATGACTCAATTAGTTAATTCTCTCTCTAAGATAACTGACTTTCTTGGAGATATAAATGACTATTTGGTAGACAATTAGCTCTCTTATATCAACACTATCAATGTCAAAACAAATTATTAAAAAAAACGCATCTATCTGGTAATAAATGAATACCGAAATTCAATAAATTAATCAAATCCATCGAGCCGAAATAATCTCCGATATATACGAAACGGTTTGTAGGTTACAGATGTGAGATGTTCCTGTTTGAAAAACGCTTCCAGTCTCGGCGCTGTCTGCTTTGATTTTACAGCTCTAACGCGATAATGCTTCCATGTCGATCTCGTTTAGAATCAATAGTGATTTAATCGATTACACCGAGATAAACGGGCGATACCGTGGCATGATAATTAGCCGTTATTGCTTGTTATCATATTCATTAAAAAGTTTAATTACGCTTTTTTTCGCAACCGGTGTACGACGTTAGGTTCCCAGCTCGCATTCCTATAAGGTGCTATACATGACAAGTTTAATTGATCTATTGCCCGTAATAATAGCGTACGTAAACGCATATTAATAACGCTGTAATTTGTTTGACTATAAAGAGGTGTACAGCACAAAAGTTCCTAAATATACATCGTTGGAAAATTAATATTGCATAATAGGGAAATCAATGTTAAATTCTTAGTCGTCTGAAATCCTGTCTACCAGTGTACATTTCAATAGAACGTCGCGATAAATATTAATAAATTTAATTGTTCTACTGTACTTCACACCGCGATTTGGTTCGGTTAGATTAAAAATCAAATAATTTCGACAGTTTCGACACTTCGACAGTATCAAAACGGGTTCGGATGGGTGAACGTCGAATCAATTAAAAAGATATGAGAATTTTTAAACGATAATTTATTGAGAAAATATCACTAATATTAAAATATAATTATGTAGATATGTCTTTTTGCCACAATGGCTTGAAAAAAAAAGTAAATTCTAAGAAAATGATAAAAAGGAAACTCCAAAAATAAAGTTAAAGATAATTTTAAACCAGAAAATAAAAGAACTCTAAAAACTAGTCCACCGCTTTCTGCTAAACAATAGCCAAACCTGTCATACAGATGTCATTTCATATTACTAAGCTGAGGTATAATTCTAGCAGAAAATTGAATTATTTTTTCCCTTATTTCAACAAAATTAGTTGCTCTTTCAAAACTGTACCTACCGATACACATATTTTTTTGTAATATCCCAAAAAAAATATATTTAGTTTCTAAATAATTTTGTACCTCATACTTAACACAAATAACTTTGTACCTCTACAAATCGCGGTGTGAAGTCCAGTAGAACAATTAAATTTATTAGAATTCATCGCGACGTTCTATTTAAATGTTCACTGGTAGACTAAATTTCAGCCGGTTAAGAATTTAACATTGATTTCCCTATTATGCGAAATTAAATTTCCAACGGTGTATATATTTTAATATCCCACGAATTTATTGATGATTATTCCTCGCTCGAATATTGTTTTGTATTTCGGGAAATATTTTTTTCCTGATACACCCCATAACAGATGTCGAAGTTATATTTAGAGAAACGTAAAATAAACTTAATTTTTGCTCTAAGGCACGCTCAATATGTACACAGGTGCATCGATATACTGAGGAACGTAAACATCTGAGCTTTCCCATTAAACTCATAAAAACGCGTAATTGTTTATGATGTTTTATTTTTCGAACATTTCGAAATAACCAATGTAAGTACCAAACCAGCTGAAAGTAAATGAATTAATTATTTCATTTCGAACGCGATTCTTTGTACTCGTGCAAGTCTTTCCTCTATACACTATAGAATTTAGTACTCTTCTGGAGCGCAATCTTATCAAGATGCGAGTACCTTCTCTCGATCTCGATCTCGATCGACGAAGGCAGATACCGAAGTGCCAATAGTAGGTACGTCTTTCGTGATGGAATTTATTCAATTTAACGGATAATATCCGTGCCTGAGAAACTGCCAGACCATTTCTTTGTGCTTTCTGCACGTACCCGAAGCGCCTCCTATTTATCGGTAGCAATTTTACACTTAACTCGGATCGGGTTTCATATGGTGCGAGAGATGCATATTCCCGTCAGTGGTACTTCCACGTTGGTATTAATTTACTTTTAAATTCGAATAAAACTCATCAACTAAAGAAAGATTATGTGCATTAGGTATAAAGGGTGTTTCAATAAGAGCGCAAGATTTTAAGGTTCAATAAAACAATGTTATACTTGTTGCAAAATATGGAAATATTTATAAATTTATTATACAGTGTGTCCACGGATGGGGTTGCCTATAGGAGAAAATTTTTTTATTATTCATTTTAAGACAAAAAGTCATTCTTTATAAAAATTTTTGCTTCTTTTAAAAATGAGAATAACACTGAAAAATCTTGGATTGGATCTACAGGGTGTTGCCAAATTAAGAAAACATGAAAATACCTCAAGAGAGAGGTACCATTATTTTTATGTAATAGTACACAAAATTTTTATAAAAGAAAATAGTTTATAATCTAAAATAAAGCCTGAATACAAATTTGTAAACTTGAATTCAAATTTTTTGTGTCCACAGATAAAGTTGACCAGATAAGAAAAATGGTTATTATTAATTTTACGACGAAAAGCCATTCTTTATAAAAAAATTAACTTGTCGAGAAAATGAGATTTACATATCAAGATGTATAGGGTGTTAGTAAATTAAGAAACGGGAAAAAAATTTCAAGAATGAACGATTTTTATTATCTTATAAACCTATGACTACAAGTAACCCCACAGCCAGAAGTCCAAAGGTGCTAAATCACAAAAACGTGGCGGCCAATTCTGGTCACCAAACCGGAAAATGACCCGACCGGGAGTAATGTTTAACAATTATGTTCCATATCCAGATCCATATCCAGATTCAATGATCCATATTTACTAATTCCCAACCGTCAACTTTCGATCTGTCATGTTATAATCACGTGTCATTATGACTGTCAAACATGGTAGTCAATTCAAATCTTGCTGTCTTATTGAAACACCCTTTACTTTAAATTCGTATAACTGTACATTGGTGTTAAAAAACACGAAATTGGCGTTGTTGGATTTGATAAGAAGGTTTCCATGGGCATTTTCCTAATTCGTATTCTTCACACGAACCGTTTATACCTTATTAGGAGCCGGACAATCTCTAAGTGCATTGTTTTCGCTCGTCATCGCAATAATGCGGATTGATATCGAAAAGTCCGGCGACCCAGAAACCGTCCAAAACGGCACTGACCAAAACGATTACGATCGCAGATAAGACAAACGCTGCAGACGAAAACAAAAGCGGGCGAGAAAGAGAGGGAACCGAAGCCAGGTATCTTCGCCAGCGAAATCGGCATCTACATCGCCATCTGAAAGGCCAAGCCACCCCGAGTTGACAGTGACGAACGAGACCATTCATCAGGCTCTAATAAAAATGTCCTGAGAAAACGAACACGCCGGAGATAAAACGGAAATCAACATGATGGTCATCTTGTACAACAATCCGTATTAAGGATTCAATTGTTCACGACGCCGCTTTGTTATTATTTTATGCACTGTCCTCGCTACCGTAAATATTCTCGACATAAATTGGTGCGACTACCAAATATATTTTCCCGCGAAACGTTCTCCTTTATAACAAGCGTTACCTACACACCTTTTTTTTTCATATTCACTATATTAGCACTTTAAACATCTACAAAAAGTATACAAAAAAATATTAGTTAATAGAATAGATGGGTATCGGATGCCATTACGACTATTTGATTTCATACGCGCATATATCTGCATTGCATGTACGTTTCGATGAAAAAGATTATTGAAAGACTACTTAAAATCTGACACTAATCAAGTCGCTATTCTTTCCGACTGAAAGTAGCCATCCATCTACATCGTTTCGATATGACAGCTACAGTTCGGTATCAAAAGTGATGGATGAATAACACGAATTGGTTGTAGCACAAATTTATGGTGTAAGTAAATGCACGCCGGGCCTCGCGTTAACTTTCAATAAAACTGGTGCGCTCCCGATCGGGGGAAAAAATCAACCTTTCCATCTATAAATTACTGAGTTTATGTACCGATCGTTTGTAATGGGAAGTTGCGTATCTAACGTGTTGAATACTACACTTTTTCCAGTTCCAATTGTATGTCAGAATAGTCAATTTGATTTCAGAAATCATCAATTGAATTTCCGAATAGCCAATTGTATTTAAGAAATTATCATTTGTGTTTCGGAAACCGTCAAAAGTATTTCAAAGTCCCATTTGAAATGCAGAAATCATATGACAATTATTAACGAAGAAGAAAAACTCAATCCACTCCATAATTTATATTATTTTTTCGGACTTGAAACAACTTCTTTCCGGCATTAAAATATTTTTCTGAAATCGAAATTATTCTTCTGGAACTGATACCTTTATAATTTTTTTTCTGAAACTGAGATTGAAAAGCTATAGATATTGAAGAATTCCGAAATACAAATGATGATTTCTGAAATGAATTTGACTATTTTGAAATTCAAATGATCGTTTCCGAAATCGAACTGACTATTCTGAAATACAGCTGATGGTTTCTGAAATCAAATTGATTATTCTGAAATGCAATTGATGCTTTCTGAAATCGAAATGACTTTTCTGAAATACAATTGATACTTTCCGAAATATAAATGATTATTCTGAAATTCAATTGACGCATTCTTAAACGACTGTTTCTGAAATACAGTTGGAAATGGTGTAGTTAAAAAACAGGATATACCTCAGACTTAAAAAAAAATTAATACACCCAACACCTAATTAACATAACAAATTTCCTACTATGCTAGTACGAAATCGCAAGTCGCTTTAAAGTTCGTATCCTGTGTGTTCTATTGTGGAATGGATTTCACAGAAGTTGACGCATTACTTGCGTTCTCTATTGGAGATAGAACTAATTGGCATAAAATCCCCAGCTTCACGATTTCGTACAACATTCAAGTAGGTGTCGTGGAAGTCGTTTTGAATTTCAAATTTCTGCGGAAAAAATTCACTTTCCAGCTATCTGAAGCTTTGTACGCTTCTATATCATTTTAAACGTTTACATCCTTACTATTCTGTTCGATTTTTAAGGGATTTATGAAAGTTATTTTGGAGTATTTTCAATTTTATGGGAATTTCCGAAGTTAATTAATGTAGTATTAAAACCACATCTCGTAGCGTCTTTAAAAACGCTAATAAAATGTACTGAGTGTCAATGAAATTGATAACAAATTCATATAGTTCAAACGAATTGAGTCAATTTTGGAAATACTATACATTATTAAACTCACTAAAGAGGTAAAAATATGACAAAAAAATTAAATCAACGTTTACATCCTTACTATTCTGTTCGATTTTTAAGGGATTTATGAAAGTTATTTTGGAGTATTTTCAATTTTATGGGAATTTCCGAAATTTATTGATGTAGTATTAAAACCACATCTCGTAGCGTCTTTAAAAACGCTGATAAAATGTACTGAGTGTCAATGAAATTGATAACAAATTCATATAGTTCAAACGAATTGAGTCAATTTTGGAAATACTATACATTATTAAACTCACTAAAGAGGTAAAAATATGACAAAAAAAATTAAATCAAGGTAGATCCGTAAAAAGAAAGGCTTGTGACCTAACAAACCGGCAATAAAGATCCCATCTCGATAAAACCAACAAACATTTATTTATCGCATTTTTCCCAACGATCGACGCAACGCTATTTCCACCGTTTAATTGCCGTCTAATTTGTTTATTATATGTTCGTTAAATGATTTCATTATTTTTACACATCCATCAGTCAAATAAAAAAGGCCGAGAAAGAGAGACGAGTAATCACCGCGTGATTTGCCTTTTCTGAGGTTGCAGAAGCCATTAAAAAGTTTTAACTTGTCTGGACTATAATTTGCGGCACGTAAGCTCCTTGTATGCATCGCCTATCCTCCAATAAAGTTGAAAACCCCGAGCGCAGGACCGCATTTAAATCGAATTAAATTAATTCATTTTTAATCTGCCTATTTATTGTTATAATGATGGCGGAGATAAACTCTGCTTTCGTTCGTCAGGTGTGTTCTCTTTATAAAATATCGAAAAATTTCTATGTAGTTGTCGAGCGGATAAATTGGTGTTATTATAAAATTAAATGATTCCTGCTGTATATACGTAACAGATGTAAGAAATCCCTGCTACTTTACGCGGATATTCCTCATTCTTATACATTGCTGTAAACTTTTATTCAACATTAAATAGAATTCGTGTCATAAAAACCATATCGAAAAAGCCCTTTAATAAAACGATTCCGGCCGAAAAGAAAAACTTTGAACTCTACCGAACTCTTCCTTTGCTCGCTTATCCGAAGAAATCTCTTCTATAAAAACGAAAACCGCATCTTACACGGTAGGTAGACCGTATCAGTATTCACAGTATTTTTCTTGTGGCGTGTGTTATTAGGGACCGCATTACTTCTATGAGGCAATTGAACAATAGTCCTTCCGTACCTCTGTAATTTGCTTTGGATATAAAATGGTTGTTAACTTCGAAATTATACAAGTTTCTTTATTCCTTTCTGTATCCATAAGAAACGAATTGTTACAATATTGTAGGAAATATTTGCGATTCAAAAAAAGAATTCTAGTTTGATAGAGTAAGTAACCGCGGGTAGTTATAATAATGAATATAGAGGGTAATAGTATTGATATTAATTTAAAAATCTCTGTAGAAAACAACGCGTGTTATTTTCCGCGGCTCTATTCCTGGAACGAACGAATTTATTTTCATTGTTTGAGCGTGACAATTGGCTTGGTTTTTATGATTTTACCGGAGCTCCATTTTAATTAAGTTTTTCATGGTATTTCTTTAATGGCTGGATTTATTGCCTTAATAATGTTACTTTCTCGAACGGTTAAGCTAGCGCGTGATTAAAATAAAATTAGCTATTAGACTTCTTCAGTCCCTTTAATACACCTCCAATGAAATGAAATAATTTTATATGGTATATTGCGATGGTGCTCGTTCGTTAGCGACGTCCGATTTCTACGGTACATAAATGAATAAATGACGGTTCAGATTGTTTCCCACACACGGCGATTTTTCTATCAAACTCAAAAAAGTACAAAACTTGCTCAAATATCTATAAAAACAAGTGTAAAATATCATTTGAAAATGCGTCGAGATAATTATATCGTGCCACGAAGATATCTCATTTCGCATTTACTTCTGCAGTCTATTAGCCGGTATAATACGAATGTAATCGGACAGCATGTGTGAAATCGATGTTCATTTGTTTAGCGCATTACGCGGTAGCACACCGTGGCATACTCGATTTACTTTGATAAGGCTCAAAGTAACGCGAAAGCGCCTCTCATCGGCGATTTATTCACGAACGGAAACGAGTTTTGCGCGCATTACGTTACCCGTATGCTTGCGGTTTTATTAAAATGTTGGAAAATCAGCGTTTACCTTTAATCACGGCCCTATATTTCTAAAATGTGGAAACTTCCTGTGCTTATGCATTTTAGAGAATGTGTCCCGTTATTTGAGGACTTTTTGAGCTTCAATTTTCCACGGCACCGTGGTGAACTATCGGAAGACCAACTTATCTCAGCCAATCAGCGTCGCGCTACATATAAATCGCGGTTGTGTGAAATGACAGTTTAAGCTGTCAAAACTTCAAAAATTATTAAATGACATTTCGAGGAGAAAATGGAGAAATACATTAACCGAAGGTACGTGAGGCACGATGTTTACAACAAAATCATCGCTAATTTAAGTATATTTTTATATTTTAATAAGTTTTTAGTTTGAATATAATCTTTCTTAATGCCAATTCTATATAATTCGTACAAAAAACCGTGGTCCTTTACAATATCGCCTCCTAGCGGCCGTTTTAGAAACCCTGTTTTATTCTCAAATAACGGGACACTTTTTCGACCTATATGTTTCTGTTTTGTTTAGAAATATAGGACTATGTTCTAGTAATACGGATGAACATCCCGTTCCATCACAAGTAAAAAATATCTGATTATTGATAATATAGAATAAACACAAAATAAACAAAAAACCTTGATAACCTTAAAAATGTCTTTTTCACAGAACGCTGAGAATACAGAACTTAGAACCTAAATTCTGTGTTCTGTGGTCTTTTTTTTCTCAAATGACAACTAAGTGTAACCAACATTA